TGACTATTTCTGGTTGTTTTTTGTTTTGTTTTGGTCAGCACTTTGAGTTGCCTTGTGTGAATTGTGCTACTGTATACAAATAAACTTGCCTTGCCTATAGGGTTGTATATGGGTGTATGTATAGCCAAACAAACATAAGCTAGCACACATATTGACAAACCCAGACAGGGCCATGGAGAGGGTTCAAAATGTAGCAACAATTATTATGATGTTAATAATCTGTTTTTGAAGTTAATTCATATGACTACATTATGTGGGAGATAGGAAATTGGCTAGATGTTTGTGAAATTAAATTTTTTTCAAAATGCAATAGTATGTTTGTTCATTGTTATTATTTTTAAACGGGTCTATCCATCCATCCATCCATTTTCTTCCCCTTAATCCATTTCTGGGTCGGGGGGGTGACAGTCAGAGCTGCACCCAGTACACAGAGCACCAGCCCCTCACTGATCCTCCTGCAGGTGGTGAGTCCACAGGAGCTGAGATCTTTCAGAGGAGGCTTCCTCTTAAACGGGTCTACTGAATCTTAATTTACTTTTCTGTATTAATAATAGTAACACTAAAACTGTTAAAAATTAATTAATAAAAAAAAAAACATTTGCCAACACAGATCAGAAAATGAAACAGTTCAAACACAAAAAATGCAAGGTTTAAAGAAAACACATAGAGCCATTGGTCAATTAATAATAATAATCTTCAACACTGTTCCAAAGTCCTGCAGCATTAAACACATATCAACACGATGAAAAACTTGAACCCCCCCCACATAAAACACAGCTATAATAAAATAATCTGAACACGATAAAGAAAGGCCATGACATGTTTTTAAAAGTTTCAGGTTAGACAGCGCATTATACAGGCCAAGGTCATCCAAAGCGCTTTACAATTCAGAGTTCAGATATTTTTACACACACGGGGATGACTGAAGCGAGAACCCACTGGAGCATCAAAGCCTCTGAGCGTTCACTCACTCATTACATCATTCAGACCTATTGCGCATGTTTTTAGAGGTATAGGGCAACCGGTGCACCTGGAGGAAACCTACGTAGACGCCGATAAAACATGCAAACTCCACTCAGAAAGGCCCTGTTCTGCCCGGGAATGGAACACAGGACCTTCTTGCGGAGAAGCGAGAGTGCTATGGATAGAGAAGTCATTTAAAATAAGAACCAGGATAAATATTTTCTCTCCGTCTGCTTTCAAGACACGTGTCGCCAATTACATAATGCACAAAAATGCGCAATAAATTCATTCGAGCGCTTTACTCTCCAAACTTACATCCAACCTGTATTGTCGGTACTTGTCACAGGAGACTATACTGACCCGCTAACCCACTTAAGGTCCTCGTGGATGCTAAGGATTAGATGTGAAGAAAGCGGCTCACCTTTGTGCACATTTAGAGTCTGTAGTTGTCGGGGGTGATTCAGAGCGGGGTTAGCCTCGCTGCCACATCACATAAGATCATAAACTGCTGTGACAAATTGGGTCAGAAATCTATGGACTATTTTTTGCGGTGATGTTGCAATGCATTAGGATGAAAAGCATAAATATTTGGCAGCTGTGTCCATGCATGTTTAAAATATACATTATGGAGAGACCCCCTTGTTGCTGCTGGTCTGTGGCATTCTGGGTAAAAAAACACTTGGAGCACAGAGCGTCGGTGTGTGCCGCGCTCTGAGAGGTCTCTTCAGGACATGAGATCTTCAATGACAAAGGACTATTCATGTGTTGGCTATAGTGCGGCTTTCTTCTTACGTCGCAACTGAATTATATAAAACAAGTACAGGGGCTTGCAAAAGTACTAATACCATTTTTTACACATTCTGTCACCTTTAATAACCACAAACTTCAACATTTTTTGTGTACATATTGCAATAAAGGATGGATCTAACTAAGTGTTCATGCATAATGCGTTTGTGTAGCGACCTTTTGTTGCAATCACAGTGGCAATGCTTTTTGAGGTTTGACTACAAAGCCATCCATTGTAGCCCTGCTTTATGTAGAGCAGGGGTGTCCAAACTTTTTTAGCAGGAGGGCCAGTTTAGTTCACTAGACTTGTCCAGGGGTAGCGAACAGCTTTCTAAAACTGTTTTCAGGCTTTGAGCTTTAAAATTGGGTAATGATACGCTCATATTTATTAACACAGCATCTAGTGCCATTTTGAGACACAATTGAAAACAAATGAAGTGAATGGCAGCAAGTGACTACATTGGTGGCGCTGAAGTTGGCTGGATGACTCTGTGAAAGTGCCTCAATGAATAGTTTGAATAAGCAAGGCAGAGGGGCCAAATAAAATGAAAAGGTGGGGTGCATTTGTTCACTTGGTTTGGACATGCCAGATGTCGAGGGTCAACATTGGGATTGAAGGTAAATCTCTGACTCGCCCTCACATGCTAAACTGACTCTATCAAGTATTCTTCCAAAATTGCCCATGTTTTTGGCTCCATCCATCTATTTTTTACAGTAAGCAAGTAATCTTTGTCTTGATTTCATGTAGCGCAAACCTACGCAGACACAAGGAGAACATGCAGATTCCACACAGAAAAGCCTGGAGGTGGAATTGAACCTAGAACCTTCTTGTTGTGAATCTCTAACAAGCTCTAACTGCCATGCCGCCCTAAATTACACTCTTCATTGTCATTGCTGAAGATAATCATGGCCCACAGCATGATACTCCCCCCACCATATTTGACCTGGGGCTGGTGCACTGAGGGTGATATGAGGAGCAGTGTTAGCACCATACATCACAATAGTCTCTTCGGATCCTTCTTAGACATGCTAACCGTGTCCCATCCAAAATACAACATTTGAAGTCGTAAGAATGACAGAATATGCAAAAGTTCAAGTTGTATTTGTAATTTATTGTGGCTACATCTGCATGCGAAGCTGTGCAGGGAAAGATCTGGTTAGTACTGAGATGGGAGACCTCAGGGAATATCAGGTGCCACAGTGGGGCGCGTACGACTGTCGGAAAGGCTGATGGGACACACTGGTTGCCTCGCTTCTATCATTGTGCCCCAGAGCAGCTGTGGCTACAATAGTAGTTTATCACCACCGTGTATCGAGTGAAAGAATATTGAAACATTGAGTGTCCTGAAAATCACTATTAAAAAACCACTGCATTATTATATTATCATTACTTTTGAAAACCACCGTATTAAGTTTACAATAAGGTTTTCCCATTTACCAACCACTCTTTTGATGCAGGTTTTTATTGCATTGAGCGACCACAAGCCAACTGCCAAGACGCAACTATTCCGCTTGGTTTTCAAATGTTCTCACTTGGAAACTTGTGGCCTGTTTGACCCTAATAAGGCGTGTCTGGTTGAGGAGAAAGCAGGCCAGCAGACAGTTAAGGATGTGGAGTATTGTGCACAAGAGCAAATCCACTGACGACAGTATTTATAACCTTTTTAACCCGACAGAGGCTACACGTGCCTCACGCTAAGACTTGTGCTATTTGTGAATGTGGGTCAGACAGGCGTGGTGCTGTTTACGGAAAGGTGCGCGGCTCTCTTACCTGTCCTAATAAGTTCCTGTAAGTCAGTGCTGCACTTATCAGCTCAAGACCAACTGCAAATAGAATGAATATTTAAGACAAGGGTCAAAAGTAGCTTAGGTAAACGCCGTCCCTGTGACCATAGGGCGTTTGCGATGCATACTTTCACGTCCTCTTACATCATTGTAATGTTTTCCCCATTTATAAATTACTATTTAAGAAAAGATAAGATAAGAGAAACGTTGTTTGTCCCACAGTGGGGAAATTTTGACGTTGCAGAGCGAATATAGGACAGTAGTAAGAGCATGATAGTATTCATATGTATACATGTCATGATGATCTTTTTATTGTCTTATATATTGATTATGGACATTGGTCATCTGCCGCTTATGGACCAATAGCAATGTGTTTTTTTATTATTCTTTTTCTTGTGTTTAAACTGTTTGTTTTCTGTCTCTGTTGGCAAATCCGGTTGTGTAAAGTCCTCCGAGATAACTACTGTCGTGATTTAAGAATTTATTGAATTGAATTGAATTGTGCATACACAAAATACAGTCCTAAACTAGATAAAAGGGCTCTGATGTGAACAACTAATTTTAGTGAGTAACAACAACAGTTTAATATGTTTGCTGTGTGTATCACATCTCTAATTCTGCTATTGATGCTCCAGTGTTTTATCTGCTGTAGCACAAATATGCTTCATATATGACACATTTATCACATCCCAGACGAGTGTCTATGCCTGAGTTCAAGAATAAATGATTCTGTCATGTGTGGAGTTCCCCTCAGATAATAGTCAGTACCAAGTCCAACTGGACATTTAATCTTTACCTAAAACATCCCCTACAATGCTTATCAAGATTAAGATACTCTATTCAGAAAATATGTTTATTTATGTATATAGATAATGTGTTACTTTTTATCTGTGCAGCACTTTGGAAACATGTTTTATAAAATGTGCTACATAAATAAAGTGTTTTGGATTGGAAGATGAAGAAATCCTGCATAAGTTCTACTGTGGGGAAATTTCACTGTTGCATCACCGGTTACAGAACAGTGGGAATGAGGAGCACACAGCACAAGACAATAAATCTATAGCTAAATCAAATAAAATCTCTAAATATAGCTTAATAAGGAATAAACTACAGAGTCTCTAGTTTTATAGCAATGATATAAAGGGATGATACGGACCGCACCACTCTCCCTGTGCGCACACCCCTCTCCGCTGGTGCATGGTCCAGCCCTCATTTGCATAAGTCGTCTGTTTGGGAGCTGCCTGCATGTCCACTCCGGTCCAACAGGAGAGGGCTCGGGGGGGAGGGGGTGAGGGAGGAGGAGGAGGAGGAGGAGGAGGAGGAGGAGGAGAGGCTCCGCGCACACGAGCCGCGGCGGCAGGTCCAGTGCGTGCGCAGACACAGTTGTTGTGAGTGAGGACAGAGTCGTGCGCCTGGAGACTCGCTCCTTTTCCTTTACGGACAGACTTCATCCCGGATCAGGAGTTATGTACCGCGCTCAGACCGCCCCGAGTGCGCCCAACAACTCTCTCATGTACTGCTACAACGTGAAGCCGGTGAGGAGACTTTTCTTTTCTTTTCTACAATAATCTTGACTCATGTTAAGTTGAAATGTAAAAATCTGTGCATGGCCTTTTCTTGTTGTTTAAATTGAATAAATTTTTGTCTTTAGCGTTGTTGTTTGCCTTCGTAATAGCACAGATAGATTTTGTATACGTTTTATTTTCCTATACATGTTTGTTAGAATCACTCGTTTGTATATTTGCATCTCTATTAATGACATGGGAATGCATTAGCATACCCTATGTGTTCATTACCAGAAACAGCCTGCATAAATCCAGCCCTTCGCTTTGAAACCAGCCTTAATTTGTTATAATGAAGTTAAGCTGTGGAGATCTAGTTTGCGCTGGCTCTGGCTTGAGTTTGAGTTTTATGAATGAAAATCTGTTGCACACATGTTTTGGTAACTTGTGGGCATTTTCTATTATGTTTTCCCCCCTTCAGTCATTAAAAAAACTTCAAAGCAGTTTCTCTTATATCATTGCATGCAGCTGATGTGGATGCAAAAATAGGCAAATGACAAAATCAACAATAACACAAACATTCTCTATGTGCTAAGTCTGTGCAATTATATTAATATTAAAATCAATGCTAAGTACAATGTTTAATTTAGAATAGGGATTTCAAAGATGGTTCTATAAAAATGTACCTACCATGCAAAACAGTACTGCATGGGGTTTAAACAAATGTGTCACAAACATTATATGTACCGTATCTGCAGGTCATTTATGTCATGATAGAATGAAGGGTTTGACATAATCGTAACATCATCAAAACAAACCTTATATTGATATTTACCATAATGAAGCTGTCCTACACCACACACAAGCTTATCCATAGACCAGCATAGACCATAGACTAAAGACTAATTAGGCTACAGTATAGTCCCACACTGACCAAGTTCTGTTCAAATGCGATCCAGTGAGACTTCCTGTCCGCCTGTAAGCACCATGTAGTCAGCCTTCAGAGCAGAAAACATCTTGACATGAAGCAGATTGCCGCTATTTCTATTTGATTTAACCCGCTATGCTGGAGCAGTCCCTCCACCACTGCAGCCATTATCAAAGGCCGCTTTGATCTCTGTGAGACTAACCATATCCAGACATCGTGGATCACAGAGGCAGAAAATTGGTTGCATGTGGCTTGCAGTTGGCCATGGTGCAGCACAGCATAGGCCCTGAATAGCAAGTTGATATTTCACTCATCCGGCATGACAATGTTTCACTTTTTTACATTGTCACTGGATCACTGGAGCTGCACAAGTTCAAGGCACAGGATTAAACGTAGTGTGAAAGCAGCATAAATGTCCACACAGGGGTCACAACATGCAAATAGAAGTGTATACATGTATGAAATGTGACTAATTGTGCACCAGGCGTGGCAGATGCGTGGATGGCAATATGACATTAGTATAGTCGCTTACAACATTCTTTTTTATTCGTAAAATCTGAAAAATGTGGACATCATTTTAAAAGACAATTGATACACTGCAAAAAGTGATACAAAATAAGTAAAGAAATGCTCAAATTTGGCAAAATGCATCTAAATTTGAGCACATTCTGACTGCCTTAAAACAAGATTATCCAATGGGACAAAAAATGATAGAAAATAAAGCAATAGTTCTTGAAATCAGACTAAACTGCTTGTTCCATCAGCAAATATTGTTTTAAGGCAGTCAGAATGTACTCAAATTGAGATAAAAAACCTCTTGATTCAAGCATTTTTGACCTACTTTTTTAAAATCATCCATCCATCCATCCATTTTCTTCCCCTCAATCCATTTCTGGGTCGGGGGGGTGGCAGTCAGAGCTGCACCCAGTTCACAGAGCACCAGCCCCTCACTGATCCTCCTGCAGGTGGGGAGTCCACAGGAGCTGAGATCTTTCAGCGGGGGCTTCAGGCAAAGTGGGGTTAAGTGTCTTGCCCAAGGACACAACGACAGCAGTAATCAGTGGGAGTCGTGAAGTAGGTCTTATGGTGGGCTCGAACCCACGACCTTCAGGCCTAAAGGCCAATGCTCTACCAACTGAGCTACTCTCGCCACCTACAGTCAATGACCTCTCTTTAACAAATCTTTAAGACTGTGTTACAGTCTGAGTTTCTTGAAGTAGAAATTTAATCATCTGTTTAAAAAAATAATAATTCCACCACATTATATTATACTAAATTTAACGTAAGAATTAGCTCATGCAGTGTCAACAAATCACATGTTTAATGGCTTCCTCCGTCACTCGTGGCCTCTATTTGCTCCAAACAGCCCCTTATCATGTGTGATGCAGTGATTGATGGTCTCTAAATCAATGCTGCTCCAAACGCTGGGTATAGCACCATGGAGACGCCTCCTCTCTCAGCGCGGGACGGGACAGGGGGGCCTTGAAAGGGGGCGTGCTGGGGTGGGAGTGTGACCATTATTAACGGGTCGCCTGCTATGCTGATGGTAAGGAGGACAATTGGCTTTATCCTCGGCCATATGCTGCCCGTGGCGGCTCAGACGGCCCAGTGTCGGCAGGGGCTCCGGTGTTTGGCCTGGCCCACAATCACCATGGGACTCGTGCCAGCCCAGGTCATGGCTTTATGTGCGCACAGGCGAGCCGCGTTTGTTTGGATAACACCATTCATGTGTGCGGGGACATGCCAACTGCTTACAAGGCACATTAGAAGTATGTAAACGATAAGATGGATGAAATGATTAAGAAAGAAAAGTATAAACTGTGCAAACATCGCAGACTTTCTATACTTTCTACACAGCGACCTGGCTCCCCACAAACTTTTATATGTCTTACTTTTTTCCTTTTATTTATTCTGTTATTGATTTTAACAGTGCTCAATCTCTTCAGTCCCAGGGCTCTACCATTCGTCTGTTTCACATCAAATTTCTGAAAAATATCTGGGCACACGTTATTCTCAAATCATCTCAAACTTTGAATGATAGATTGCATTTCGTCTGTTCTCCCTCTATGGCCATGTAGAGCAATTGGATTTCCTGTTTAAGTGCACGAAAAAGGATTAAACATTTAAATCATCAACGCTCAAATCCAGATTAAAAAAACAGTGCTTTTACAATTAATTATATGAAATTAACGTGTGATTATTTTAATGCTTCCACTTTGGGCAGTGTGAGTGGCCTGTGTATGAATGGTGCCATACAAATAATAACCTTGGTTTGCCTTTTAAAAGCTATATATGTTGTAGATGATGGGGAAAATGCATTTTTAGTTTCTTTTTTAGCTCAATATGTGACAAAACCGCATATCGTAAACATAAACATAAGGCTTTAACCATGTCATTGTAACCCCCTTACTCCCATAAGGACATTTTGTATCCTTAAACTGTATTGAGCAGCTCAAGTGTGCGTGTCTGTGTGTGTGTGTGCGTCTATGTGTGTGTGTGTCTTTAAGCCGATGACGGAGGCGCACGGGCGTACTCCAGAGAGCCCTTAATAGCCTGCTTTACAGAAGTTGTCGTCCGGGTAACTGACACCCCATTGATGCTTTGCGGGGAGGTAGTTCTCATTTCCTGGGGCACATCAAAGCTGTGGAGGGAGGTGCAGGTGCAGCCCAGACCTCTCGCGGTTTGTTTTTTGGGAGGACTGTGCATGTGCCGTTTGAAGGGCCTAATTGTAATAACTTACTTTATACGCACAGGAAGTACTTTGTTTTGGAAAAATACAGGCGAGTGTTTTTTTTTTGGGGCTGTGTAAATACAAGTGGAGAGCCCTGGGAAGAGAAACTGTTGTGATATTGAGGTCTAGTCAAATTAGGAGAAATAAATAAAATGATCAAACTGCTTGTACTGATTTAGCCTCTTCCTAAACGCAAACACAGAAAGATTCCATGTTCTAACGATAATATTAACTTTTTGCCGCTGATTAAAGTGCAATACCCAGAAAGACAAATCAATCGACAGCTAAAACTCCATAGTTATTCCAAAAGAAATGCGGAATTCTCTCAATAACAACAGCACATTTTGAGGTCCAAAATATGGCAAGGCAAGTTTATTTTTATTAGGACAATTCATACACAAGGAAACTCAAAGTGCAGAACAAAAAAGACCATGGGTGAAAAAATATATTGTTTTATCCATTAGTTATTGATAGAGTCATTTCAGGGACTAGCCTCTCATAGTAGTAGTAGACTGGACATGTTATTTTTGGATGGACAGGTTGTGCGCTACCAAATAAATTGTTGCTCCATGAGAGACTTGCTTTGTTGCTTGATTAAAATGGGGAATGACAAGACGTTGGCAGAAAATCTCAACAAAATGACTAGGATGTGTCGACATTTGAGTCGTGCTGTGCCAGAAACGACTACAATTTGACTATATATATAAATATACACCCCTGCACAAATTCTTGGACCGTATATCTTGTCTTGTCAGTGCTTTGAAATATACTATTGAAGACTTTTCTTTTTTTTTGGATCTGTCACAGTAAAAGATCAGAGAGGGTCAGACTTGGCTGTGTGTTTGGTGTAAGCGAGGCCACAGCGGTTTGTAATTCAATTTTATTTCATTCTGTGCGTCTGCAAAGCCAGTCGGACCTGATCATGATTAGGACTGGGGATTTCTCATGGTGAATAGTTCCTAAATCCGGATGAGGAGGTGCATGGATCTGCAGCTTATGGATTATCGCAATAGCTCTAAGTGTGCATCAGCTACCCTGCTTTGTCTCCATAATGCCGTCATCTCTGCGCATGCTTGCCGCTTTCCTACTTTAAAATGTGACGTCTTAAAAAGAGCTGGGTTTCATTTAATCTTTGCATTTCTTGTTTTGGTTTGTTTGTAGATTTACGGCCAGTCTCCTAATGACGACATCAACCAGAACTCTCTGCATCCCTCCAGTAAGGGCCCCAATAGTCTGTTCGCCAGCACATTTTTTGGTAAGCTGTGATAATCCTGAACTATGCTGCCTCGGTTGGTTACAGATCTACAGTTGTGTCCTATATCAACAAGTGTGAATAGTTGCAGTTGCTTGAGTAGCATTCGAAATGTCCTACTGCCGTCGGGTGGTTTCCCCTTTAATCCAGTGGTTCTCAAAGTGGGGGGCACGATAGTTACTAATATAGAGGGGTGTGACATGTTTCCAAGACACAATTCCCAAAGATTTTCACGTATTTCATAGATTATTTCACCCAAGATTTTAGTGTCTGAGTGAAAGCGGGCCAAGTCACATAATATTTGACTCCATAAAAAATAGCAGTGGATTTATTTAAGTCTTCAAATGATTTCTGTCTTATATTGTATTCAGCAGTAGGGTTGATTTCATCCAAACCACTGCTCTAAAGTCATCAACATTTGACAAGGTATTTGGAAGTAATACCAAATGTATCACAGAAGTAATTATTTTCCAAGCATCTCTTCAGAAAAGTACTTGAAAACAGAATTGCCTGCACAGTTGCACAATCAGACTTTCTAAAAAGGGAGGAGTGCGAAGATTTAGTGTAATTCTAAAGTGTATTCTTCCTGCTTTGTTTAAGAAAAGTGGGAGGGATACTAAAGAAGTCCAGTTAAAGCCAGGGGACCTAACTGTCAAACCACAATTAAAGGAACTATGTTATAACATCCATATAACTAGTTCCTCGCTCTCAAAACCGTTTGCCTCTATCACAACATGTTACTTTAGACTTTTTCTGTTAATCATGATGAGTTTCCTCGCTTTAAAATAGGTACATTGTCTTTACAAAGAAATTATCTACTGCTCTTGAAAGAAAATGTGGTTAGAAGCGCTGTACATGTCATCTCATCTGTTAATTCTGAAATCAAGTGCAATGTGCAATACTGCAATTTCATAATGTCACTTTATCTACTAATTTACCCTGCCACAAATGTATATAATTGACACTATATATAGACAGATTTATTGATATTTTCTTCTACTGCTTTTAAAAAAGCATTCACAGCTAATTATATCTGTATATTTTGTGTGCAACATAGAGATTTCCCCACTGTGGGATGAATAAAGGTTCTCTTCTCTCATCGTATCTTTTGTCAAATCAATATTCATATCACTGCATGTAGAAAGATGAAGTAAATAAGCCTTTGAATCAGTGCGACGTCCACTAACGACCGACTCAAAACATTTGGATTTTATTTACTCCCGGCATCTTGTAAACAAAGGCCGATCTCCTCTCCAGTCTGTGGCAGATCTATGGCTTCATTAGAGACCGCTGCTTGTGTCTAGTGTCTACATTGGCCCTGATTAAGATGCTGCTCCGGTGCGGGCCATAACACGCCGTTATGTGTTTTTTAGAGGGGACGACCAATTCGCCCGACATCTGGAGCGCCGTAAACGGGCTGAACCAGCAGGGCTATGAAGGGGCACTGGGAGCGGCCACGTCTCTCCTCTCTCAGTCGGGGAGCTACGGCGGCATGCAGCCTCACAGTCACCTGGTGAGATTTACATCCAGCAGACTACATAGCGACACGTGTCTTCCACCCCCCTCACACACACACACACACACACACATACACACACCCCCTGCTGGTCTGACTGCGCCGGTCTTCTCTCACTTCACAGGACTACTCGCCACATTCGGTCATGGCCGCCGACTTGAACAGGGGCCTCCCACCGATGTCCTCCTTTCACCGTAACAACACGCCGTCCCGCAACGCGATCAATGCCACAGATAACTCCACAGGTGAGGAAGCAGTGTTGCAGAGTGGGGAAGTCCTGTATTTTTTTTATTGAATTCACGCTCACGACTATAGTTATCGCGGAGGAATTTTACAAAACTGTTGAATTCGCCAACACCGATCAGAGAATCAAACAGATCAAACACAAGAAATGCAATGATATAAAACACATAGAGCCCTCAAATGTCCATTACTACTGTACTATAACCATAGAATCTATCAGGTGTTTTTTTTCTGTCATATAGTCACCAGTATAGGGGCATTCCAGAAATTATATACAATATCTATCTATCTATTTTCTATTTTGATTCCTTTTGGACTTTTCCTCCCTGAATTTTTCATACTAAAACTAAACTGTTAGATGAGGACCAAAAGCCAAAAGGTTTTACTGAATTATATCGTATCGTTTAGAATCGTATGAAATTGAGTCGTATCAAATTGAGTTTTATCAAATGAATCGTATCAAATCGAGGCTTTGAAATATATCCTCCAAATTCACCAGCTTAAAGCCAAAATTCAGCCGTTTCTCCACTCAGTATAAACCAGCCTCACCCCACATCTTCAGTCAGATTTAGCCCGGATCAAACTTTGCCAAGGTGACGTGGTGTGGGAGAAATTGAAACGGCACAATTTCAAAGCGGCGACACATCTCGAGTTGTCTTTTGATACAAGCCGTTATTTACATATGAATCGATTCTAATGATTTTTTATTCTTTGCTTCATGATAATAACGGGTTGCTTCTCGTTCTCAGGTAACCACGGGAGTTCACAAACAGGAGACACTTTGGGCAAAGCTCTGGCTTCAGTAAGTATGCACAGCCCTGTCCCCATTACAGAAGCTCATCTGTGCTCAAATAGCAGCATTAAACCTGGTCCCAGTGGCATAATTCAAAAGGGAAATAATTATTCTTCCCCTGGATACTGCATATTAACTGTGCAACCACTCGCACACTGCAGGAGTTTTTATTGGCTGCCAAACCACTAAAACGAACAGAATTGATGAGTTTAGCTGGGGTTATGAGGCTGCACCAAAGGATATATCAGGGACAGTAAAACAGCAACGAAATGACAAGACGTGTCCTCAACGTGATCCGTGCCTAGGTCAAAATCACAACTAAACCAGCACCGAGCCGTAGAAAAACCACTGAAGCAAGACAAACGTCAAGCTCTTTGTGGCGACGCAGGGAGAAATGTAGGCTATAAATCAAGGAGAACCAAAGGGAAGTGCTGTTACGAGCTCGAGCCTGGACTGAACCAGCTCGTCCCGGGCTTATAATAGATCCATGGCTAGTCCTGGTTCAAATCTGGCGTGAGGTTCAGGTTTTTTTTTAAAGTATTTTGATTTTGATTTGTGTGTTTGTTTTTACCAAGTGCACAGTTGCAGCAATATAATAAAATAGTAGTAGAAGTAATTTTGAGAAACTTGATGTAGATTTCTTATTTATTTTTATGCATGCCTTAGTCTATGATCACTTTTATCACTTGTTTGCACCGAGAGCCAACGTAATTTCCTATTTTGACTTCCTACTTCCTGTTACTCACAATAAATAACTGATTTGGTTGAGGCTAGGGCTGAGGTTAGATACGAGGATTATTTATGGTCAATAATAAACATGAAAGTCACAATAGATAATAATATAATGTTGCACTAGGATGAGGCTTTCTCTGGGACCAATCAGGATTCTGTGTAACTGTGAACTTCACCATAGACACAAAAAAAGATAAATAAAATAATATGAGGTGATAATTGCTTGAATTGAGTGGTTTTTTATCTTAATTTTTAGCACATTCTGTCTGTCTTAAAAGAAGATTTGCCAATGGGACAAATGGTACAAAGCCATTTCGTCTTAATTCAAGAACTATTGCTTTCTTTTCTCATTCCAAGGGAGACATTTCTTGTATCTTTTCAAAATAAGATTATTTAGCTTGTCTCTTTGGTAAATCTTGTCTAAAGACAGTCAAAGTGTGCTCAAAAGAAGATAAATTTTGAGCAATTTTTGACTTATTTTTCACCACATTTTGCAGTGGACAAAACAAACTTAAAACAAGGATTATGAAAATGTAAATGAGGTTTTTTACCAGGTATAAACTCTCTCATCTTCTCTATTCTAGATATACTCGCCCGATCACACCAGCAGCAGTTTCCCCTCCAGTTCATCGACGCCGGTCCGATCCCCGTCTCCGCTGAACAACGCCACTGAGCCCACAGGTACCGACGAGACCATCTTCTGGTTTCAGTGTGTGCTCAGTTATTGTACACACTGTAGATGTAACTCTTGTGTGTTTCTTTTCTTTTAGGCACAAACACATGGCCCCCGACTTCAGTTCAATCTCAGGTTTCACCACATTATGAGTCGTCACTAATATCACTGGTAAGAAGCCGTTAGTTACAGTAGAATTGTGATCGTTAGAATAGTTCATGTATGAATGTGTATATTTTATTATACATTGTGGGAATCAGACGTACATAAATACATATATACCAGGGGTGCCAAATTTTGTTGGAGGGCCAAATTTAAAAACATGAGAATATAAAGAGTACATACGTGTAAAAGTGGAATAAAAGTAGTTTTTACATATTTTTAATTGAACTGTATTTGGCATGAGTTTGAATATTCTTTTTGGGTTTAAAATGAAGTGTAACATGCCATCGTAGCCCATTAACATCAATACTACAAGTTACTGCGATAAAAATAATTGAAAATCATTTCAGGGGCCACTAAGAATTGCCCCTCGGCCGGATTTGGCCCTTGAGCCTGAGTTTGACATGCCTGGTATATACAAAAGCGTTTAAGTTTAAAGCTGGGGTACTTATTTTTATTCAATCAATCAATCTTTATTCATAGAGCGCTTTTTTTGAAGCACAAATATTCATATAAAACACCAAAATCACCAATTATTATTTAATAAACAATTAAACATACATTTCATGTTTACAAGAAAGAGTCTTGACCAAAACACAAAAATATGTTATATTATACAGAGCCCTTTGAGTAACTAATTGGTGCTTTGGGCTAAGAGCTGATTGGCTGAGTGAGGGTGGTTCTCTATGTTTCACTGTCTGTCTGATCTATGGATGTGACAGAGGCCAGACTACAAACATGTTGGTGAAAACTAGAGATAGAAACAGGCTGTTTTGAGTGAAATTAACACGTCATGAGAACGTGTCATGTGAAAATCCCACACATGTAAACAAATCTGACCCATATATTTTCATATTTAATCAATGTGAAACAATTCCCCTTTGTTTTCCCTCTGTAGTCTCAGGTGGAGGACCGTCTGGACCGGCTGGACGATGTGATCCACGTCCTGAGGAACCACGCGGTCGGCCCCACAGCAGACGTCCCAGGCCTGCTCGCCCCCAGCCCCCACGCCCCCCAGGGACCCGCCTCCTCCGCCAGCGCCCTGCCCCTCGCATGCCACCCTTCTGCCATGGTTAACACCCTTTACTTTGAAGTTTATATATAGAGTAAACAGCCAGAAGGTCTAGTTTCAGGATTTCCCCTACAGCTCAATCCTATTTAATGTTTGAACGCTTGTGTCGTGACTCGTTTTTACTGGACGGGACCCAGTAGCCACAGAGACTCCCCTGCCCTCCACAATGCACTCATTTGCATATTGTTTTGGCACGCGCTTCATTTTATTTTTTTATTTTTTTTCCAGGATTGGAACTGGCATTAATACGTCAGGTGCCGGTCCAGGAGCTCTCTATAAACATGGGAGAAGCACAAAGAGCGTGTATACAGGCTTGTGACTCCTGGAGATATCGCATTAGTAGTTACTGTGGTTCAAAATGCATAATAAAAATAATTATTATTTTAACAGTGATGAAGGATATAGGAAATAATGGTCACAGTAATAATATATTTTAACAATAATATATTTGTATACATATATATTTTTTTAAATATAATATAGAACTTCAGATTGAGTTTGTTTGCCATTTATAGTAAAACCACATTGGAATATATGTGCAAAAGTCCCCAGGGTGCACCAGACAAGTACACAAATAAAACAGCATTTAGAAATAAGTATTAAAATATATATTAAAAGTATTATTTATTTTCACATGTATTCCAATGTGGTTTTAGCTGCAAATGGCAAATAAATAAAAATCTGAATCTGAATTATATTTTAGCCAATGGATTTGTATCATACCACACACATTACATTTCTTTCACTGTATTTGAGTAAAGCCAGCACTTACTAAAACTATTTACCACAGTATCTTGTTGCAGGACTTTCCCAGTTGCCCTATCATCATCATCATCGTTTTTTTATCACGCAAAAGGTTGCTGCCCTTGAAATCTAAAACAACACAATAGCACACACACACACACACACACACTAATTCTACTGTGGGTAGATGGGGGTGCGTTTGATTCGTACACTTTTAGCCGACCAGGGGATTTCACCCAGCTGGAGTGAAAGTGTATACAGGGAAAGGTTTTTTTTTTTTTTTGCCTAATCCTATGGGGGAGGGGTATTAAAAATCTCTTGTGTATTTTTTTTATTTTTTCCTAACAAATGATGGGTCAAAGCGAGTCTCTCCTGGAAAAGAATTAGGGGTATGGTTAGGGACTATACAGTACTTTTAAGAGCAGGATTAAGATTGTCTCAGATTAAATTAATTCTGCAGAGATAAAGATTGAGCCAGTGCTATTCTGAAAATGAGAGGGCAGATGTTGGTTCGCCGACTTATTTGTCTTTGGAGCTACGTTACGTGTTTTTCTTAGCCCCTTAGAGAAGATTTATGGAGGACACAGAATTGTTGTAGTCGCTGCACTTGCGGCCTGAATGCTGGACATGAATATTTATATGTGTGCTTTGTTTGTCATAAAGGTGGAAGCTATTGCGATGAACAACAACCAGAGTGCATTTCAAAGCCAGAACGGGCATCCATATTCAGGCAGGCAGCGGCTGGTGCTCCACCACATGCAAGCGGGCAACCGAGGTCAGTCCTGTTCCCCTCACTCGCCCCTGACACCGGGACTTTCAAATCCACCTCAAACCTCATCTGTTTAGACAATTTTACTCATTCACACCACAACCACACACTGCTCTGTCCATGCTGCTTTTAACTCTGTGTCATAACTGTTTTTATGATGTACTTTTGACGTAACGTATTATTATTATTTTTACTATTATTTTATTTCTATTTTTATGTTAGCTGCGTCTTCAGAACACACATTAAAGCAGTGGGTTTCAACAGGGACATGTCAGAACCCACCATCAACATGTAATGCCGAGCTGCTATCTATTTTTGTATCTAGTTAGTTGAACCCTGCGGCTTATATAGCAATGTGGCTAATAAGTGTATTCTTATTATGGTAGACTTGTCAGAGCAGAGTTTATGGACTTTTTAGTTTGACTTTATCATGTTTTTGTTGTCGTGGGTTCAATTCCCACCTCTGCACCTTCTCCACCGACTCCCACTGATGACTGCTGTCGTTGTGTCCTTGGGCAAGACACTTAACCCCACTTTGCCCAAAGCCCCCACTGAAAGATCAAGGCTATGCTCACACTCAGAGAGCAGCCGTCCTCCTGTGGACTCACCACCTGCAGAGGGTCAGTGAGGGGCTGGTGCTATGAGACTTGGGTGGCATCTCTGACTGCCACCCCCCTGACCCAGAAATGGATTAAAGGGAAGAAGATGGAGATGGATGTTTTACCAGCTAAAGGACACTTGTTTATTGTCACTGGTGAATGAGTCATGGAAACACCTCGTCATTAAATTAAAACAGTTGAATAAAACCTGCAGCTTATATTCCTATACGTGGACTACGTTGATTTTCTTTTACATTTTAGGTGGTGCGGCTTCTGTACACTTGCACCTTATAGTCCAGAAAGTACGATTGCACTGAAACTGTACAGTATTTTACTGTGTAATGAAAAATTGTATAGTTGAATAACATAACAAAGAAAACAAATTCTATTCACTCTGGAATCAAGGAAATAGATCTTTACATTTTTATATTTGTCTTTGAGTTAAGTAACTTGTTTGAGAAATCAGGGGCTTTATGTCATGTCTTAATAATACTAATATTATATTGATATTACTCTCAGAAATCAAGGGCACTTTTATTGAAGAATTTAAAAAATCTTTTTGGACTGTATTATGTAGTGTACGTATTTAAAAAGAAAAACATATCCCTGGAAAGGCTAAAAATTGTCCCGCGACCCACTTTAGTGTCAACCCACCAGTTGAGAAACACTGCTTTATATAACACTTTGAATATACTTGAGTTATTAATCCTGTGAGTTCCTGAATTTTTCTCTTTTCTAAATGTTTTGAACCATGTTTTTCTCCATGAGCACAGTTGAGCACAGTACGTCATAGGTTCATAGCAGCAGTGGTCAGGCCAATATACAGTACAACCAGGACATACATGAGTTGACTTTCAGTATTCTTGATGTTTTTGAATTAATTAAAAACATTTGGTAAAAGTACTTGTTACACTTACTTGTTTGAACATGTGACGTTTCCATGTGCAGGCGTCTCCTCAGCGTTGGAGCTGAAGATGGAGAATGGAGAGAGAGAGGACATGATGCACACGAGCCACAGCTCCGACAGCCAGCGCTCGGACGACGAGAGCGAGCACAAGAACGGAGACAGGAACAGGTGCGTTCAGGACGACCCCGACACATCTGTACCTGACTGTATCGCTCTGAGTATCAGCCTGAAGCAGGAAGTTACCTCATGGACTTTAGTTTATGCTTTTAACCACACTACATTGTTCCCTCATTAAAAAAAGACCCATTCATTTTAGATCCATCCATTTTTGATCCATCTATTTTACATCTTTTTGCACTAATATCAGGAATTTCTGCTGCAAACATAACGCCCCGCCCCCTTCTGTCTCAGTCCTGTTTATAGTATGATGCAGTTGTATTACTATGACATCACACACAGTCGTTTTCTGCCTTTTAATAAATAGTGCCTATTAATGTGTTTTGATAATGTTTCTGGTAAAATGACATTCTTTACAATCATATGATACATTTACAGCCGGTAAAAAAATATATATATATAACAAAAAAAAAAACAACTCCCTCTGGTGGTAGCAAAGGGAGTTACAGGCAGAAAGCATTTGTTTTTTTTCTTCACTATATGTTTTCTACTTAAGATATTTTTCCACAATCAACATGATCTGTTTCATTCTTGGTGCTTTTTGCGAATCAACAACTCTGTAAAGTCCTCCAAGACGACTACAATTGTGGCTTAGAGCGACACAAAAATACATTGAATTGCAAATTGAATTGAATTTTTATTTGCTTGCATTCACCACTGCTCCAAAAATGGTTTGGCAGCAATGACACACATTTTTGCACAAATGAGCAAGCGCTTTATTCTTGGGTGCGACATTTTAGGAGTATAAAAAGGTCAAAACAATATTATCTATACATATTTCATATCTGTTAGTCATTATTTCAAATCTTTATGTCCAAACACCAATAACAGCAAATGATGTCGTCACAAACCCATGAATATTCTTCTTGCGACTGTTCAAAGCTCAAATGACTGAATGGAGAAGTAGGACATCCAACTTTTACTGTTGTGGTGATCTCAGAAGTTGAAAAAAACCACAGACTTTTCTCTACTTTTATAATTCAGCCTTAGATTGTTTTTAAATTGAACTTATCACGATGCCCTAGAACAACAGTATAAATCTATACACAGTAAATCCATTTAACGACAGCCAGTTATTCGATAATAATGTTGTTCAAAGACATTTCAGTTTTTTATGGTTTTACATTAGACCCTAAAAATATCAGATAAAATGCTCAGAGGGTCTTCAGAGGTCGCATGAGGACAGAGCGCCCGTAGCTTCATCTGTGCCATGTCTGTTTTGCTCTTAATAGGGAGGATAATCTGGTTGCATGATAGCCATCTTTTATGTGATATTACACGAACGCCAGCGACGTTTAAGTAACTGTATGCTCTTTGGAGGCTTTCCGATATAAAGTGGTGGGGGAAATAGTTTATGTATGTTCTGTGTGTAAGTGAGATGAGCTCGTAAGAAGTTTGTTGGTCGTCCAGAGTCAAGTATAAATGAGCCCTTTAAAAAACTCCTTGCTTGCCATAGACGTCTTTTTGTCATAGACTGGTGATTTCATTCAAACTTCCCTCTACTTGACTGGGGATTACAGGAGAACCAAAGAAGCTAGAAACAAATTATTATTTTGATGATGAAAGTTGTCAGCCCAGTCTTTCAGAATCCGGTTTCAGATTTCACAGAACTACACAATATTCTGTGGGTCTTAAAAATATGTGAAAATCCTCCAAAACGGCAGGCAGTCAATGAGTTAATGTTCACTCCTTGAAGAAAGAAATTTGTTCTTTTAAGGTGTATATGCACTAATAACACAAATATTTAGTAGTTTGTTTTTATTTAAAGGCCTTTACCAAATTGTTGAGGCCTATTTTGATGGTAAAAGTGCCGAAAACCAAGTGAGATGCCCCAAAGAGGTATATTAAAGATTACATATAGTGACAAAAGAAATAAAAAAGGAAACCATTACAGTAAAGGGTTAAGGGCAAAAAAGTAGAACGCAAAATTTGAGAACAAAAACTGAATTTCAGCTGAAGTAAAGCGAAACTATAACCACAACTATGCAGATTTAGACAAACTTATACCTAACTTTCAAACTGCTTGGACAATGGCAGTAAAATCTATCAAACTATTTCACTCGTCTTCACTAAACCCAAAGCATCAAATAGTGACTCACAGGGCTCTTTCTCACAAGTATGCCAACAATAACATGTTTCCGATGAGACAAAGACAGCAGAATGTGGTCTTATTTGTTCATAACATTTTACTTTGACGAGACAAACCCAACATTTGTCTGTCCTAATATTGTACTTTTTTGGGACAAACACTGTGTATTATTATTTAGGGGAAAAGTCCCTCAGATTTAATGGGAGCAATTTGCAACTAAACCTGGATTGAATAAGAATAGTGAATTTCCAAACAGGACTCAACTTGATATAACGTCCTTGTTTTGCATTAAGTGACCAGCAGGGGGCAGCTTTAACCACCTTTTTTTCCTCTGTACACTATCCTTCATCAACTTTTTTTGTCCCACCAGTCTTCACGAGGACGAGGATCTGAGTCCGGAGCAGAAAGCCGAACGGGAGCGTGAGAGAAGGATGGCCAACAACGCCCGGGAGCGGCTGAGGGTCCGGGACATCAACGAGGCCTTCAAGGAGCTGGGCCACATGTGTCAGCTGCACCTGAAGAGCGAGAAGCCACAAACCAAACTCCTGGTGCTGCACCAGGCCGTGGCCGTCATCCTGAGCCTGGAGCAACAAGTCAGAGGTGAGGGAACGACGCAAACACACAATATGTACGTTATAGTTTGGATTTTGACTTTGATTTGGTTTGATCTGAAGGCATATTGTGGTATTGCAGATTCTATATATTATTCATATTATAAGTATATGTAGAAAATACAATCGTGATATGAATATAGATAGACAGACAGACAGATAGATAGATAGATAGATGGAAACATATATAGATGGATAGAGAGAGAGAGAGAGAGAGATAAATAGCCTCACACTTTGTAAAAACGCCAAATAAAGTATACGAAATTACAACGTTTTGAAACAGAAATACGTTAACTTTTTATATAATATCCTGAGAAAGCACAGCCGATTTAAGTCTTTTGTCAGTGGTTTTGAAACTGGTTGATAATTTGTGAAAAATAACATTAATTGTTAAATTATCCAAACATGATTACTGGTTATATGGGCAAAGTCCAGTATTATGTTAAAATAAATGACATTCATGATTTGCATTGACATCACTGTGAAGGTCAGGCTTTGTGATATTTTTAAACTCAGTTGGGGTTTGTGAACTCCACATTGTTTGATCTCTCTCTAGAATTAAGGTTAATGTTGTTTGAATAATATCAAAGAAAAGATAGTTTTTTAAATTCCTTATCGTTCACTTCTTTTGTTTCTTCTTTCTTTTTACTGATTACCCATTTAACATGATAATGCAGCTCTAAGTAATATCCCAGTGTAATTCAAAAATCTCCTTACCATTTAATGACTGTTCCCTGTGTTAATACAGAGAGGAACTTAAACCCCAAAGCGGCGTGTCTTCGGAGGCGAGAGGAGGAGAAGGCAGCCATCTTGTCCGATCCTCAGTCCATGCACTTGGCGTTCCACCCTGGACTCACAGACGCAGGGAACCCCATGGGCCACATCTGAAGACACACAGGCACGTGTTTTTAACTCAGCTCTCTGCTTCGGTTACTTTGCTGTAGCACGTAAGCTCATGTTCTGTGTTTTTCTCATACAGGTGCTAAAGAAGTCGGAATCTTTCTGATTTTGGATCTGTGGAGAGTTGGATTTCTCCGTGTGATGCAGTTGAACAATCATCTCCTCATTTCCCAAAACAAACTCTTTATATTGTGCCTAAACGTTATAGACAAAAGCATTGTACACTGCAGATATTTTCTTTGTAAATATTTTGTTAATATTTCCGTTTGAATATAAAGTAAATGAAATTGTCATCTGCAGTTTTTGATGTATTTCAGAATCATTTTTACAATGCGTGTGACTCAGAGGGTGACGGACATTCCTATTTGTGTGTTCAAAGCTATAATTTGCCCAGTGTGTGTTTGTGTGAGTGAGTTTTGCAGGAGTTTTGACCATTCTGTGAATGAACTATCTCCAGGAATGTCCCTAATGTATGTGCTTTACAAATATACAGTATATCTGTTGTTATATATTTGTGTTTTAGCTTTGGCTAAAGGAACATTTCTGCATCTCTGTATTACTATGGATAGAGCTAGGTCATGTCTTTTGTAAATTATTAAGTTATCTTTTCTACAACTATTTTAAATATTAATCTGTAATAAGATTATCATTGTTGTTTATATTTTTTTCATACTATTATTCTGTTTTTTAGAAGTAGCCATATTTTCTGAGCAAAATGTCTACATGTGTTTTGCTCCCTATATATCTCGAACAATGTTCAAATACCCAAAAGTCATTTGAAATACTGTAAAGTATGTGTACAGTTTGAAGTAGCCAACAGGCATGTGTCATAACAAAACTGTAGCAATAAATGTGTTTTTACAAATGTAGTGTGTTTGTTTATATATTTTGATCTCTGTTCGCGGGCAACGTTTTGACAGGTACACTAGGCGAGGCTAGTTTAGTTATATAGCACAATTCATACACAAGGCAACTCAAAGTGCTTAACAAAATAAGATAGAGTCACACACAAACACACACAAGGCATTCAAATCATAAGTATAGACCAAAAAGAGCGAAGATAAAACTCCTCAGTTGTAAATGGATAGATACAGATTAATGTATTACTATTATTATCATTGTTATTATTATAGACCAAAATAATTGTTTTGTCCATAGAATAGTTTTGAGGTTTGGATATTAAGTAATTTTTTTGCAGTGTTGCTGAATACAACACTTCAACTGCTTACTATCGTTTACAATCATGTTTTAGGGAAAGGCCTATCAAAGTTTTACCAAATGTCAAAAATAAATGGGTCATATGGACAGGTCTTTGTCTTTGTCTGGCTGTGTATCCCACTGACAGACTTTACATCCTGGGCGTGGTGTTACCAACTTATATGAAGAAGAAAAAAAAAACCTCTTGTGTTTTACGCGCTTTGTTTCCCTCCTTTACAAGTTTGGGAGGCAGATCCGCGCATTGTCACCGCATTAACTCAACTTTTCACGTGAACTAAGGATCAGTAATGAGCCTCATTTGCATAAGAGTGGGAAAGTCGGACCCGAGGAGCGCGCAGTGAAGGCGTCTCCCAGTGCCCGAGATGCTCCTGTACCTCTCCCAAAGGCGCAGCGCTCTCAGGACCAGGACGCAGGACGCAGGACAAGCGCACGGCCCGGGGTAAGTGCCCACTCCTGCTTTTACCTCCTCTAACTTACACACAAACTTCACTTTTGACACATTTATGACATGTCAAGTTTGTAAAGTGAGCAATCAACGTCAATGTCTGACTTTTTCCTTGTTCCAAATTGCGCGTTCAGACAGTGTGATATGTTTGAATGATGTGGTTGTTATGTCTGGGTTCAGTTAACGCCTTGAGTGAAGTTTTAGAATTATTAATATTTGTGGATATTTTTGTGCAGTCAGCGTTGCTAAAAAATTGGATTATAAGCCAGAGCTGCTGTGGCCTTTGTAGAGTGGGATGTTTGTTTAAGTCTAACCGGATAAAGAGAGTTTCCTCACTGTCAAACCATGCATAGGATTTTTTGAGTCGATTTGAGAGTTTATTAAAAAATATTTCCACTTGGTTTGATCTAACTGCTCGAGGCTGATCTGTGAAATTAAAGCTGGGGTACTTAACTTTTAAAGCTCAGATAATAAACGAAGTCATAACATCAATGCAGCTATAGTTCATCGCTATCGTTTGGTTTTCACGTGTATTTTAGTTTGTTTTTTTGGTCAGATAAGTGCAAAAAGAGAGGACCACCTTCAACCAATCAGCTCTCAGTCCACAGCGTCAAATAGTGACTCACAGGGCTCTTTCTTTTACAGTAGTATGGATGCACGTTTAGACTAATGACATGGAGAGAGCGTGTTTTCGTCTGATTTGTTCTAAATTATTTGCTTTTTGGACAGACATAATGTTTTATTTATGACAAATTAGGTAACCCAGCTTTATGTTAAAAAGCATTGAGGGTTGTTTTAGGATCCAGAACTCGGTCGGGTGATAGCCTAAATACAAAAGAAGAATTCAAAACATGAGATATCTGCAGAAGAAGCACTGGGCTTTCACCAATTCCACCATTAATCCAGTGTAATTGTGTAATGGCAATGTCAGGGTGTTACTTTTACTAACATTTGACCAGTGGTGTTTAACTTTACCGCTCTGGAAAGTAAAACTAAAAGAAGATATCATATTCCTAAATGCAATCCTATTTTATATAGCACTTGATAAAGAAACTGTTTCCAAAGTGCTGCACAGAAACAAGATACACATAAAATATCACAGACATCTGACAATTATTTATGAAAAAATATACAAATTATCATTCAAATAGTTGCGTATCAGTGGCTGTCTAAAATGTAGGCAATGTAACCCTGACATCAAGTCTCAGATGTGGTGAAGTAGAAATCCGATAAAATATTTTCCATTTATTATTACACACATTTATGAACTTATATTTTTACAAAGAATAACATTAAAGTTATGTATGGGTTTGGAACAGCTTCATCCTACCCATTTTCAAAACATCCATGAAATGACATTGTGTTTGTTCAGGGAGATTCATTTTGCCTAAAGGTCATTTCATGTATTTTGTAATGTACTGTATGATAAGAGAGAACCTGTATTTGTCGCGCAGTGGGGACATTTCTGTGTCGTAGTTGCGGACACATTACAAGACAAACGAAATGATAAGCAAACATCAAACAAGGTGAATTTATACTATTTCATTTGGAAATGATCAATTCTAACCTCTCAATCTTAGATAGATAGATGCAAAATGGGACCACATGTGTCCACTGTCACTTTACCGTCACTTTTAGCCCACGTCCTCATGCTGCAAACATGTATAGATTTCATGCTATCAACTTATTCAGATTCAGTTTCTTTGCCATTTGCAGTAAAACCACATAGGAATAAATGTGCAAAAGTTCCCCAGTGTGCACCAGACAAATATATACAATACAACAAGCCAAAAAGGACAAAAACTCAATAGTAAGTAAGTAAGCTTTATTTATATACCGCCTTTTCACTGCAGATCTGAGTCTCAAAGCGGTTTACAATTGTTAATTTTGGGCATTTGTCTCACTCCACACAGAGATGGGAGAGGGGCCAGTACAGGAGGCACATGTCAGAACTATTGGACATATTTTTAGTGATAGGGGAAACCGGAGTACCCGGAGGAAACCTACGCAGACACAGGGAGAACATGCAAACTCCACTCAGAAAGGCCCTGGTCCGACCGGGATTTGAACCCAGGACCTTCTTGCTGAGAGGCGAGAGTCCTATCCACTCAGCCACCATGTCACTGTGAAATCAATCAACTCTGTCTGGTGCACACTGGGGTAGTCTTGCACAGTTTTTCCAATGTGGTTTTACTGCAAATGGCAAATAAATGAATCTGAATCTGAATCTGAGAAACAGTCAAGATATTTAAAGTGCTATTTCCAAATCGATCACAGTTTGTGGAAAGAAGATGTTAGCTTATTGAGATGTCCTGCATCTCAGCGAACTATATCTTCTGCCAGAGGGAAGAAGCTGGAACATGGCTTTTTTCAGGGTGGCCCGAAAGATAATGGGTTGTTCACGACAAAAAAATAGGTTTGAATCTTAATTTGAATACAATCATTTTGCTCATTTTCCCATTGGCAAATCCTGTTTTAAGGCAGTCAAAATGGGCTCAAATTATGATATATTTTGCCAATTTTTGTCATATTTTTCATCACTTTTTGCAGTGTTTAAAGACCTCGGTTCAAACTCCAGAATCTATACATAAAAATAACTTAAACATTCTTTGCACTCTATTCTCCATATAGTGAGCAGTCCGGATTTTAGTTTAGTGATTAAATACACCAAAACACTGTACATTCGCAGTAAAGTTGTATGTATTTCAAAAATGTCAGTATCAATCTATACTGGGGTCATTTGTGTGTAGTGGTAGTGGTCATGTTGTGGTGCCCTGGTGCAGTGGTGATGGAAACACAATCGCTCTCTGTGACTCACACACTGACCTAACTGTCTTCATTGAGCCTCCATCAGCCTCTCGTCCGTGTCTCTTATTGGCTTTATGTTGTCACTACCGTCATCCGTCATTGTTACGCCAGAGACTTGGGGCCATTGTTGTGTAAACACCGCTTTTTGCCTCACCAGCCTGATCGCTCACTTTCCCATGATCCACCTTGGACGCACAATGTTATGGAGTAAGTTTGTGTTTATTTAGACGCTGGAAGGAAAAAAAAAAGTTGAAGGAAGGAAAGCAGCACAATACTGTAATAATAATAATAAGAAACGCAATGTCCAGGGAAAGATATTTTAGTGGATAAGCTTTGTTGATTCAGAACCAAAACGAACCAAAATCTAACCTAGTATGAACTTTTTTAAATCTTCATAACTTTGTGACTTTTTCTGCTTCTTTATGTAGTTTATTTCCATGTCATTTCTTTTAATTTTGAGTAGAGAAGTAGATAAGAGCCAATGCTAGTAACCATAGCAACATACTGTTAACATGCTACCAGTTAGCATTAGCCTTTCAACAAACTTTTTCTGTATTTCAAGTTATATTTTTAGCAATTATTTAAAGTCAGTGACGGTACATTTGAATAAAACTGATGGTTAACTCTGTAACTTTTTTAGAATTTCATTGATTTGAACAGGAGCAGTCAAAATGGCGGCTCTGGGGGTTCTTGTAGTTTCAGAAGGCTGGGGGTCCTAGTGGTAACACAGCTATTTGCTTGGAGGGCTGGGACACTTTACTTTATTGTTTCATTAAAAATACATTTTGTTTCCCCCAAACAGAAAGAGCAAAGAGGGATTGGCAGAGTGAGGGTGGTCGTCTCTGTTTCACTTTTCTGTTTGACAAAGCTGATCTAAATGTGACAGAGGCCAATACTTCATTTACTACCAAACTGTACAGAGAGCAAGGAACTAGTAGGCTGGATTTTTCTACATCGTTCAATATTTATGGTTTGAAAGTTATTTACCCCAACTTTAGTGTTGGGGAGTAACGGGATACAAGGCAGCTACGTACTCAGAATACTCTTTCTGAAAATCACAGGAATACGTACTTTCTCACTTTACATTTTAAGGTGAAAAGAAAAGAAAACATTGGGAAATAAAGTAAATATTCTTTTTTCTTTTTCTATTTCTAAATTATCAAACAGAACATGTTTTATTTATTGAGGTTGTGGTTTTAAGTATTTTGAAATTCACCTTTATAGGTTTTGTAAATATAAGTATTTTAAGTATTCGGAATACAGATACTTCTTTTTCCAAAGTAGCGGACTACTATACAAATTAAATTTTAGGTCCTGTATTCAGTATTCTGGAAGTATTCTAGCCAACACTGCAGCTTTAATGAAGCAGAACTGTGCCCTGAACGTAACAGAAAACTTCTTTCATTGATAAGTTTTCACATATATTTTCCGTTGCCGCAGGGTGTAGACTCTTCACATAAGTTCCACAATGCATCGGCAGAACAGTTCTCCGGACGTCAGGGTGGTCAGGAGCCCCACCGGTCAGGAAGGACTATTCGGAGTCCGAGTCCAAGTCCAAGGCTTCAAAGGTCAGCCATTTGTGATCCTCAACAGCAATGACCAGGAGAGCAATCGAGACGTGTCTGTCATCACCCACCAGGCTGGATACAACCCTGGGGTGGCCACGAGGAGGGGCGGAGACGACAGGACCGACCGAAATGTAACGTCTCCTACTTTCAATTTCCACAAGCATCCAGAGATTTTGAGGCCTTATAACCCGGACAGCAACGACCACAGTATAGTTTTGCCTTCACAAGTGGCGAAGCGGGGAGGAGGCAATGAAAAAGATCCCAGACCAAGGATCCCTCTCCCAGCTGCAAGTTCAGAAAGTCACGAACCGCCTGCTTTAGGAGGACAAAGACCGGCGAAGTCTCCAAACACTATCGTCACAGATCCGTTCATGTCCGTGGGGAAACTCATCAGTCAGTTCAACAGCAGTCAGCAGCAGAGGGGGAGAAAAGGCCCTAGATCCAGGTTGGACTTGGAGCAGTGTCGGAGGTCCCGCAGCGTGGACAGCGGCCGCGCCTCCGATTCGTCCTGCTCCGATTCGTCGTCCGGCCGGGCCTCGTCTCTGCGGGCGGGGAGAGGGGAGGCTCCAGGTGTGGTGTACCCGGCTGGATCGGCCCGGGCCAGGCTGCTGAGCGGAGAGGGGAGCGCGGTTATTAAAAAGAGGGAAGACGTGAAGCCGACTGGACTCACGGAGAGACCTGAAATGATGTCGTCACAAGCAGCGAGACTGGTGCAGCGCTCAGTGGCAGCCAGAGCCAACGGGGAGCCAAGGAATGGGAGTGAAGAAAGGGAAATTCAGGTAAATATTATATACTCATGGGAATAAGAAACAAAAATAACTGATATGTTTTTTTATTGATGCCATTAGAACAGAGGTCAGGACCATATGGCTCTCAGACAGATCTAAGTTTGCATTAATATATAAAATATATTAATATTTTATCTCAGTATGAAAATGTTATTAAACAAAATCCTTAATTCAAAAAATCACACATATTCACAGTTCAAAAGTTTAACGCACCCAGAGAAATGTTATTAATTAGTATTTTTTGGCTATCAGCTGAAAAGGTTCCCCACCTCTGCACTAGAACTAACTAACTACATTTAAAGGTGATACTGTCCTGGTGGAAGGTCGGCTTTTTAATTGGATCTAAATCAGGGGTCTCCAACCTTTTTCAAACGTTGAGCTACTTCTAAAAATATCTATGTATTAAATTCGACAAGAAACAACACACATGGAGAACACATGTAAAACATACTATAATACTGTACATTCATTCAGGATCATGCGTTAAATTCTAAATCCTTGGGGGAACTACCTGAAAGGGGCTGGCGAGCTACTCCTGAGCCACACGTTGGAGACCCCTGATCTAAATGTTGTTATGTCTGGAATGTTCAAATATGGGACTATAGGGACATTGATAGAGTCCAATTCATAGGCAAGGCAACTCAAAGTGCTGAGTACACTAGAGACAAGTGACTGCACCTGGCTAAGTTCAAAGTCATTTCTGCGCCGAGGTTAGCTAAAAGGAACCTCAATCTTCCATTTAATAGTATATGAAAGCAACAAAGTGGTTACATAGATCTACCTGTGGTGTAGGCAATTTTATGTATTATTTTCTTTAATTTCCTGTAATTGTGAGTCGTGATTTGTGAATAGTCATTTTTAGTACTTTCAGGTCAGAACAAGGTTTGCGATAGGTTAATGACATAGACATTAAACGCAGGATTAGGAATAAACTTCAGAAAAAAACAAATTTTGGTGTGAACAATACTTTAATTATGCTAAAAAGCTTAAGCAATGTTAGAGTTAGTTTTCGAGCATGTGCCGTTTTACATCATACAGAGGTAGATTCTGAGAAAAAGAACCAACACTTAATAACAAGCTGGCAGTGGACATAATCAGAAAAGTTCAATACACCTTTAAGGTTCTGTTTGATCACAATATTTTGATATAATATAATAATCTTAAATACACATTACCTTCACATGACTTTCAATTACCTTAAATACACAGAATCTTAAATACACATTACCGTCATCAAATTACATCTACAAATACATATGAATGCTACTATATAAATGTTTATCTTTTAGACATTTTCAAAAAATCGTATAATATCAGTGCAGACGCTCTTGTTTTTGTGGCCGTATGTCCCGTAACCAGGTCACTCCTGATCTTCTGAAAGGGCAGCAAGAACTCACAGTGGATCCGACTGAAGACGCTGCCAAACAAGTGCTGTTTGCCTACCTGCAAGAGGGGTAAGCTCTCTAAAGGAACACTGCAATCACCATCACTTTAGCACAAGATAAGATCAGCTTTATGAATCTCACAATAGAGAAATGTACATGTCGCATTTGGCATAGATAGAATCACTCCGGGTGTGCGAGATATATTATGTACAGTTAAATTAAAAGTGACTATAGTGGTTTCAGCATGGATCAGAGCAGACCGTAAGAAAGAATGCAAACAAAAGCCTAAGATTGGGATAAAACTATTGTTGACGCCGCTCTGCTTTTGAGGTTGCAGTGTACGAGATTTAAGAGATCTTTTATTCGTCCCTCAGTGGGGAAATTTTAGCGTTGCATCACCGTTACAGAACAGTAGGAATGAGGAGCACATGGCACAAGATGAATGAACAACAACTCTATACTAAAGTAAAATAAAATAAAATCTCTAACTTTAGCATAATGAAGAATCAAGATAAATCTCTGACTTTAGCATAATGAGAAGTAAGTATAAAGTCTCTAACTAAGTGTAAAATGCTGTATATTCAAGTGCAAGAATGATATAGTTGTATGTACTGTATACACCTGTACATGTTAGCAGCACGAGTGTATAGACAAAGTGACTAAATAAAGGGACAGTAACACATGTGTTTCTATATTGCACATTCTGACGATGCAGAGAATACCAGCATCTAATGAAGTAAAACCCTTTTCAATTACAGAAAAGGTCAGTTAAAACCTAATTTGTTTCAGGACATTGAGGTTGTGAGATAAGGAAGTGCATCTCCAGCTGTGTGAACTCAAATCCAGCTTTCAGGAATGTGCGGATACTAGGAGTAAAGACGCAGGGAAAGCTTGAAAAACGTTGGAAATTTGTTGTTGAAATGGGATTTTTGTATCACCAGAACGTCAACAATTCGTAATGTTTTAAAGTCTGGGTCAAATGATGGAAAGTGTGTGATGTGTTGATGGACTTATGGAGGGAAGTAGTAGCTGCAGCCCGAGAGAAAATAATGCCACAACCCTTCTTCCACTTGAGTTGCAGGTGAAATATTTTCTTTTTTCAGGACGACTGACGATGACTCCACGACTGAGATGAAAGTGAAGCTGCTGCTGGAGCGGATAAACAGATTAAAATGGAGGACAGCGGAGAATGTGGAGGAGGAGGAGAGAGTGAGTGACCTGTTACATGATCAAGTAATCTGCAAACACTGGTCATGGTGAAGGAGTCGTTCTCAGTTATCACGGTTAAAAAAACACACACAGATCATTCCTTTCTGCCTCTATCGCTTTACAGACGCACGAGGGGAAGATTTGTGTGTTTAGTAACTGTGATAATGGAAAGTAATGAGTTCTAGTAAAAGATTTGTCAGAGAACAAAACAAAACAAGATCATAAACTAAAGGATTTACACATTTTCTGACTGGTGGCCATGGAATGTTTTGGAAGGATTTGTCATTGTTTACGTCATCTGTTGTGAGATGCATAAGATAGTGTTGTTATTTTTGTACTGCAGGCCCAAACTACAGGCCCAATACACTCTCTGACCCTTTTTTTACGACAAAAGTCTCATTCCTGTCTTTACTGAAACACTGAGCAACAGGGGCTGATGTGTGTAAATGACCCGTAATTTAACCCGCCTTGCGACCTAGTCTTTTTTTTTGCCAAAGTGTGTTCAGTGTGACCGCTCAGACAATATATTGCAGTAATTTGTAAAGCAAAAAAACCATAACAATAAACGGTTTTGTAGCCCTCTGCTTGTATGGTGATCAGATGCAGTTGTAGTAGCAATTATTTCAAACTTATGTACACAAAAATACAAATAAAAAACAGGATAGAAAATAGATAGTAAAACACAGTTTGAAAAAGGGTTGGACACACACACACACACACAAAACACGGGCCAAAAAACTCTCTGGCCCTACACCTTTTTCTTGAGACCTTGGGTGCACTGCAGAAAGTACGGTTTGACTCTTTTATTTTGACACGTTCTTGTCTTCCCTGTGGCCAAACCAGTGGAGGCGGGTCCTGGCTCAAAACGGTTGATGAGCACCTGCGCTGACATGCTTGTAATCTGCTTGTAATCTGACTTCCTGCCGGTGGTGGCGTACCCGGAAACAGAATAATCCAATTCATTTTTACGACGCCTTGTTTCCTCTTGAAAACAGCTCTACAGGTTGGTCCAAAAGTCGGCTCTTGGCCCAAATCAGCGTGACAATGCTGAGGTTTTTTTTTTTTTGGACCAGTCTAGTTTAGCCGCTTTGGACTTTTGAATGCATTTGTTCAATGAATGAGGCTCGGCTAACACATGTGCATTTTTTCACATTTTCCTGCGGGAGGGGCCACTTGCTGCCATTTTAAAAAGATGGCAGGAGGGAAAGTGATGACACATAAGTTTCAATGGTGGAGATAGGCGTCCGTTAATATTTACAGTCTATGGGTCAAGCCTGACACGGGTCCAAACAACACACCGATCCTTCCCACCATTCCCACTGTCCCATTTCAACAGCGGCCACAATCCTAATTTTTGTTATCCTATTTAGTTTTATATCTTTATGAAAATGATTTGTCCTCAGAATTTTGAAGCCGACGTGGAAGTCCTGCAGAACAAACAGACCTCGCTGGAAAACGAGATTTTTGACCTCAAGATCCAGCTGCAAGTGGAACTGGAGGTATAAACGACAGACGCTTCCCTCGACTGATACGAGTCAAAGTCACATTATTATGGAACACGCTCTCCTTTTGCCTTTTGTGCAGAATGAAAAAACGTTGGCGAAGGCAGTTGAAAAGTCAAGGACAGATAAGAAGACGCTACAGGACGACTTGGCCCAGAGTCAAAGTGAAATGTCCCGACTCAAGAGCCGCCTGAGCGAGACGGAGACACAGCTTCAGAAAACCAAACACGAGTATGGACTGTTCCGAGACGACTTTTGACAACTTAACGCTGTGGTCCCTGATTTTATTATTTGTAATGTAAACAAAATTGGAATCTATATAACTTGTTGCTGTCTAACACACACACATACACAATGACCTGCATCAGTTTTGTCACCTCTCAGCCCAAAGCATCAAAAAGTGACTTACATGGCTCTCCTTTGCCATAATCAATCACTTTTACTACTATTGTTACACTGCAAAAAATGATAAGAGTTTTTCCAATGGCGACAAAGCCATTTATTGAGTATTATTTCAAGAACTGTAGCTCTATTTTCTCATTCAAGGGAGACATTTCTTGTATTATTATGATCGTCCTATTGACAAATCCTGTTTTAAGTCGGTCAAAATGTACTCATTAACAATTTTTGACTTATTTTTCATTACTTTTTGCAGTGTATTGTCTTTACCTCTGGTGTTGTCTATACTCTAACCCTAACCATATCCAAACTTGACTATTGACATTGTGAAGGTTGAGAAAGTAGGATTCCCTCTAGTACTTTGCATTTTTGTAAAACAGTCACAAACATTGGGCTTCTATCTGTTCATATCTGTACAGGAACAAAACCGGAGCACAGATTGTCTTCTCAGTATCTTTTTGATATTTCCAGGCTGAACCAAATGAAAGCGGAGAAGGAGCGAGCCAAAACAGAGATGAAAGACCTTGAGCAGCAGCTGTCCGAGATGCACGACGAGTTGGACGAAGCCAAAAGGGCGGACATAATAAACGCTCAGAAAGAAATACTCCTCAAGGTAAAACAAAGCCATGTGTCCAAACCACCGTCAGCTGCAAAAGCAAAAACCGCAAGATTTCTCTGCGCTGAAAGAAACATGGCACCGGAAAAAAACGTGTTTGTAGTTCCAGGACCGTATGCAAAGTTCTAGTCATGTATCAAATGTAAGTCTTTGGGAAAAAGGGATATTACTGTTGGGATTCTTGGGGGGGGCAGCTTTGTAATCCACAATACTTCGGACTACATTTAAAAGTAACAATTCTGGTTGGGTTCGTTCACCAAATTGAAAACTAGTAATGAAAAATGTGTCAGAAATTGCTCAAATTTGGCAAAATGTGTCTTCTTTTAAGCACATTTTGACTTTCTTAAAAAAAGATTTTCCAATGGGACAAAGAAAAAAAGATACAAGAAATATCTCCTTTGGAATGAGAAAATAAAGCAATAGTTCTAGAAATAAGACTAAATGGCTTTGTCTCACTGTCAGAATGTACTCATTTAAGATAAAAAACATTAGATTCATGCAATTATTACCTCACTAGATGTAGATTCCTTGAAAGTTGAACAACAAAGCATTGAGCACATTTAAAGTGTATCTATTCTATTATAAGTGCTCAAAATACACATTCGTTGATCTCTTCTTTTTCACTTGGCGCAAAGAAATATTTATTTGTGAATGATCTGTTTAAGTGAACCAGACCAACAATTGTGAAATTATTGTAGGTTGCTTCTATCGATCGATCCAAATGTTTGTCTCAAAACCTGTACAACGTCCATTCAAAGAACAAAATAACAAAATAACAGTGTTTTTGAAAAGGGGTTGGATGAATCAAAAGCTCATAAACTTCCAATCTTCCTCATTCATTCAATACAACAAGACAATTCGGAACAAAAACATCCAAAAGAACAATACGCAATACAGTACAATATCATATGGTGTAATACACACACACACACACACACACACGAACACACACACACTCTCAGACAAAACACAGGCCCAAGCCCTCTCTGACCCTCCACCTCTTCAAGTTTTACAGTGTTTTAAATCATCTGTAAATCAGCTCCAGAGAGAAGCTCCACCCACAGAGATACACAATATGGTTTCTCACCGACCAAAAGCCCCGGGTCGGCTCTTCGACACCGACGGCCCCGCGCTGCTGCGTCATTCTGACTTTATTTTCAACTCACCTTTTCAACCTCGTGCTGTTGCTGAGCTGTGTTCAGTGTAAACACAGCGGCCAAATGTTGTTGTAATTCAGGCACCAACCTGTTTTATCACTCGTCAGGTGTTTACTTTCCTCTACGGAGTTGAACGGTCATTTATTCCGCATATTATTGAAGTATTCTACATGTTTTGTTTTAGCAAAATCATCGAGAAACAACACAACAACATATCATTGATAATGCCACAACTATATGGCTTTTCAATGAATTCTGACTTTGTAAAATGAAAAACGCATGTGCAGGTTCTGTCAGCGGCTTCATTCTTTTGCAAACATAGAACATTAACTCATGGACACAGGTCGCATGTGATGCAGTCGACTCTGGAGGTTAAAGTAGTTACACTGCAAAATTATGTATAAAATATGAGGTTGTAATTGCATGAATCAAGTGTTTTTTTCATTTTAATTTGTCTTAAAACAAGATTTGCCAATGGGACAAAGCCATTCAGTCTTATTTCAAGAACTGTTGCTTTATTTTCTCATTCTGTCAGAGACATTTCTTGTATCTATTTAAAACAAGATCATTGTCATATAGCAATGTGAATGGGGACCCAAAAATGCAGGAATGCAAAATAATGATTTAATAAAGATGATAAAATAAATGTCCAAGGTAAAAACAAACTCAAAAAACTCAGGAACCAGGAATACAGACTGACAAAGACAATCAACGACAATGGACCAGCAACAAGGGGAGAGTAGCACAGGTACAGTACATAGTCACAGAAAGACACAGGTAAAAGACAGTGGGGCGGGGCCGACACTCAAGACAGGGGAACAGGAAGATAACTAAAACCAAACCACTAAAAACTTACGTCAAAATGTCCAAAAATAAAATCCACACCATAACAATATTTTTGCTTTGTCTCATTGGCAAATCTTGTTTTAAGGCTGTCAATTAAGATAAATCTTGCCAAATTTTAGCCATTTTTGACTTATTTATCATCACATTTAGGCCGATGCGCTTGTTTTTTTCCTCTTAATTTGTAATTATGGTGAGTTTACAGTAAGATCAAAATTATACAAGTATAACGAAACAAAGTGGCAGTAAATCTCAACAATTATCCAACATTTACAAAACCACAAAAGTGAGAATTGAAGATAAAACACCGACCTTATGACTTCAGAGGAGAACATTTGGAGAACCAGTGTCTAATGCCGTGGACTTGTTCTTTAGGACATGGTGCAGCTCCGCGCAGACTTCCAGGAGGTGCTCCACTACAAAGAGGAGCAGGAGGAGGTGCTGCGGCACAGAGAGAGGGAGCTCACTGCCCTCAAGGGGGCGCTGCAAGACGAGGTGCAGACACATGACAAGTACATGTCCGCTCTGAGGGAGGAGTACGAGGAGGAGATCGAGAAACTCCTCAAAGATCTGGAGTTTGCCAAAGAGGTGGTTATTATATTTTATTTTATTACCTTTTTAATCACATAGAAAACAGAATTATCCATTTACCTAAAAAATGTATGAGACAGAGAGTGTGTGAGTGCTTTAGAGGCATTTACTATTAAGATCAAGGGCACAAAATAAACAACCAGTTAAGCATTGTTTTTTTCAATCCTTACATTATGTCTGTCATTTTTTATTATTTTACTAATATTTGAACTTTAGAAGTACACTACGTATTAGAATAATGCATTTACTGATATATGAAAAACTAATATAATACTGTTTTCATACACACAAATAAGGTTTCATATTAACCTGAACTTTAATTTATTCTGAACAAATTGGACTGAACCAAAATTGGAGCAAAAGAAAGAAGGCTTGTAATTGCAGAACATAATGTTATTAGCAATTTAATTCTGAGTTCAATGTTTATAAATGAATGTTTTCTTGAAATAAATCAAAATAATGTATAACGTATGATCTCATGCTATTTAAAAAACCTCCTGTGATATTCTCTTGCGGTCTGCATACTTCAGGTGGGAAACACTCATTTTTGTAATATGTCAAAAAAAAGAAAATGCACACATACTGTAATGAGGCTGATGTTTTTTTTAGTGCCAAAGTTTATGGCATTTTAATGTTTTAAACTCTTCATGACTCGTGTCTTTGCACATTATTGCATCACACAGAGGAATACTCTTCTGGGTCAGGAGAAAGCACAAGTCCAGGAGGAGAGAGGATCCACCAAGGCCCAGCTGAAGGAGGTCACTCAGGAGAAGGACCATTTAAGAGCCAAAGTCCAAGACCTCAACATCAAAGTGGATCAGCTGAACCAGGCCATCCAAGACCTCAAGACCAGGGAGAGGCTTCTGGAGCAGAGGATCAAACAGCTGGAGGTGGGTCCAGACCGGGTCCAGTGAAGTGAGCCGAGAGGATTTGTTTGATTCCCGTGTTTTTTTTTTTCTTTTTCAGAGAGAGAAACTGCAGCTGGAAGAAACGCTCCGAGACGTGAGGAGGAACGAGGAGGAGATGTGTCAGTCCAACCAGTCTCTGCTCGGGAGACTGGAGGAGGTGCAGGTAAGGCCTTTCCTTCCTGCTGCTGTCAGACTGTACAACAAACAATGAGGACTAACAAACACTGTTGACCTCATATAGCTGTGCAATATGAAACCACATGTGTCTATTTAGTAGAGAGGTTAGTATAGAGTTATTTAGTATAAAGTTTATTTCAGAGCTGTGTAGAGCTGGGTTAATTTATCTTGTGCTGTGCTCTTTCCTACTGTTCTGTAACTGGTGATGCAACACTGAAATTTCCACAACTTGCTTGTCGCGTAATTTATGCTTCTTACTATTTACTCGCTCGACTTGCTTGTTGAGTGAGACGTTACGACAAAACACTTCTCCTGCCAAAAACCAATTCTCAACTCAATTCAATTTATTTTGTACAGCCCTAAATCACAACAGTAGTTATCTCGGAAACTGTCAAGTTCGCCAAAACAGTTAAAACACAGGAAATGCAATGATTAAAAACACATAGAGCCATTAGTCCATGAGGGGCAGAGACCAAAGTCCATAAATGTCGTTGAATGTCGAGTGTCCTGGTTCATAACGACTGTCCTTGGACCCTCCTGTACAAGTCCATCCCTCGTAAATTCCAGATACTATTGAGACAAGCCCACCCAAAAACCATGTTTATATTGGAAATGTACGTATTTAGGCAATGCAGTTTGTTTGATTGCACGGTTAACCGACAAAAATGACTGCAGCAATTGAACAAGTTAAAATAAAATGTTCATGCTTAGGCAAGGCAAGTCACGGTTATTTGTATAGCACAGTTCATACACAATCAAACTCAAAGTGCTGAACAGAACAACATAGAAACAGTCACACCAGGCATTAAAATTTAAAATACAATAAAATAATCACAGTACATTAATGTTTTTTTTACAGTAAAGGATAGCGATTTCATTCACAATTACTGTTCCAAACTTTGAGGTCTAAGACAAAGTTACGAGGCGACTTTGAAAGCATCACAAGGCTCCGGCAGCTCAGCAGGGACAGGATCGAAAGTGGTCAGACCGGCTTGAAAAGAACTGTTTTTATAGAGTCTGTTTTCTTTTCTCTATAAAAGCGCATCCATACACACCCACTGTTCTTTACTGTCTTTGCTTGTTTTTCTGAGGTACTCATAGATTTCCACAGTTGCGTGGATCTGTTTACACAAATGATTACACACATACTGTCATCTGCTGCTATGATGGCACTTTGTTGTGATGGCAGTTTACTTAAAACTTCATGTCGTTCCAGGGAAAGATGACCAAACTGAACCACGAGCACCGGGAGCTGAAGGAGAAGCTGAAAGAGGAGAGGAAGCAGATCGAGGAGCTATGGAGGAGCAAAGTCGAGCTGGAAGACGAGCGCAGGATACAGGACCGGACGATCGAGCAGCTCCAGAGGAAGGTCAGCCACTGTCACCGTGTCCTTTTGGCCCTGACTTCCTCTAGCGGTGCTTTCCTACAGGATAATGACGGTCTACAGGCTTCTGACCAGTGTAGAAGGAAATGACTGGACATTGTCGGACAGTTTTCCCCTCGTAGTGAAATTCCTCACTACAGGTTGTAGAATGTTGCTAACAAATCAGACAACCACAGGCTGTTTGTATCTTATTTAAGCTTGCTATGTATTGCATATAAAAAGTGAGTCACTGTGGAATTCTTTGGGCTAAGAGCTGATTGGCTGAATGAGGGTGGTCCTTTTTTCATTTTTCTGTTGTGAAAAGTGCTTCTACAAATGTGTCAGAGGCCAAAAATAATGTGAAAACTAGTGATAAAAAAACTGATTTGAGAGTGAGGAACTATTCCAGGATGTCTAAGACATTGTGACAAATTATACACTTAATTAATAAGTCACTTTAAGTCACTTGCACTAGGACTGAAAAACCGCACTGCGATTTCCACTGTTTCTTGAATTGGATCTTATCTTACATATCGATTAGCACCAAGTGAGTTAACCTCTGTCGTGCTTTTACATTTCTAATAATTGTATTCTTCAAAAAAAATGTTTAACGTGTATTATAATAATGGAACCAAGAATTGTATAGAATTCTTGGATCTATTATTATTGTATAGAACCAAGAATTGAGCACGGTTCCATCTCTTATGGAGACTGTAATATTTTGTTTAAACATGATATTGATCTACTGTATATCTACATTTATACAAGATATATTTAATAACATGAAAAAAATAAGGAAAATATGGACCCAAACCATTGGGAGGATCTGTATTTGAAAAATAAAATCACATCAAACACTGAATAGAGGGAGATAAAGTTTTTTCTGGCCGTAACACAACATTCTCCTTTTCTTCAGCAGTGAGTAGTTCCCAAACGCTCTGAAACATGTAGAACAATAGATGAGTGCTTCCTCCTCTGACCCAGTGTTTTCCTGATAAGTGCTCTGTACAAACTGCTCTATGTGTTTCTTTGTGAATCAGATGAACAGTGTCATGGAGGAGTGTGAGGCGTCCACCGATGTGCTGCAGGGCCAAGTGGACGAAGCCAAAGAGAGGAGCCAGAGGGAGCTGACCGAGCTCCGGAGGCAGCTGCAGGAAAAGGGGGCCGAGCTGGAGAAGTCCCGACAGGCCGCCAAGAATCTGCAGGAAGAGGTGTGGACCATGTGTAAACTGTGAATCATGGTCTGGGTCCATGGTCTATGTCAGGGATCGTGCTGAGAATGATCTGTGCAACATCCCCATTTGTGTTGCTTCAAAGCTACAGTGAATTTCATTTAAACATGAAAGATTTATTTGTTTTAATCTTTGAAAATCTAAATCAATCAAAAAACACACTGGTCGGGAAAACTACCTAATGATAATGGTTTTACCGATACTGGTTAGATTTATCCGATGGTTGGATGGATTTTAACCAGTATCGTTGGGAAATGAACTGAAATGTCTCCTTCACTGAGGAATAAAGGCTCTTCATCTTCATCTAATCCTCGTCATCATCGATGGTCATTATTCATTTGCATCGTTGGTGCCTTTGACCAAAATAGATGAAAACATGAAAGTACCTGCGACCTGTTCACCTCGACAAGTGGCACGTCGATGTTCTGTCCACAGTTAAGATGCTAAGCTGGACATGGCCTGGTTAGTGCTGTGATGGGAGACTTTCTGATGGGAGACCTTGTCTTTGTAGAGTGTAATGAGCAGTGCTCTTGAAGAGTGATGACAGCACTAGTTTCTAATCAGAGTTGGGTTTATGCTTCACGTGCAGCTGCTTCCTGTGGAGGAGGAGCTGCGGAGGTGTCGTCGGGAGCAACAGGAGGCGCAGGTCAAAGGACAGCGGCTCGAGCAGAGAGTCGTGGAGTTGGAAGAGAGGAACTCGGCCTCCGCAGAGGACCGGGACCGACAGGTCAAACTCATGGAGGTAATGATGCTGTCCTAGGGCCCCATGTGGCTGCACTCTCTATCGGTCACAAATCTCTCCAATTAAACCCATTAGTGTCGGTGATCACTGTGTGGAGCCCCTCCCTCGTCCCCTGCTGCTGTTGGGACGTCCTGGCAGCTCTGCCTGTTTGTTCTACAGATTATTCTAAACACGAGCTCTGTCTCTGTGTTGACTCTGTACCTGAAGACACTTGTGTTTACAGTCAGACTTATTATCAGACCGCGGTGCAGGGACTCCTGGCTCTACAAGGACACACAGATAATTATAGTGCAGAAATCTCTCATCTAGAATCCTTGTTGAAAGTCTGCTAGTACAAGAAGTGGTACTGGTATTTGTAATATATAAATGAAATGAAATTGAAATTACAATTTATTTTTGTATGGCTTCAGTCATCTCTCTCTCTTGTTCATTTTCCATTAGCAGAAAAATAAAGCAGGAAAAAGATGACAAATTGATATTGAAAGATTAAAAATGTATATATATTTAATATATATATTTTTCTTGTTACACGTGTATTTATTTTGCCAAACCCTGTAAATATGAAACTTTCCATCAACATTGTTAATCACAAACATTAAGGCGTGATGGTTCTCTTCCCAGAGCCGCATCAGTCAGCTCCAGGAGGACCTCCAGGACGAGCGCTGCAGTGCGGACCGCCTCATGGAGAGACTGGACAAAGTCAAAGAGCAGGCGAGTCGCTCCATATTTCTCTCTTTTTGCCTCCTTCAACATAAATTTCCTTCAGCGGCAAAACGTGACCGTCCGTCTCAAGTGTGTGAAGCTCGGCCCGCTGTGTGTTTTTATTATAAACAGATGTGGTGCTGCGGCTCCAATTCCCCACAACAGTAAAAAGCGTCCGATCAGCGCATGCAGACGGACCAGGAAATTAGGGAGGATATAGTCTCAATATTTGACACCTCACTATTTGTTGCTGGCAAACATCACTGTCGGAATGTTATTACTGTGAGATAAGATAAGGCAAGGCGAGGCGAGGCAGGTTTTTTTGTATAGCACAGTTCATACACAAGGCAACTCACAGTACAAGTTGGAAACAATACAAGGCCATTATTAAAGTCATAAATAATCGCAGTAAGAAACACATTAACCCTTTAATGTTCACTCCTTGAAGAAAGCAATGTATATTTTTTCTCTAAGATGTTAGAGCACTGATAATACAAATAATTCGTTTTTATGCTTCTTATGCTTTGTCCCCAAGCAAACATGACATCAGTTCTGGTTCAGGCCCTGTCCTCTTCACTTCATGTAAAAAGGCATAAAGTAGGCCAAAGTCCATGTGAGTGGGGCTCTGCAAACTAATTGGTGAAAAGCAGTGTTTTTGTTTCTTTGCAAAACACAGCTGACTATTGTGGCGCTCTATGGAAGCTGCCCCTGTGTGGGCCTCTGTGTTATTATTGCCACAGCCACGAGACTAGACTCCATTTCCGTGGAGAAAATTAATCTGGCAACTTTCCAACGTCCTCTTACCTTCTCGTTAGTGGGGCACGACCCAGAGCGATGAAGATAACTGCGCCACAAAGACTTCTCTGTTTGTTGCTATTTTTGTTTCCCTGAAGATGCCGCGTCTGCCCCAGAGATGGCAGATATTCAGTTGATCCACCATTAGGGTTAATCAGAGGATAAAAACAAGAATTATGACATTATTACTGGCAAAATGGTTCATATAAATGCAACTATCAATTCACTTTATCTGTCTGAAACTTTCATATGCAAGTTAAAACTGGGTTACCTAATTTTCAAGCCGCAAAAAATGTCTGGGGCCGAATAACAAAAGTAGGAACTGGTCGGGGGCCAAAAGAATAGAAGACGTTTCCTTTTCTTATTATTGGTTGTTACAGTATGAAGGTATTTGGGCATTACTTTCATTATACATGATTTCTTCTATTGTTATTGGTTTCATTTTTCTGCGAACAAGATGTAGACATTGTTTGGATTTAACCAAAACTGGACCAAATATGAAGTTCAACACATTGTTCTATATCTAACTATTTAACTTCTAATGATGTGTTGGGTTAACATTTTGAATAAATTAAATGTGGTCATGTTTTTGAGAAAATCGATGATGTATAACGTGCCATGGTAGCTCATTACAATCAATGAATCAGAATCTCTGTATGTAAAAGATCAAAGGTTTTTTAATTAAAGATAAAGACAAAATGTAACTTAAACAACTAAATACAACTCTTTCTGTTGTATTTATGAAACAAACAGGCTCATGTGAAACGAAAAAACGCAATTCTCGCATTCTTTTTGTCCCTTATCCACCACTGTATTTCAAGATGGCGCATTGACATCGAGAGCACTCCTCTCTCATGGACATTTACAAGTGAAATTCTAAGCCTATGGAAACAATTAAAAAACATGGTGGAGGTAAATATTCTTCAAAAGGTCACATTTGTGATTAGTTAACATGTTTTTTCATATGGAGCAACTGTAAAAATTACACAGGGTGGCTTTAAGATTACATTGGTTTTCTGTATACATGAAAAGCTTTATTCTAATAATAGTCTGGTGTGTGTGTGTGTGTGTGTGTGTGCGCGTGTGTGTGTGTGTGCGTGCGTGTGTGTGCGTGTGTGTGCGTGTGTGTGCGTGTGTGTGTGTGTGTGTGTGTGTGTGTGTGTGTGTGTGTGTGTGTGTGTGTGTGCGCGTGTGTGTGTGCGTGTGTGTGTGTGCATGTGTGTGTGTGTGTGTGTGCGTATTGCAGATGGATCAGATGAGGACAGAGCTGCTGCAGGAGCGGACACTGAGACAAGACCTGGAGTGTGACAAGATGAGCCTCGAGAGACAGGCGCGTTCTGGTCCTAAGTTCAAATGAATAATAGTAGAATAAATGAAATATGTTTTGTGATAAATCTGATTATTTGATCTGAAAATACTCAATTTGGTGCATATCTTTGGTTTGGAAAAAGTATAAATCCATCATTCTAATGCCTACAATATAATAATTATAATATGGTTAATGAGCTGCTTTTAAAGTTGAACAATACAAACAATAACCACAAAACTGAATGAATCGTGCCAATAATAAATAACAGAAATGCTTTTATTTGTGATGGATGCAGAATAAAGACCTAAAAGGCAGAGTGAACCATTTGGAGGGATCACAGCGGACCAATCAGGACTCTCTTTTGTCCAAACTCAGCTCTCGTATCCAGGAGCTGGAGGAGCGGCTCCAAGCAGAAGAAAGGTACTCGTTTCTACTCGTACAACACGTACGCGTTGTACGCGCAGCAGGCGTGTGTAACATTTTTCCATGTTACCAATGGTGATATTTACACTACTAATGTTATATGTGCGTATGACGGACGTATTGACACGAGGCTGCGCCTAATTTAGGATGAATTTCTAATTTTGTGCGCTCAGCAAAACGTCTCCCAGTCCAAACACATGACCCTTGGCTCTAGATCGCATCCACACACACACACACACACACACGCACGCCGGAGCAGCAGGTTTTACAGTGATTCTGGACATTGTTTCTTTTCATTCATAAAGTCTCGCGTCGGGCCAGACCAGCGCACAGAGACCATGAGGACAAACACATGCATGTGATTTGTGTTGCTCTACATCAGTCCTCTGGCCCGTACTCTCCTCTACACTGCTCCAGAGACTGCACAGGGACAGCATCAAAAGCCGCGGACCTGTGTGCACGGCCTGTGTACATACAGCCAAGTAATGTTACGCGCATATACGCGCAGTCAACGCTTACGCGCTGTTAACTTCTACTGTGGAAATTAGCTGTTACTCTGAGAACTGCAGTAGTACTGCACAGGCTACTAACATCATTCATTTCAATAACATCTATATTTAGTTCTGGTATAGACTCAGCAGTAGGTTTGGAAAACCTTTTTGTCTCACCATTTCTATGCGTACCCTGGACCCTGCTGAAACAAGGCCAGCAGAGGCAGTACGAGCACAGGGAATAGCCATTCTTATATTACAAATGTTTGTATTTGAACTCATGTTTTTCTTTGCAATGAAGTTGTAAGAGTATGCTAAGAGACAGATGTACAGGTACAGTATGTACATGGTTTGAAAAGGGGTTGGGTGAGGCCTATCCTCCAGCTCCAATAGTCCTGACCAAGCCGACCGCAGCTCCTGATAGAGGCCCTATAGCGGCATTTTCTGGATGGGTCAAATGCAGAAGAAAAATGTACCTACAGGGATAATAAGGTGCTCGTTTATTTTAATTTCATATGATTCCTTACCCCTCAACACACAAATGTATACCTATGCAGTGTGTCGTTCCAAGGTTTAAGTGGTGAGGAAAAGTTATAAGATGCTCGTAGCTCCAGGCAAACCAACGTCGCATAGAGTCTGTTTTTCACTCCTCCTTGTTCTTGTGCTTTGTAAATGTACTCAATAAAGATTAGGTTTCAGCTTTCTAGAAAAATGGAGATGGGTCTACTAAAACCCAACTGTGTATGTTTGGAAAGACTAACGTTTCCTTTTTGCTGCCAGTGAGAACAACAGTCTGCTGCAAGTGAACCGTAGACTAGAGCGAAAGGTGAAGGAGATGAAGATGCAAGCCGACGAGCAGCACATCAACCTGCAGACGGAGAAGGACCAGGTACACAGACACCTGGACTTGGACGATACCACCACCGGGGTCTAGGCCCCAGGGGTTTCATCTCATAATCTCATTCCCCTTCTGCAAACATGCAGTGCTCTGCCGGGGTCTAAGGCCAAATCCTAACTACATTCTGTGCAGCAACAATAAATATTGTCCTCAGAGTCATATGTGTAATTCATGTTGTGTCAGATTATTTTCCAAACAACATACATTTCTAATAACACTCATGTTTTGTCTGTTCGAGTCTCTCCAGATGAAAGTATGCACAAATAAACAGAACTGTTTTTAACCTGGATTTAAACTTCGCCAGAGAAGAGGCCTGTCTCACATTTTCAGAAAGACTTCAGAAAACACATTTTTTTATTTTAAATCCTCCCCATGTTTAGTTCTGTCCCTGGGTAACAGCAAGGGCCCGGTCCCTGTGCTCCTCAGAGTCCGGGCTGGTTCATATGGGACGAACATGTCACAGATGTACTTTGTTGCGAGGAGAGACTTGTACACAAACAGAGCTGATTTAAAGTTTATTCCCTGAGCCACAGGAGCCAGTGCAGAGACCTGAGACCAGGACTAATGTGATCGTACTTCCTGGTTCTAGTCTTGACTCAGGCTGCAGCGTTTTTTGAATATACTGCAGCTAAGAAAAGGTTTTTTTTGCCTGTGACCCTTGCAGCTGACTCAGAGGCTGAAGACGGCCAAGCGGCAGATGGACGAGGCGGAGGAGGAGATCGAGCGTTTGGAACACAGCAAAAAGAAACTGCAGAGAGAGCTGGACGAGCAGACAGAGGCCAGCGAGCAGCTCCTGGACCAAATGAACACACTCAGGAACGAGCTGAGGTACAAAACACATGGCTTTTCATCATCATTTGTATACAACATCTTTCATCTCATTCTCTCCAAGCATTCATCGTGAAAGTATTAAAGCTGGGGTACCTTACTTTCAAAGCACAGAAAGCTAAACTGCACTGCAAAAAATGGTAGAATATGAGGTAATAAATGCTTTAATCAAGGGGTTTGGATGATGGGACAAAGCCATTTAGACTCATTTCAAGAATGCATTTTTTTCTCATTCCAAGGGAGACATTTGTTGTATATTTTTAATACAAGATAATTTTTCTCGTATTAAAGATAATTATGATAAATTTTTCTAAATGTAAACAATTTTCACCTTTTGTTCATCACTTTTTGCAGTGTGTGCTATAAAAATCCATCTAACTAGTTCCACACTGTGAAAACAGACACATTCCTCCAGTGTGTACCGGAGGAATGTGTAGCGGAGTCTTTTATTCTTCATTGTTCCAAACGGCAGCTACAGCTCACACTGTTGCTCGTAAATTCCAAAATAAAGTGAAAAATCTTTTTTTTTGCCTTTGTATGGGTTAGGGTTAGGGAAGACAAATTGCCTTATACAGAAACAATGCAAATCAATATTTACATGAATTCATACAGATAACGAATATAAGGAAGTAGGGAGGGGAGGGGGGATTCTAGTGCATTTTATGTGTGTTTGTGTGAAAGTGAATATAAGTCAAAGTAGAGAAGAATAAGGCATGATAAAACATTTATATACATTTATAAATAGGTTTGGTGATAATCAATGAATAATCGTAACATTTTCTCTCACAATTATCTCAACTCAGAAATGTAAAAATGTCGCATAAACCTTTTGGCCTCTGTCACATCTTTAGATCAGCTTTTTCAGACAAGACAGAGAAAAACGTTCTTTTTCACTGCAAAAAATGAAAACATATGAGGTAATAATTGAGTAGTTTTGATCTCAATTCAAGTACATTCAGACTGTGTTAAAATGAGAGAAGTTGTTTAGTGTCATTTCAAGAACTGTGGCTATATTTTCTAATTCCAAGGGAGACATTTCTTGTATCTTTTTAAACTAAATCATTGTTTTTGCTTGTCCCATTGGCCAAATTAAGATACATTTTGCCAAATTTGAGCAATTTTGGACTTGTATTTCATCAGTTTTTGCAGTGCACTCTCACTCCTTCTTACAAATATGCAAACGATTTTATAAAACAATAAAGAAAGCATGTGTTTTGATTGGACCACCACATTTTACACAGTTAGGACAAACAACAAATGAATTATAGAAGTTAGGTACCCGAGCTTTACGTACAGCACAATAAACCGACACTTCTTGTTTCTTGTGTGCTTCCAGGCGTAAGAAGAAGCCCTCTGCTCTCATTAAGGACAGTTTGATCGACACAGATGACCCGGTGTCAGAGTGACGGGAGAAATATACAATAAAGGGCTTGATCATAATGCATCACTTTGATAATATTTCCAAGTAACGTTCTCTGAAACTCAGGTGTGCTGTTGTTAGAAGCGTTGGGAGGATTGCTGACACTGACCTCTTGTGGTAACTTTCAAAACTGCATCATGTGACCAACCTGTGAACTTTAGAAATAATGAATTAGACTGACGCTGATGTGCACGTAATAACTTATTGTATATTTGTGTGAAAAGATGCTAAATGTAAAAGAGAGACATGCTAATAAAATCTGTATTAATAGAAATGTATATATGATGTATTAGTTATTACTTCAATAGTACAATATTCTATTTAAGATACATTTAATATGCACGAACGGTTTCTTTCTCGAAACTAAAAGGTTTGCACTTATTGACCAGGTTAAAAAAAACAACAAAAAAACTATTTGTATAAAGGATTATTGATTATCTTTTCACCCACAATTAAAGCTGGGCTATGTGACCACAAAATATAACTGTATTTAGTGAAATCCATCTAGTTTCTTCAGATTCTGATTCAGTTTATTTGTCATTTGCAGTAAAACCACATTGGAATACATGTGCAAAAGTCCCCAACGTGCACCAGACAAGTACATACAGTAAATATAGCTAAAAAGTACCAGAACAAAACTTGCCTTAAAAAAAAAACCCAGAATAAAACAAGCTAAAAAAATACCAAAACAATACAAGCTATAAAAACTACAAGATTAAAACACGCTAAAAAGTAGTTTTAGACAGAAAAGTGAAAAAGAGGTCCACCCTCACTCAGCCAATCAGCTCTCACCTCAAAGCCTCGAATAGTGACTCACAGGGCTCTTCCTTACAAGTTTATACATGAGATGCTAAAAGATGAAGATAGCACGTTGTGGTCTGAACATTTTGCTTTTACGAGACTCTTTCAGTTAGGACAAAAACACTGGCTATTTATGTTATTTATAAGCCTTACCACTTACCAATTTAATAATAATAATACATTTTATTTATACTGCACCTTACATCGCCAGGAAACCTCTTACAGATTAAAATACAATACCACAAACAAACAAAACAAAGTAAAAACATCAGAAATATATTAAATATCTAAAAGAAACCCTAACCCATTAAAAGCAAATGCAATCCCTAATAAGCCTTATTATTATTATTATTATTATTATTATTTTTTATTGTTCACCATTCAAACTGATATTTACAATACCATCTGATCTATTCTCTGTAACATCGGCTGCATCCGAGCTTGGATCAATGGGCGGCTCTGAGTGGCCGTCCCGTGCAGAGGTGGAGCTGGATCAGGCCCATAGTCCGCACCCGGGACCCTGCTCTGTTAGAACCTGTACAGAAACTCACACAAACAAACACACAAACACACACACACAACCATGAGGCGACGCTGCGGGCTCAAACACGGAATATGCCGGGAATTTCTCGCAGAATTCCTGGGGACATTTGTGTTGGTGGTGAGTGAAATGTTTTTATGAATGTAAATTGCTGTAATTACGTGAGATGTTTTTATTTTTTAAATGTGTGTGTGTTTTTGTGTGTGTGTAGTTGTTTGGTTGTGGATCCGTGGCCCAAACCGTGTTGAGTCGGAACCAGCTGGGTGAGCCCCTGACGGTCCATATTGGCTTTTCTGTTGGACTCATGATGGCGGTGTACGTGGCGGGGGGAGTCTCCGGTAAGATCTATGTCACTCACAAATTGTCGTATAAATAGTACAAAGTAAAAAGTATAAACGCTCCAAAAAGTTATGGGAAAAAAAATGTCAAAAATTGCTCAAATTTGTCAAAACGTATCTTAATTTGAAACAATTCGCCAATGGGACAAGCAAAAAGATACAAACAATGAGAAAATGAAGCAACAGTTTATTATCATTATTGTGTTAAAGTCACTACTTTACTTACTACAGAAAGTACACTACAGATACTTTACTTGTTTTTATGCAAAAGCCGGTGATTTTCTTGCTTCTTCATCAAGCTAAAGTTGGAGATTTTTGATTTGCTTCCTCATTATTAGAGTTTTTATACTTGCTTCTTTATTATGCAAAAGCTAGAGTTATTGTTCATTTATCTTGTGCTGTGTGCTCCTCATTCCTGCTCTTCTGTAACTGATGATGCAACACTGACATTTCCTCACTGTGGCACGAATAAAGCATCTCTCTATAGTGGCAGGGAAAATACTGGGAAAAGGAATTTAGTTATAGATTATTGAACAAGGCTTAGACATAAAGAGACACAATGGACTTAATACATTTTGATCCTATATTGTACTGATGTAGTATTGGACCATTAAAGCCGAATATGATCAAATACCACGATGCATTTCTTTGATTCTGTGCTTTCTGTAGTTGTCTTTCGATAATAGACACGTCTGTTATGCACCAGTGTAAGCAGACGATATCAAATATAACAGAACGGAATGATAAAATAAATGAGTAATTGAGTTCTGTTCAAAAAGTGGAGAGGGCGGTTCTTTCCTAAAATTTGGAAAAAATCCTCCTTTAAATCTTTTAAACTTGGAATTTAAATCAATCCATGTGTAAACCAAACAGTAAAAATGAAAAGTTATGATAAATATCTAAACCAGGCCCTTTACGAGTGAATAATTGTTGTTAAATGTGACATAATGTAGAATGATGTCATCTTCAGACGTTGGAGACGACGTGATCATCAAAAAATAATCATGAAGTATTGCTTTGTACGTGAATATAAATACTAAGGTGCACGTTTAGACTTTTTTCAATGTTTAATTCAGCCTTTTTGTCTTTCCCTAAGACATTGTCAGATGACCAATGTCCATAAGTGTTGATAAAGTCCATAAATGTTGTTTGAATCGATTATAAAAATGGTCCAAATCCACAGCACATTTCGTAAACAAGTAGTAAGCTGTAAAATATCAAGCAAACCAACGACCAACACAAAAAAAGCGTATCCGACTTGATTAAAGTGATCATTTATCTACATTTATGGACATTGGTCTCTGCCTCTTATGGACCAATGTGTTTTCTATTGTTGCAGTTCTTGTGTTTGATGTTTGACTCTCTGATCTGTGTTGGTGAATCGTCAACTTTGTAATAAGATTAGGGCGTATCTCGCGTCAGAATAGATAACTGCTGTTGTGATTTAGGGCTATACCAAAATACATTGAATTGAAGTTGAAAATGCAAAAGAAGCAAGTGAAGTCAAATAGGAGCAAAAATGTATTGTATTCATAGATGCATAAAAGAATAATATAAAGTAATAAACAGAACACGTGCCACGGTGGCATCTCTGTCTCCGTCCAATGACAGTGGGCATCGATCGGTGATGCAGCGCGGCCTTTCCGGGGGTCAGCCGCTCCCTCAGGCTGCAAACGTCCTGCTCTGCATCGATCACACCCCCATCCACGCCTCTGTCTGTGCAGCAGCTGCTTTCTCATTTCAACGTGGCTTATTACTAACACTCAGCATGAAAACACTGTTGCTGAATATTATGGCATTCAAATTTCCCCCCAGAGGGACAAATACAAGTTTATCTACCCCTAATCTTAAGACGATTGTTATTTTATATGGAGCAATGGCATTTGTGTATTTGATATGGACACGTGAGACATATTTGTAGATGCAGACCCAGATGCACTGCTTTTAGTGCTACAGCCAGATCATGCTAAATGTCAACACTTGTCCATAGGAGGATTTTAGGACAATTATTAACATTTACAAATATATAAAATGAATTAACTGTACAATTAATTATGATATTTTATAATGATATGCACAACAACATTTATGGACATTGATCATCTGCCCCTCGTGGACCAATACCAACGTGTTTTTATCATGTTTGCCAGGAAACTTCTTGAATTGAATTTTTCTATTTCAATTTCGATGATATCATTACAGTTTTCTCAACCATTCGACCGATCACTTTTTGAGTCACAATCTCTACTTGAAGCTCGGAACTGAAATCTATCTCTATGGGGGCATCTCTATAATTAAAAAAACTAGGGTTAAAAAATAAAATAACAAATAACACAAAACATGAAAACTTATTTGTGTTATCAGTGCTCCTACATATTAGCAAATCAACAAATAAAAAACATTTACATTGCTTTCTTTATGGAGTGAACAATTCAATTCAATTCAAATAACTTTATTCATCCGTGAGGAACTTCATTAACAGACGGAGCACTAAGGGGGTACACAAAAACACACAATCTAAGAATAAAATGCATAAAACAGGTCTCCAAATCAGCTGTTTAAAAGGCGAATTGAAGTTGGGAGAAATCTGGATGAACATTAAAGGGTAATGAAGATACAATATTGGAGGCCTTTTGCTTCGGCCAGTTTAACGTCAGCAGAAAAACGCATGACACTTCCCATTTGTGTATCTCTGGTGAGTTGTGGCTTCTTATTATTCAGCCATTATTGCGTGAAAAGTGCCAAACAAAGGCCCAGCACCACCCCTGGGTCTGCTGGCCGTCTGCTGCTCTCTCTGGTCTTATGTCTCTGTAATGATGGAGGGGGTGTCTTTTGGTGTCGCCCCGTTCACCCCAGCGGGCCCCTCCTCTTCTCAAACGCTGTGCTTTTGTCCCGTCTCTGTCCCAGGGGGCCACGTGAACCCCGCCGTGTCCCTGGCCATGGTCCTTCTGGGCAAACTCAAGATCTGGAAGTTTCCGATTTATGTCATAGCGCAGTTTCTTGGAGCGTTTGCCGGAGCAGCTGCCGTCTTTGGGTTGTACTACGGTAATTATGACTCAATTGTGGCAAAAACGTCAGAACGCAGGAGGGCGTGGGCGGTCGCAGGGAGTTTTATCAGGATTGTGTGCGTGTGAGTGGATGGTGTAAAAAGTTTCTCTTGTTCGCAAAAGAAATATATACATTTTTAGAGCAGTATTGTCTCCATGACGTTTCCACAAACACCATACCAAGTCAGTTATAGAACTCACTATAACTGTACATCAACATTTTTCATAAATAACTGCATGAATCCTTAAGTATCGGTTTTATATAGAGCTTTTTTTGGACACTCAAACACGCTTCTCATGTCATTTTTCATTCACTCCATACACGGTGGTGAGAAACTACTACTGTAGCCACATCTGCCCTGGGACTCACTGACAGAAACATGGCAACCAGTCTGTGCCATCGGCCCCTTCGACCAGCACCAACCGTTCACACACACACCAGAATCATTCTAGGCACTCTATAAGTAAAGTTGATTAGAACATCGTACGTACAGAGATTGTAAATGTGGTGGGTCGACTTGAATCCCACTCTTGATTAAACGTTGTTCTCTGCAAAAAAAGTGATGAAAAATAAGTCAAAAATTGCTCAAGTTTGGCCAAATGTATCTGAATTTACGCACGTTTTGACGACTGCCTTAACACAAGATTTGACAATGGGACAAAGCAAAAATGATCTTGTTTTAAGAAAATACAAGAAATGTCTCTCTTGGAATGATAAAACAAAGCACTAAGACTAAATGGCTTTGACCCATCAGGAAATCGCTCAAATTAAGAGCGATTAACCCTAACCCAAAAACACTCGATACAAGCAATTATTACCATTTTTTGCTGTGTTGTTGTGTCCTTTAGCAACACACTTGAAAGTCTAGTTTCTGTTCCTCCCATAAAGTTTATTTTTATTTATTTTTCCATCAGCCTGCTCCTGTCAACACGACCCAATGCATTATATAACATCACACACAGTCCACAGAATTGTACTTTTACAAGACTCTTTCAGCGGAGACAAAAATAGTTTGATACAGCAGCTTTAATTTGTTTGTATTTTTTTATATTTATGTAGATTTTATTCATTAATGCTTTATATTGCTTTTATTTTTTATAATTAATGCTTGATGTGATATGGGCTGTGAGGAGATTTGTGTTGCCTTGTGTTGTGAAAGGCGCTCTACAAGTGAAAGTTGATTAATTGAGTGATATAGATTATATTATATTATAATTTTTCACAATAATCTAAATGGAAGCTGCCCCTCTCTCTCCTTCAGACGCCTTCATGGACTTCACCAGTGGGATCCTGTCTGTAACTGGGATAAATGCCACTGGTCATATATTTGCGTCGTACCCGGCCCGACACCTGTCCATCCTGGGAGGGTTCATAGACCAGGTGAGCTCTCCTACAGAAGCCTGTGTCTAATGTGGACCGGTATATTTGGTCCAAACCACTGCAGACTGTGACTGTGGCTAAAGCATCATTGATTGGCCCATTTTTTCTTTTCTGAAAACAGCTTAATGACCCATTTCCCACCTTTTTACAGCGGGTCAATTCTCCATTTAAACTAGTCTGTGACGTTTGTTCTGTTGTAGACAGTATTATGTCTGCAGATAGAGCTCCATTAGGCTTTCATCACACCTCCGCCTGGCTCTGAAATGCCTAAAATCAGTCAGTATTTACCTTGGACCCTTTGGAGCACAAACACAGAGCGACACTTTTCATTCAGCTGGGGCCATGCCTGTGATTAATCTTATTATATGTAGCAACAATTTGTGGAAAAATGCCAAATATTTAGGTAAATGTAAATTATGTCTGATAGACTGAGACCGATTGTTGAATTATCTGCCTTCAATTATACTTAGAGCAGGTTTTTAGTCCAGGTCTATGTCCGTCTCCATTGAATTCTGCTTCTGTGTTTTTGTCGACTGATTAAAATTAAACACAGTATTGTAAACCAGTAATGCAGTGTTCTTTACCCGACATAAGGATAATTATATCTTCAATATCTTATGTTTTTCAACTTAAACTTTTTGACAGCAATAAATAACTGTACTTCTATCTTAAGAAGTACAATCTTATTTGAATGCACTGGGTTTAAACTTTTCACGTCTGAGTTTCATCCCGATAATGGGCCTCATTCACGAATAACTTCGTAAGAAACTTCTTACATTTCTTCTCAAGTCGTTCTTAAGTAGATTTCTAAGAAGACCCTACGTGGGATTCATCAACGCGGTCGTAAGGCGCTGAATTGTTCGCAGCTGTTCTCTCAGATTGATGAATGCCAACTCCTCGTAAGTAGAGCGTGCGAGCCCGGTGCTTCATTAGCATAGGTAACCGCCCATTAATGCCCATAAAAGGGACTGCAGGGCCGTGTGCAGACGCCAGAGGAAACAGCTACAGGCCTAAAGCAAAGAGTTACACGGAGCAAAAGAGTCACCCTTTTTTCTTCTTTTGCCAGACTGAGAATAAAGTTATAAAATGTTGACTTGAAAGTCGAAATATTATGAGAATAAAGTCGAACTAGCAAAATTATGAGATTAATCTCAAAATATGATGAGATTAATCTCAAAATGTTATGAGCTTAATTTAAAAATATCCATCCATCCATTTTCTACCCTTTAATCCATTTCTGGGTCAGGGGGGTGACAGTCAGAGATGCCACCCAAGTCTCATAGCACCAGCCCCTCACTGACCCTCTGCAGGTGGTGAGTCCACAGGAGGACGGCTGCTCTCTGAGTGTGAGCATAGCCTTGATCTTTCAGTGGGGGCTTTGGGCAAAGTGGGGTTAAGTGTCTTGCCCAAGGACACAACGACAGCAGTCATCAGTGGGAGTCGGTGGAGAAGGTGCAGAGGTGGGAATTGAACCCACGACCTTCTGGCCTTAAGGCCAATGCTCTACCAACTGAGCTACTGTCGTTAATTTAAAAATATATTATGTATTAATTTAAAAATGAATCTCAAAATATTTTGGATCCTGGGAGGAGATCCAGCGCGGACCAGTGCTGAGACCAATGCAGACCCGAGGAGAGACTGGAGTGACCAGCACACAGAAACCAGCGCGGACAGGAGAGACCACATAGACTGTAGTGACCTGACTGGAGAGACCGGTGCGCAGAGACCAGCGCGGACCGAAGAGAGACCGCATAGACCAGACTGGAGAGACCTGCGCGGACCCGTATGGATCCAGGAGCATGCAGCACGGACCCGTATGGAGAGACCAGCGCAGACCCGTATAGATCCATGGGAGAGACCAGTGCAGACCCGTATAGATCCATGGGAGAGACCAGTGCAGACCCGTATAGATCCATGGGAGAGACCAGCGCAGAGACTCAGCGCGGACCCTGTAACCTCCATCAGCAGCAGTATATATGCCGTTGTTCTGTGGCCCGTGGATAAAGAAATTCCCCCTATAAATAGGAAGGGGTCACTAATACACGGCAAGATTTCCAATGTATTTGATAAAACGTTGGCACATTTCATTTCAAAATGAATTTAAAAATAGGCTAAATTACCATCAACAAATAAATAAATACATACATCAATATGACGGACATATCACTGTAATGTTGTGTTCTATTGAACTTCATAACACCAGCGTGCGAACATGTTGGCACTGAATGTGCGTACGAGTGCTCCTGAGCATTGTAGGATTTGTACGTACCCAAGAGAAATTCTGGTTACGAGAAAATTTCATGAATGCCACAATCTTCGTAAGTAGGATTTACGCACAAATTTGTTCTTAAGTACGGTTCGTGAATGAGGCCCATTGACGTGATGTGAGTGAAGTTCTGTTGTTGTACTGTCATTGTGCTGTTGTTGTACTGTCATTGTGCTGTTGTTGTACTGTCATTGTGCTGTTGTTGTACTGTCATTGTGCTGTTGTTGTACTGTCATTGTGTTGTTGTTGTACTGTCATTGTGCTGTTGTTGTACTGTCATTGTGCTGTTGTTGTACTGTCATTGTGCTGTTGTTGTACTGTCATTGTGCTGTTGTTGTACTGTCATTGTGCTGTTGTTGTACTGTCGTTGTGCTGTTTTTGTGTTGTTGTTGTGCTGTCGTTGTGCTGTTTTTGTGTTGTTGTTGTGCTGTTGTTGTACTGTTTTTGTGTTGTTGTTGTGCTGTTGTTGTGCTGTTGTTGTACTGTTGTTGTACTGTCATTGTACTGTTGTTGTACTGTCATTGTGCTGTTGTTGTACTGTCATTGTGCTGTTGTTGTGCTGTTGTTGTGTTTCCAAAGACAATGGCGTACTTGTGTTCTTCCAGGTTGGAAAAACGCAGTTGACCTTTGCTTCTGTGATGAGTGTAAACTGTTGTGTGCAGGTGGTGGGGAGCGGGATGCTGGTGTTGTGTATCCTGGCCATCATCGACGGTGGAAACATAGGAGCCCCGAAGGGAATGGAGCCTTTCGCCATTGGGCTCATTATTATGGGCATCGGGGTGTCCATGGGTCTGAACTGTGGGTACCCCCTGAACCCTGCCCGGGACTTGGGACCTCGACTCTTCACCGCTGTGGCCGGATGGGGCTTTGAGGTTTTCAGGTACTAAGACTCACTTCCTGTTGACACTAAAGTTAAACCACAGCAACTTATTCAGTTATTCTAGTTACTCATTTGATTCAATGTTGGGATTCTCTCATTATCGCTCAAATCTATCATTATCCATCATTAATGTTAAATCAATGCCAAAGAACAAACATTTCAAAGATGGGTTCAGGAGCTCAGTCACACAGCAGGAGCTTGAACTAGAGCTGCTGCTCCTCCACATCATAGTTCAGACCCAGAGGAAGACCCAGGACACAGCTGGCCTCATGGGAACACCTCTGGACCCCGCTGGAGGAAGGGTGTGTGGAGCGGGAAGTCCAATACAACCTTATCCAAATATTTCTGCACCGTTTTGACTTCTTCAATGTGGAAAATCTCACAAAGACGTATTTTAACAGTTTTGGATTGTAGTTGCATCGCTTGAGATCGTAAATGTGGTGGGTCGACTTGAATCCCACTCTTGATTAAATGCTGTTCACAGCAAAAAGTGATGAAAAATAAGTAACAAATCGCTCAAATGTTGCCATATGTATCTTAATTTGGGCCCATTTCGATTGCCTTGAAACAAGATTTGACAATGGGACAAAGCAAAATAATCTTGTTTTAAAAAGATCCAAGAAATGTCTCCCCTGGAATCAGAAAATAAAGCAAAAATTCTTGAAAAAAGTCTAAATGGCTTTGTCCCATCAGGAAATCTTATTTTAAAACGGTCAGAATGATACAAGCAATATACTTGATCATTTTTTGCTGTGTTGTTGTGTCCTTAAGCAACGCACTTGAAAGTCTAGTGTCTGTTCCTCTCATAAAGTTTATTTTCATCTGCCTGCTCCTGTCAACACGACCCATTGCATTATATAACATCACATGCTCTGATCCTTAACGGTCAATTCTTATTGCTCCCACAGCACACACAAACACACACACACCCACACACACACAAACACACAGACAGACACACACACACAAACACACAGACAGACACACACACGCTCACGTCTCTGTTTTTCCAGTACGGCCGGATACTGGTGGTGGATCCCAGTGGTCGGTCCCATGGTCGGGGGGGTCGTGGCCGCCGTCCTGTACTACCTGCTGATAGAACTGCACCACAAGCGGGAGGCGGAGAAGGCCGAGGAAGAAGAGGACGACGACGAGGATGATGAGGACGAAGACGAAGACAGCAGCCTGAAGGACAAGTACGAGATGATCCTGATCAACTGAAAAAAAAAAAAAAAAAAAAAACGGGCCGCATTTTTTCCAATACGTTGTGTGTCACTGTTGCAGGAACGGCTCCACTCTGTTCGAGACGAGCTTCAATAACATGGACGTCCATCAGCTTCAGCTTTAGACTCACGCAAATTCAACGTTCAAGAATTTATTTGCCATTTGCACATTGGAAAAACTGTGCGAGACTACCCCAGTGTGCACCAGAAACAGCAGTAAGCCTGAACCATATGTGTAAATACAGCAGACATGTGTACTCGTCTCTAGGAATGACTTCCTTAAAGCTTTGTATTCTGTTAATATTGTAAATAAAGTGTTTTGACCTATGTTTGTTCCCATTGCTTCCTGGTTTGTTTATTGTTATCATTCTATGCTAATAATACAGTATTATGTTATTTCCTTCACAACCTTCTTCAAATGTTCAGTCCTTGGTTCTTTGTTTTTTCAACGTTTTGTCAATATTAAAGTTTATATAAAACACATCTGATTGTTTTTCTAATGAGTTTCATCAAGTCAGTAAAAGGAGAACAATTCACTGAAGTTTTACCTAATTTTGGCGATAAAAGTTAAATATTATACTGTGGGATATTTCAGAAAAAGCCAAATGATACCTTTAGAGATGAGCAGACAACATAAAACAAAAAGTATTTGTATTAATAATATGACTTTTTTAAATCAGTCATTATTAAATTAAAGAAAGAGCCTATTTTTCACTGAAAAAGCTGACATAAAGTGACAGAGGCCAAACCGTTTAGAAAGCCGGGAACTTAGATCTGAGATGGATTTTATTACCCAGTACTCAGTAGAGGGTTTGGGTAGTCCTGGTTTAGACCTAGTTTAGTCCTGGTGTGGTCCTGGTTTAAGTCAGAGTTTAGACCTGGTTTAGTCCTGGGGTAGACCTCGTCTAGACCAGGTTAAGACCTGGATTAGTCCTGGTTTAGACCTGGTTTAGTCCTGGTCTTGTCCTGGTTTAGTTCTGGTTTAAACCTGGTTTAGTACTGGTTTAGACCTGGTTTAGTCCTGGTTTAGACCTGGTTCAGACCTGATTTAGTCCTGGTTTAGACCTGGTTCAGAACTGGTTTAGACCAGTCAGGTCCACAGGGGTCTGCTGACGGAAGCACTTGCTGCAGGTGTGATACATTCTAGTTTTTCGCTTGAATAAATGTGAACAGTTTAAATGGAGGCTTCTCTTCACCCTGTGCTCGCTCACTCCTGCAGAAACAGCAGCGGAGCGGAAACCAAAAACACTTTCTAAAAAACACCCTCTAAAAGTGTCTCTGCAGTAGTTTCTGCGACACACCTGTTCATCCTGGACCGATAGTGTGTTTGTCAAAGTGTTAAGTGTGGGGACGACTGGCAGCACAAATGTCATGGATAGTTTGTTTTTGGTTTTTTAACCTTGAATTAACCTGGAAAGCTCCACATAAATTTCTCTTTTTCAACGACGGACAAGAGGCAGCAAAATGTGCCACAATTACAAACAATTACGGATTATGAAAAGTAAAATCAGTTTCATGTCAGAGGATGTCTCAAGTTCTCTCAATCTAAGTTCAAAAGAATTCAATGAATTAAGTTAATTTTCCAGTCCTTTTGTAACACGTTCCACATCGAAGGAGCAGAGAATACAAAAGTTCCCCAGTTCTCGGCAAAGACAGCAACACGTGAACATTTGGACAAAAACAGTAAGAACCAACTTTTTTATCCATGGGATATGACAGATGTAAGAGGGCAGCATAGACCAAGAATCATCTTATAATCATAATTTTACCAGTGTTCTGACCTCCTGCTGGACAAAGGCCATCCCACTTGAGAACGCTGGGTTTTTTGGGAAAAGTTTGAGTTTTTCTTGCCACTCGAGGAGCGTTTAAGGACAGAGGTGATGATCCAGGACCCTCAACATTCAACATTTATGGACATCGGTCATCTGCCCCTTATGGACGAATGGCTCTGTGTGTTTTTTATCATTGCATTTCTTGAGTTTGAATTGTTGGATTCTCTGATGTGTGTTTTGGTGAATTTGAGGATTGTGTAAAGTCCTCTCAGATAACAACACTCCAAAAAGCGATTAAAAATAAGTCCGAAATTGCTCAAATTTGGACAAATGTATCTTAATTTGAGCACATTTTGTCTGCCTTAAAACAAGATTTGCCAATGGGACAAGCAAAATGATCTTATTTTAAAGAAGATGCAAGAAATGTCTCCCTTGGAATGAGCAAATAAAGAAACAATTCTTGGATTAATTCTAAATGGCTTTGTCCCATTTGCAAATCTAGTCAGAATCTGCTCAAAATAGGATAAAAACCACTCCATTCACACATTTATTACCTCATATTTCATCGTTTTTTGCAGTGTACTGTAGTGATTTAGGGCTATACAAGAATGAAAAGAATTGAATTGAATCAGTCAAGGTTTTACAGTTATGAACCTTAGAGAAGCATAAATGAATCAATCTCATATGAAGACATTGAGCTGAGGTTTTCACATGTTGGAGTGAAAACCCGCAGTTCTCCGGGCTCAGTGCTTCTTTAGCATAGAGTAAATAACAACATCACTCTTCCAAATCCATTCTGTGAACATACTATTGAGCTTTAACTTTTGCCCCATTGAAAATCCATTGCACGTTGCAGAGCATGTGCGAATGGAAGAGCTCAGGTCCGTAGTTTCACTGTCGCTGTTACGTCATGACTCATGTACAGGAAAAACAATGTACACAAAGAGCACAGAGGAACATGACGTTTTACTGTGAAAAGATTGATTCGTCTGTGCCAATGTTCCCACACTGTACGAGAATTCAGGCTTATGCAGTTTACAAACCCAAATAAAAATAAATAATACCATAAAATTAGATTCACATGAACAAGTTTTCACATTCATGTATTTCTGGCCTCATCTTTAGATTAAGATTTACATCTTTTTACAGTAATAACACGTCGGGCTGTAGGCATTGTCTTGTTTGGATGTTCAGGATATCCCCAGACATTTTTTAATCAATATTATTTATTGTTTTGTTTTTTGTTATTTAATTCTTAATCTTTTTATTTAACATTTTCCAACAGAAAAATTCAAAAGTTATAAATAACATTCATTATGCATCATGGCTGTATTTCTGTTCCCCCAAAGCAAAGAACAGAACAAGAAGAAAAAACATCAAAAATAAAAATAAAAAAAAGTTTTAGTTTAGTTTTAGTTTATAGACTAACTTAGAATCACTGCTTGATTCTCTGATTTCCACAGTTGTGTAAAGTACTCTGAGATAACTGCAGTTGTGATTTAGGGCTATTCAAGAATACATTGAATTGACTTTATATAGAAGACAAATAACAAAATCTGGTATATATTTATATTTAACAGAACTCCAAACTTCCAAAACGAAACAGGGACCATTGAGGAGAGGAGCAGAGGGTTTGAATACACCCAGGGACACTAAACCAAACGAACAGACATGAAGCAACACTGAAAAGAACCAAAATATCAAAAATAAAACCAAGATCTTTTCTCCACAAGTGTTTTATTCAAGTAACAGATCCTGGACAGGGTTCTGGACGGGCCCCGGGGACTTTGTGGAGCCTGAACATGTGGATCTTCTCTTTTAGCCTCAGGTATTTCAGGATGTCCAGGCCATGTCCCCTGCTCTCCCTTCTCCTTCTGTATTCTTGTTCTGCTCCTGCTTTTCCTTCCTCTGATTTTTCTGATTTCCGTAAGTGTGAGGAGTCCCCGGCAGCCCTCCTGCTCCTCCCCTCTCCTCCTCTTTGTCTGCTCCCACTGCTCCTTCCCCCCCTCCCCTGGTCTTTCTCCTGTCTTCCCTACTCTAACCTCACTTACACCTCCCCTGTTTTTGCTCCTGTAGGGTTTATAAATTATAATAAACATGGAGAATATTCCATCTCGACTCCATGAAGTGATAAAAGACGTAAAGCCATGACTCTGGAAACAGTAAACAGGGGTCTATTTTATTTTGAACGGTCTTTTAATTAATGCATTTCAAGTACTCCAAAAATTACATCTCTTTGCACAATACAATTTGATTTTTTAGTAAAAATGTTCAAAGTGAACAAAAATTTCCGATACTGTATAAAACACAGTGAACATTAAAATCAGACAGTAGTATTACTTTTTAATTGTGTTCTTTCGGCCTACAACAACCTACAACATTTCAACTCAATTTGGACATTTTCAGTGCACGTTTAGCTATAAACCTTTACCAAGACAATGAAAAGAAAAGAAGAAAATTAATTTTACAGGCATTTAATCTGCTTCTCGTCTACCCATACCATGCCAAAGAGAAACAAGGACAAAAAAAATAAAAAAAAATCAAACAACTCCCAACGCGCTGAACCGAATCGTGAAAATATCAGAAGTAAACTTTAGTGTTGGACTAGCACACGGATGAACGTAAATAACTTATAGATTGGAAAGTTTGTCACATATGAACATCTTTAAAACCACTGGAATCGGAAATACAAAATAATGAAGAAAACTTATAAAAATGCAATTGTCATCCTCAAATTAAACGCTAATTTTTTTTTGAGTACTGTACAAGTTTACACGTTAAAAATGCAGCCCAGGCCTTCGCAGATGTGACTCAAAAACTGGGACTTTTCCTACAAAAAATCAAAACAGCTCCGGATACACAGAAGTAGAAGTGACTCTCAATTCAAATTCACAGAAAACAATTGAAATTTCTTTAAAAAGCCAAAAAAATAAAAAAATAAGTGTGAAAAAGTCCCCTCCAGAGCGAGTGTGGTTATACTAATCGTGTTTACGTACTGCATGCATAAAGACGAGATCATTTAAAAACAATACTACCAGCGATATTGTCCGTTGTGTGGCAAGAATCCTTCCGTTTTTAGAGACAGGTGCCTTCTGGGTAAACATGTTTGGAGTAACACAGGTTCATATGGCACGCTAAAGCAGGTCTCTCGCAGCTACAGTATTGTGCAAACACTTTAGCAGAGGTGGAATTACTACACATTTCAAAACCTACATTTATTAATTATAAAAAAAAAAAATCTAATTTATTACGAAGCCAAATTATGGTGTCAATTATTTTTTAACATTAACAGATAACGCAATAGAATTCAGGCAGATAAAGTGGCCGTTGTGTTGTAATCCAAAACAGAAATACTTTATCATTTTAAAGGTGATGTCTGCAACTTTAATTGTATTTAAATTGGAAAAATAAAACATTTTCAACCCATATGACGCTGCAGAATCATAAAACTGAAGTATTTTCCATAATCTATTTTTATATTTTTAACAGTCCCCCAACTTGGAATACGCCTCATCAGCTGAAGGAAACCAATGGTGAGGGATCTTAGCTGTCAATCAAGTTTTCTATCCAATCAGGAAGCTGTGTGGGCGGGTCTAACTGGTTCTTGTTTTGAAAAACGTCTCCCATGTTCACAAACAAGTAACTAACCTTTACTTTAACAGAAAGCTTAGCATAATTTATACAAGTAAGGATGTTGGATGAATTAATTAAGTGTTTTATCACAACACAATGGCAGTTTTGATTGAAATTGAAATTAGACACCAGTATTAGCATTTTAACACATACCAAAATCGCTAGTTAAGATAAGATTCACCATAAAATCACCAGCAGTGACTTGGCAGATGCTCAGAATGTAATCTTTATAATGGTAGTACTTCCTCTTTAAGCGTTTATGCTGAAAATAACATTGATAATAACCTTTGCTTGAAGCTTTCCACAGCACTGCAGCTCTAAAGGGGATGGATCATGAAGCAAACTCTTGTAGAAAAGACTCGTTCGTGCGCTCAAGCTGGAATGTGTCCATGTGCACCGCCCGCTAAGTTCGAAGCCCCGCACGTTTCGCGACCGTCAACGCAAAGTGGAGAGAGTGACATACAAACAGTACAGACCTTTTGTCAATTGAAAGTCACAGAGTAGTGTGTGTCTGCATGCCCACGATGAAAAAAAAAAAAACCTCCGTCTGAAGAAGAATAGCATCGTTTCTCTTTTATACACAAGCACTGGAGTTTGAATCGAATCCCCGCCACTCATGTAAACTGACGCCCCCCGCACACTTCTACGCTAAAACACACAGCAGCCTTCATTTGCCCCCTTCATATTTCAACAGGTAGAATCATCATTTAGTGGTTATTTGTTCTTCAAAAAAAAAAAAAAAAAAAATCAAACAAACAAGACATATATCAATCGTAATCATAAAAGACATTGTCCCAGATTAGGTGAGATTCCCTTTCGCAACTTCCAAAACGTTGTTACAGAAACGACACGACGTTAGCCAGACGCAAAAAAGGATTGAAATGATGAGATTCTGAACAAAGAGGGCCTTGAAACGGGATATGACGACCATTTTGTTCCAATTGAATCTAGCAAAAGAAATGACAGGGCTCCACCTGATTGGACGCTTTTGAGTTTGGTGGCGACAGATTCTCTAAAAAGTAGCGCCCAGAGGAGCTCGCCGTGACCGTCTGTTCGTGTATTAGTAAGTCCTGAGAGCACTAACGGAAAATAAAACTAAAAACGGGAAAAAAAAAGAAAAAAATGTGAAGAATTACACATTTACAGTAGAAGAAATAGTTTTTCACTTATAATACACTAAATATGTACAATCACATGCAGAGGAACCGTCTGCACGTTCACCGTTATCCACGTGTGTAAAATCACAAAAAAAGTGCCGCTGTAATTTCCCCGCTGCAGTGTCACTCTCTGATGGCCCCGACAGAAAAGCACACACACGTCATCCCCGGCGGCGGCCAACGGGGGGAGTCACTCAAGACCACGTCGCAAATAAAAACAAACGAGAATCCGAACAAAATTGAACACACGTCACAGAATGGACTGAAGCTACACACGCATTTCTCAACTCCTTGGCACTCCTTCTGAACAAAAAAACTGAAAATAAACTCAGTGGTGATAAACGAAAACAAAAAAGATTCTTCCATCGCGCTGCAAACAGTCGACTCCGCGAAAAAGAACCGATGGGGTTGCCAGATCCACTGTTTTCTGCCACGTTAAGCCCAAGTCTTGTCGCCAGTTTCTTAAAATGGGAGGATATGAAGATGAGCAACAACCAGGCTTTTTCTTTGGATGGAGTGACGCTTGCGTTTGTTTTTCCCACTGTAGGCACAAGGAGGAGCCAAGGCATCGGGGGGTGGTGGTGGTTGGTGGTAGTAGTAGTAGTAGTAGTAGAAGAAGAGACTGGAGGGTGGGGAGAGGGAGGGGGGCTCTTAGCGTCTCATCTGGCCCATCTGATAGTTCTCTCTGGGCTGGCGATGGTGGCGCTGCTGCTGCTGCTGCTGTTGGGACGGTCGCGAAGGCTGCCTCTGCTGCTGCTGCTGCCCCCGCCCGCCCCCGTGCCCCCCGGCATGGCCCGAGTGGGCGTCCCGCGACTGCTGCTGCACCTGCTGCTGAGCTCGCCGCCGCTTCAAAGTGCCTGGAGAGACGGGGGGAAAAGGTTAGTCATAGGTAAGAGGTGTTTGAAAGCCTTTTTTTTGCGCTTGTCGTTACTCCGGCAACAGGGAGGGTGGCGTACATCTGTGTCTATCTGTGGGAAGAAATGTGCAAAAAACTACTTGGGACGATTTGTGTTGTTGGCGGGGTATGTGCTCTCCGTTGCCATAGCAAAAAGCAGGAGTGAGTTACACACACAGCAAATATTTTAAAACCAGGGAATATGCAAGAATAGCTTCTATTTTAAAAGAAAATGTAGTTTGCTACAAATTCAAAAGCCATTTATTTTATTGTTGAGCCCAAGACTATTATCCAACAGACATACTTTTTATAGACACATGTTAAAAAATGAGAAAGAGAATAAAAAAGTTGGATGATATTGTTCTCTTTATAGATACGTCACTATATTTCACTAAGCAAAAATGTGAGAATGAGACACTTCTCAGATTAAAATATCATTACCGTATTTTCCGGACTATAAGCAGCACCAGATTATAAACCACAGGCTCCAATTTTTCAAAAGAAATTGAATTTTGCACTTGTACAAGCCGCACTGGCATATAAGCCGCACTATAACAGTAAGAGTCACTAACAATTCCTAATCTTGCAGTGTGAAAGAGAAAGATAAGGAGCCACATCTACTGGCCTTTTTTTCACTTTCATGTCTATACAAAGAACCGAAAAACTATTTATTATATGAGATAGACGTTTTAAGTGAGGACTTTGACTTTATTTAATTTGCTTGTTATAATTAAAGCCTTACAAGGACGCACTTTGAATTGTTTTAGATTATAAATCAAAAACATTTATGGAATATTCCCAATGCAATCATTTCAAAAAAGTGAATCCAAACAAGTATCATTATCTTCTCACCTGGAAGTGGTTTTGGTGGAGGCAGTTTTGGATTGCTGCTCGGTGTGTGGACGCTGCAAATCTTGATGAATCCAGCCATCAACATGATCAGAGCGATGCCCATCAGCAGCACAGCCCACCAGTGAGCCTGGACACGGACAACACCTGCTTTCTGACTGTTTGATCCCAAAACCCAACATACTTATTCATTGAAAATACCCCAAAGACCAACAGTGACAGTGGGACTATGAACCAAAAATAGATATTGGTTTACTTTTGAATGCACTGGAACTGGCAGAAACGTTTTGTTCCGTGTTCTACCATTGTAAATGTTACTGTAGTTCAAGCGGTCATGGTTTTACACTGATCCAGACCGGAGCAGAGAGGATTCACGGTCCGAACCAAGAAGATCAAGCTTAAATCCACTGGAGAAACACTGATAAAAAAAGCGAATAAAGCATTCAGCATTTTCGCTCTGGACCGCAGCAGCAGAGAAATGGTCTGAACCAATCGGCCACTCCACCTCTGCGGCTGTGACCTAAAAGCGCTGTTGCATTTTATTATTACTATCGTTGGCGACTTTTAGCATTATGCATATATTTGTTTTGTTTGTGGGGAAGGACGTGTTTTTGCTGCTACTGGACACCTCGATATCTCCAACGGGGATCAATAAAGTATCTATCTACAATAAGCAAAATGTATCTCAAATGTTGAATGTCTTAAAACCAAAGGAACAAGCACACATCTCTTCTTTTAAATGAAAATCCTACAATATTCTCACTTGGAATGAGAATATAAATGACAACTGACACTTAAAGCTGCACTAACTGACTTTGGGATTTTGAAGCCGCGGACTCGCTGGCCTCGCTCTTTCTGCTCCCCTCCCCGCACCCACGAAGCTATCGCCCCCCACACACACACAGTGTTGAGACGGAGCTAGCCTCTCCCAATATGGATAATACATGGATATGGATTTTCACGTGGATGGCGTGACCATAGAACGATAGAACCGGGAAGCGCGGAGGAATGGGACTTTCTTTTGGATGGCTGTTTCGCTGTGAAAGCAGTAACTGGTGACGAAGACGAGAAAGTTTCAGGTTAGCTCCGCCGCTTGTTGTGCTAACTCAGCTGTCTGTGCTAACGGACCTGGAGATTTCTCACGAAAGTGGGGGCTAGTGGTGCGCTGTGATTGGTCACAATCTGCGACCCGAAACACATTCTCTTCCTTGTTTCATCAAAACTCGATCGAAAATATAATGTCAGGCCAGCACAAATCTGCGCTACATTTTCTTCAAAAGGACGTATATCCCAATGCACTACATGGACAGCATTTTCGTAATTAATACGAAAATAAAGTCAGTTAGTGCAGCTTTAACTGCATGAACTTGAAAAAAGTCTAAACCGCAAATCTACTTTTAAGACAAAATATAAATAAACATTGTCTATTAACTGTAGAAATGGGAACTTGCCACGTACCACAATCCACTCTGCGATGTTCTCGTAGAGCTCCGGGTTGAAGATGGCCTTCTTGAGTCTGGCCAGGGGTCCGTCTGCGTCCACCAGGCGGCACTTCATGAACACGTCGCAGTAGCCTTTGAAGTCGTTGCAGGGCGAGCCGGCCGGCAGCGTGGTCACCTTCTTGTTGAAGAATCGAGCCAGTCTCTCGGAGCCCGTGCTGCTGCAGGTGTTGGGGTTCACTGACCAGAGATAAAAGGTGTTAGAGCCAGATCTTGCACTTGTCGCTGGACCCAGACTTTGGAACAAGCACTCGCCTCCTGATATGAGAGTATTTACTGATTTGGGATTGGGACTGCGCTCAAAATGTATTTATTCAGACTAGCTTCTAACACTTTCAACACTCATTAGTGCACTTTTTTACTGTTACCAGGCTGGAAAAAACTTAAATTCAAATACATTTCCCCCCAAAATCTTTTACTTAAATCACGTAAATTGTAAACAGTAATAGATTTGATGTGATCTGTAAAGCACGTCTTGAGTTTTGTAAAGGGCAATAAATAAAATGTTAAAAAAAAAAAAGATTGTATTGAAACTGTTTTTGTTGAGCGCTTTCACAGTGACTATTGTTTTCTTGCACTTTTTTTTGCTTGATTTATTCCTGTACTTTAGCTTGGTTTATGTGTGTACTTGTCAGGTGCAAAAATGGGGACTTTTGCGGATGTATTCCAAAGTGGTTTTACTGCAAATGGCAAGTACACTGAATCTGAGATAAAAATTAAAGCTGGGGTGCATTACTTAAAAACCACAAAACATAAACTATGTAATAAAATCTAGTGCGTTCTCGCTCTCAAATACAGTGTGCTTCTATCGCGTGCATGTTTTCTGGCCTCTGTCACATATTCAGATTAGCATTTTGACAAAGAATACCAGCGCTCACTCAGCCGGCCTACCAGCTCTCAGTATGAAAATGATGTATGTAAAATGTTTTCTATAAGATCAAGAAAACATGTTGTGGTCCGATTTGTTCACAAAATGTCCCTTACGCAAAACTGGGATTATTATAGTCAAGTTAAAAATCGGAGAGGAAAAGATCAACCCTTTAAGCGCCGTAGTGCAGTCTGGCCTCCCTCCCTCCCTCCCTCCCTCTCGACCCCATGTAGACATAGAGCGTGGACATATTGTATCTCATGTCTTTGGTGACTCACTCTTCTCCATGCAGCACACGTGGCACAGCTCGGTCTCGTCCTTCCCGTCTTGGCTGGCACAGGTGCACGCCTCCAGCCCGTACTTCTCACAGATGGAGCCAGAGCAGCCCTGTGGGGAGAGCGGACACCGGTCACTATCGCCAATCATCTTCAATTCGCAAAGATCGAGAATATAAACTTGCAGACAAAATTCAGAAATGTGTTTTAGTTTCTGTGCAACATACATTCCAATTTACCCTGACTGACTTCTATAAGAGGGACTGAAAGAATCCAAACGAGAATCTTGTTTTGGCTGATTTTCGACATTGATGAATATAGTTTAATGCATTACTTAAAGCTGAACTAACTGACTTTATTTTTGTATTCATTACAAAAATTCAATCCATATCCATGCAATGCATTGGGATATACGTCCTTTTGAAGAAAAAGTAGCGCAGATTTGTGCTGGCGTGTCATTATATTTTAGATTGAGTTTTGGTGAAACAAAGAGAATTTGTTTCGGGAACAGATTGTGACCAATCACAGCGGACCACTGGCCCCCCGCTTTCTTGAGAAAAGCTACAGGTCTCTTGTTAGCACCGACAGCTAAGGTAAACAAGCGGCGGAGGCTAACCTGAAGCTTCCCATGACTTCGTTACCGGTTACTGCTTACACAGCAAAACAGCCATCCAAAAGAAAGTCTCGTTCCTCCGCACTTCCCGGTTCTATCATTCTATGGTCACGCCATCCACGTGCAAATGTGCGATCCATATTGTAAGACGTGAGCTCCATATGGCAAGAGTTCTGATTCGAAAGTTTCTCAAAGTTAGCTAGTGCAGCTTTAAATTAGGCAAAAAAAAATCTAAAACGTGGTAAAATGTTGAAATTTGCCAATGAAGCAAGCACAAATGTCTTGATTTAACAGACAAATACAAATTCTACAAAATTCTACTACGCTAACGGCATAAATTTCTTTTAAGACAGAAAAAATTTACTCAAATACCAGCGAAAATAACCCATTTACCACCTTAATTTTAATATTTTTGGTAGAGAAAGTTCCAACTTTTAAACATTGCTGGAAATATTTGAGTATTGCGTATTATGGGCACCGGTCCAGACATATCAATTGCCCTCTATGTACTGTAGCACCGTTTGTGAATGGGTTTCTTGGCTTTTTGGATGCCCCCGGCCCAAGAGGAACTCACCCCATTGAGGCAGACTTGTGTCTCTCCGTGGCAGGCGGTGAAGTTGGCTTTGGGCTCTGACGTGGGGCACTGGGCGCTCCCACCGTTGCACATGCCCTGGTGAGCGCACTCCGACTCCTCTCGACACTTCTCGTTTTTGCCCTTGTACGAGCACTCGGGCATACAGCACGGACCTTGGCTGGGACTGAAGCAGGACATCGTTCATTAATACACACGCACAAAAACTGAAAACGTTCATATAGCTGTTTCTCAAATCTCTTTGAGCATTGGAAAAAGATGATTCTAGAGAAGACAGATATTCCCCAACTTTAAAACACCTTCCTTTGTACGTCTCTATATTTTTGGGTGATTAACTCATTGACTGCCATTGACATATTTGTCTGAGACTCATGGTTTCTGTCAGACGTCCCTCTTTTCGACTGGGGATTAAAGGAGAACAGAACTAGCTAGAAATCAATATGTTTTTGCTGATGAAAGTAGACAGTCCAATCTTTCAGAATCTGGTTTCATATTTCATATAGTCATAGCACACAATATTCTGTGGGTCCTGAAAGTCAGTGAAATCATCAAAAACGGCCGGCAGTCAATGAGTTAAGAGCTATATTCGTCCCTGAGTGGGGACATTTCAGTGTTGCATCACAGGTTACCGACGCGCATTTACTACCTTAGATAAACAATAACTCTATACTAAAATAAAAACAAATACAATTTAACTTCAGCATAATAAAGAAGCGAGTATAAAATATCTCACGTAATAAGGTTGGTCTAAACTCTCCAACTTTAGTACAAGATAAGATAAACGGTATTGATCTCACAATGGAAACATTTACATGTGACATTTTGTATAAATAGGATCACTCAGGATGTGCAAAAGACAGGAAACGTGCAAAAAAGGAAAACATTTTAAAAAGTGAAAAGATCTGTCTGTTTTGTACAAGATATATTATGTACAATGAAATTAAAAGTGACTATAAAAACAGTGCATAACGACGCAAGAATAGTATAAAGTCTGTGAATTTAGTACAATGAAGAAGCACGACTCAAGTATGGCATAATAAGAAGCAAGTGTAAAATCTTGTGGATGGTACCTGCAGACTTTGCCGGGCTTGAGTTTGCACTTCTTGTTATCGGGCTGGTTGGCGTCATAGCAGCACTGGTCTCTGCACTGGTCGCTGTAGCCACAGTCACACTCCTCTCCATTCTCCACCAGCCCGTTCCCACAGATGGGCTGCCCAGACTCTGTTTACCAAAGCAAACACTCAGAGAATCAACATGCAGTCTTATCTCACCGCTCAGTAAAAAAAAAAAAATAAACTGCTAAATGGGGTTTTTAGCCAAACATATTACAGGTTTAAGCAGAACTCAAAAGGATTTCCATAATACATGCTTTGACATTTAAACAGTAAGGGGGCTGTTTGTAATTAGAAATGTAGTCTTTCCCATAACTAGTAGGTGCTTCCTCTGTCACTGCAGTCACAACACCCCAAGCTCACTCCAATTACTCTGCTTTGATGCCAGAGTATTAAAGCCCGGTTGGCGGACAGAAGTGTTGGTGCAAACTAGCGCCTGCAGCTCCTCTGACCACCACATCAAATCATACATGGACAAAAATAGGTCAATCTAGTTCTTCTCTAGCTCTAGTACAGGCATGTTAAACTCAGGCTCGGGGGATAAATCCAGCCCGCAAGACAATTATAAGTGGCCCTTAAAATTATAATAAGAATAAGAAAACTTTATTGTCCACCAAGGTGGAAAATTGCCTTTGGTTATCACCTTAAAATACATAAAAGACACACATCCAGCGAAATATCATGTGGCACTACAGTCACAGTACAATTGGAAGAACAAACCAAGAAGGCCTCATCCGGCCTAAAGACAAGAGACCTCAGGACTACTCAAAGCTTAAGAGTGTTTGCCGCTTTCACTGCTCTGGGCACAAAGGACTTTTTAATAATGTTTTTCCTAGCTGATATCACTCGATATCTTCGTCCTGGCGGCAGAAGTTCAAACTTTGGGTTTAGCGGATGGGAAGCATCTTTAATGATGAGCTCAGCCTTCTTTCCCAAGCGCTCCTCAAACAAACACTGGAGAGATCTTTGTGGCTGCCCAATGATCTTTGAGCTCTGGTTCACGATCCTTTGGAGTTTGTTTTGGTTCTGTATTTGATCATTGCAGCATTGATGGTATGGTAATGTTCAACCAAGGCATGTAATACATCATTTATCTTATCAGGATAATAACCACATTTAATTCATTCTAAATCCCTTCTATTCTTTCAGCCCTCGACCAGTTCCTACTTTTTTTCTATTCGATCCCCGACCAAAATAATGTTGACACCTCTGTTCTAGTCCAGTCTAGTTTGTTCTGTGGACCCCTGTTATATCTGTATTACTGCCATCCATCCATCCATTTTCTACCCTTTAATCCATTTCTGGGTCAGGGGGGTGGCAGTCAGAGATGCCACCCAAGTCTCATAGCACCAGCCCCTCACTGACCCTCTGCAGGTGGTGAGTCCACAGGAGGACGGCTGCTCTCTGAGGGTGAGCATAGCCTTGATCTTTCAGTGGGGGCTTTGGGCAAAGTGGGGTTAAGTGTCTTGCCCAAGGACACAACGACAGCAGTCATCAGTGGGAGTTGTGTATTACTGCTAAACATTAATATCCGAAGAACTGAATGCATTTGTTCTGACCACATTGTTAAAAGTATCTATATCTGATGTGTCATTAATATCTCTAGTGATGCACATTGATACAGATCCTATAAAAAAGCTTAGTCTCCTTTAGTTCTATCTGGAGGGACTGTCCATTTCTCTACACAGTTTTTACTAAATCACCGCACGGAAAGAAGAGATCACAGGACTGGTTAAAGGCCTGTGTCGAACAGTGTCTATAAGGAAGAGGCGATGAAATTCTCGTGTTTTTACATTGGAATTTCTACTCAATATCTACTCAACTTACCGACAAAGCAGTTGCCCCTCTTCTTCTCCAGGACCTGGCTGATGTTGCGCACGCTGCAAATGGAGAACTTGTTGTTGTTGAGTTTGTCTCCGGACGTGGCGCGTGCGTACATGATGTAATTGCCCTTTTCTTTCTTGTCCTGGCTCTTGGATTCCCCTGGGGTGCACTCGGCCCCGGAGTCGTGCTGTAGGCCAATAAAAACAGGTGATGGAAAAACATTTAGAAAAACGGGTTCAAACCGGAAAAGCCCGATATAAAAATGATTTTAGGGCATACAGAAGAGAGCGGAGTCACTCACCGGGGAGCCAAAGTTATGTCCCACTTCATGTGCAAAGGTGATATGGGAGACTTTGGGTGGTACGTGGGAGGCGTAATTCTGTACAGTGATTATTCCAGTGTTGAGAGACTTCTTCTTGCCGTCTGAATATAGCTTGCTCTTCTCGCAAATGCCACCAGAGCTCCCTAGAACGACAGAAACATTGAATACATTGAAATAGTCAAAAAGGACCAATGGCTCTATGTGTTTTTTCATCATTTCTTTTCTTGTGTTTGATTCTGTGATGGCGAATTCAATGTCTACTGTTGTGATTTAGGGCTATACAAGTATAAATTGAATTGAATTAGATATGCACTGCAAAAGTGAAAATAAAGACTAGTGTTGTGTTTACCTCATCTCATCATGCTGTTTTTTATATGACTTTTTTACTCATGCGGCTGAAAATACTTTAGATAATATTACTTGATCCAGTGGCAGATTATTTATTAAAATTTCACTGCTGGTAGCTGTTTTTTGGAGCCACTTTTTGCCGTGTGAACAGTTTTGTCAAGAGTCGAGAGTTATGAAGAGTTATTAGATATAGCTCAATCTTACCTGAAGGTGCCCCGACCCAGGCCAGTCCCAGCACGCCGTCATCAAAGTCTCTGTCGGTGAAAACGTAGGCTAAACAGTAGTCGTCGTGGTTCTGCTCCGAGTTCAGCTCCAGGAACTTCTCCACTCCGATGTTTGCGAAGCGGAATGGGTTGGACCGGTCCCTCTCATCACTGGTGGTGTTGATCTAGAGCAGAGAGAAAGAATACAGACGTGAGATCAAGCTCAAGTGGGAAAATCTGAAATTAAAGTAAAGAACAAAAATCTATTGAGAATCTCACCCGGATCCTTTTCACCATGAAGCTGATGTTTCGAATCCCCATGAAGTCGGTACCCTGATAAATGGCGTCTATGGCCTTCACATGACTGGAGATCTGCAAATGGAACAAAAAGATGTAGAAATATTCTCCAATAGAAAATGGAATGCTCAGCGTGTTGATTTTCTTTTATTTTCAAATACACATTTACACACTAACACATATACACACACTAACATATACTAATAAGGTGTGTGTATAAGTGTTAGTGTGTAAATAATATATGATACCAATATATACATATATAAACCGATAAGTAAGGCATGTACAAGTATTCAGCAGCAAAGTTTTTGTCCCATCTGTCCAAAGCATCTTCTTCCACATGGTAGCTATGACTTCAAACAGATTTTCTTATGGCCTCTTTTCAATAAAGGCTTGTGCACGCCCTACTTTTCCAATAGAATGAGCAGAGCGATTCGTGGAATAAAAATCCTGATATTAGCGTGTATGGATCTAAAAACAATTCCAGGGCTGTTTTGATGAAAAAGTCCCATTTAGTTAGTTAGTTGAATTTGTGGTCATGTTTCTAACTTTAACCACTTACTTAAGATTATTAATTGACATAAAGAGACCGTACTAATGTGTGTAATACGCTGAATTAGAGATGAAAAGAAAACAAGAATGCTATAGCTGCTTACAAGGGCACTTACCCCATTCTAATTATTGAGGAGAATGATTCATGATTCGCACCCACGCATGTTCTGCTAATTAACCCTGTCACACATGCCCTGAAACGTGTGTGCAGCGTTGGCGGTACCTGTGCGATCACGGCCTCCCTGGTTTTGTAGAACTTGAAGAAGAGATGGTCGGTCTGGATGAAGAGCTGACATGTGTTCTTCTCCGCCTGAGCCATCCTCCTCCTCCGCAGCAGCACCGGCCCATCAGAGTCCTCGTCAGTGTGGACGTCCTGACACATTTCAACAGGCTTTACACACTTTACACACATTACACACACTTTATACACATTACACACACATTATACACACTTTATACACATTACACACTTTATACACATTACACGCATGCAGGATTATGTGCAGCATTCCCCTTTTAACAGCTTAGGCCTCATCATATGCTCTACTTTGGATCAAGCACCAAACTCTGGTGGGAAAAAATCCTCCACCAGGATTAAACTTTGTTAAACCCAAAACTGAATATTTTTGAACGGAAACTACACATTAAAATGAAAATGTAACACTAGTAAGTAAGTAATCCTTATTTATATAGCGCCTTTCACAGACCGGAGGCACAAAGCGCTTTACATTTTTGTTTGGGGGGGTGGCATTTTTGTCTCTCTCCACACAGAGATGGGAGCAGGGGTCGCCATACAGGAGGCGCATGCCAGACCTATCGTAGATGGTTTAGTCGCAGGGGAAACCGGAGCACCCGGAGGAAACCCGAGTAACCCAGGACTTTCTTGCTGTGAAGCACAAGCGCTCACCTCTGTGCCGCCCACTATATTTTTATTCATGTTACATTATAATTTCCTCCCAAACTCCAACTGTAAAACAAACATTGAGACCTGTGTTTTTACCTTGATTGGCTCTGGGACAGCGGAGCTCTGATACTTCCTCATGCGCTCGAACACAGAGCTGTTGGCACAGCCGCCCTCGGGGCCGTACTTATGCGGATAGTCTGAGACAGAGAAACAACACTAGGATTATGGCAGATAATGTCAGCCACTTAACCCACTGAGTCACTCTATTTCCGCTGCCATTCACTATCAGCTAATGGTCCAGCTTACAGCCACTCTGCCTCATCCCACCAGGCAGTTAGAACGTGGCCTTTACTTTATGTCCACAGATAATTGGAAATTATAGGGTGTAGAAACTCTTAGGGGGTCGCTTGATGCTCACTCTGTAACAGAATTGTGGCCACCCTTTATGAGAGGCGGATTCTTGATATACCAAAGTATTTATCATAATACAATATACAATAGGGATGTAACAATGCATTGCAGTGCAACATTTCCCTGATCACTATTCTCACACACATGCATTACACTCACATGGGCTCGCACTCCCCTGACAAACTCACACTCAGGTGATCAGAGACTGCACCAGGACAAAGTTTAACCAGGTGTCAGTGTTCTAGTGAACATGCATCATGTTAAAGGTTACATGAAACATAAGACCCTCAGTAAAAAAAAAATAATAATAAAAAAACATCTAATATCTAAAATCAAATAGTTAAGCCATTTCTGCAGCCGCTGATGAATTGAATTTGATTTTTGTCACAAAATGGAGAATAATGACAAATAATAGTCAATTATTCTAAGTGCTGTATGCATCCTCATAGCGACATGTCGCTTCTGCAACGTGAATTGAACCAAACTGAGATTTATGGATCATCACATCACTACAATGTGCTCATCTATCAGATAAAATTATGTATATGGCGCTAATGTAGCTGGTGAGATGAGAAACATGTGTCATTAAGTCAACTTCAGCTTCAACTTGGACATAACCCATTGTAAAGTTCAGAGCAGCTCAAATCCAATACAAAACAGTTTACTATCAGTGATGTCGGGCTCTGGACACGTATCGCAAGTTTATTAAGCAAATGAGTCATGCATTTGTTCTCGTGGTTCAAATCTCCATCTCTGTATCCTCATAACCACAGAAACGCATTCTATCTCACACAATCAGCAAAAACATTTCATTACATACAGGGGTGGCGACTAACAAACAAATTTCCTGTCAGAGCGCTGCCAGGGCCGGCGAGACTTACGTATGTCGTCCTCGTGGTACATGACGGAGTGGAAAGGCACGTTTTTGCCCTTGAGGTACCGGTCTGCAGGCTCCACGTAGTAGGTGCCCATGTAGCTCTGAATGAAGCCCTCGAACTTGCCGTCCACAATAGAGCCATGGGTTAGGGTGTTCTTCTCACCTGGAAATTCAAATAATAATATTACAGTAATAAGAAAACATCGGCCATATGTTTTAAGAGTACCAATTTTATAGTCATAGTCAAAAAAATAATAAAAATCAATAGGTAAGAATCTCACCATAGATTTCCCCAGTGTAGATGTGAGAGGTGTCATAAGGAATCTCTTCTCCTGAAACTTCTACCTTCAAATCTTGGGCAAATAAAGAAGCATCCCTCTTCATGCGCAGGTTAAAATGCCTGGAGGGAAAATGTAAAACAAAAATAAACGTTTAAAATCCTATGAAGACACAGTGTACCACAGCATAATCGCATCATCAACACTAAAGCAACGCCCGGGTTATATACACCTTAAACTTATTATGGCGATATAATTTATGGCACAGGATAAATTTGACTGTGGAGTTCACGGATTGTCGACAACGCTTAGGTTAAATGCTGATTTATCAAAAGGATACATACACAAAATGACCATATGCACTGCAAAAAAGGATAAAAATGTATCTTAATTTGAGCACATTGTGACTGCTTTCAACCAAGATTTGCGAATGGGACAAGCAAAATTATCTTGTTTTATAAAGATACAAATAATCTCCATCTTGGAATGAGAAAATACATAGCAACAGTTCTTGAAATAAGACTAAATGGTTTTGTCCCTTTGGCAAATATTGTTTTAAGACAGAATGTACCCAGATTGAGATAAAAACCACTCGATTCAAGCATTTACGACCTCATATGTTATCATTTTTTGCAGTGTGATAAGGAAAAGCTGCACTTTTAATTCCAAAAAGTGTCATTTTGTTTAAATATTGTGAAAGTTATGTTACAATATTCAGCATGATTAATGTGGGGTGACAGGAAAGGGAGTGAACAAGAGGATGTTGGAACAATAGCGTTTTGCTGATGAAGCTTATGAGGAAGACAAAGATGTGACAGAGGCTTTGGTCTCATGCCACGCCTACGCTGTGGGTTTCTCTGAGTGCCAAGACAGTTTCCACATGAAAAACAGGACAATATCAGAGTTAGATATATTGGTCATTGGAGAATCTTTCCTTCTATGTTGGGAGCATATTTCAGCCCTTTAGTGAGTGACAAACCCCAATGCATAGTACATTTAGATTTGATTTGAACTATTTTATCTAGGACATTATTTGCTTGTCCCACCTCTGCACCTTCTCCATCGACTCCCACTGATGACTGCTGTCGTTGTGTCCTTGGGCAAGACACTTAACCCCACTTTGCCCAAAGCCCCCACTGAAAGATCAAGGCTATGCTCACAGTCAGAGAGCAGCCGTCCTCCTGTGGACTCACCACCTGCAGAGGGTCAGTGAGGGGCTGGTGCTATGAGACTTGGGTGGCATCTCTGACTGCCACCCCCCTGACCCAGAAATGGATTAAAGGGTAGAAAATGGATGGATGGATGGATGGATTATTTGCTTATAGTTATTATTATTGGATTTTCTAAAAGTGATGAATTAATGACAAATACACACTTTTCTGCCATTTATCACAATCCTCATAATCCGAATGGAAAAGAAAACGTCTAACACGTTGTTGCCGCATTAACAAGAAAAGGGCACATGGCAAGATCTCGGCCAGATGGACCCAACTGAACCACACCAGATAAAAGTGTTTATTTTGTTTTAGCAGGAAAAAAGATAAAGAATCTATTTCAAGAGCTTCCTGGCAAATGTGAAATATCAAAACACACACATCACGTTCATAAAAAAGTTAGTGATCTTTTCCAGCAGCAACACACATAGTTATTTAAACTTTACTTTATATATTTAAAGTTGTAGTACCTCCCTTTTTGTTTCATAAGTGTTTGTTCCAACAGAAAGAATAACTATTTCTATTTGTTTTTGTAAAAAAGAAAATCAGACCCCAAGTTCTTAGAAAACAGGTCATCTTTACAAACAAAGCTGATTCATTACTGAAAAAGTAAACCTAAAGATGTGACAGACCTGGTTATAGAACCAAGAGTGTGGGGAGCCACTGGTTACTAAAGCCCAGTTTACATTATTATTATTATTATTATTATTATTATTATTATTATTATACTGAAGAAAACATCATGGTTCTCCTGTTTAGACCAAAATACATGAACATACAAGATTTAAAGGAATAGTTCACCGTTTTTACATACTGACATATGTTCTTACCTTACCTTAGACTAGTTAATACGTACCTGTGTGATCTTAGTCCGTGCGCTCTGTTATGCAAACGGAGCAAAAACGGGAGGACAAATGCAGCCTCCTCTGGTCACTGTGTAGCACCAAAAGGTAGCTCCCGCTAGAAGCTACCAAACTCTTCCAAGTGTTCCCTATTAAATGTATATAGTTACGTGACGTGTTACACTGCAAAGTATAGTAACACAGAAATGTAACTGTCGATTTTCTCAGCGGATAAAACGGGTACTATATTGTGAGGCGTAGTAATCTGAGGTGCGCTACGTCCGCGCACTAACTTCTCTCCGTACTACAAGTCACGCTGCTTCTATTGACTGAAGTGAGCGAGAGAGAAGTCTCCGGAGAGAAGTTAGTGCGCGGACGTAGCGCTCCTCAGATTACTACGCCTCACAATATAGTACCCGTTTTATCCGCTGAGAAAATTGACAGTTACATTTCTGTGTTACTATACTTTGCAGTGTAACACGTCACGTAACTATATACATTTAATAGGGAACACTTGGAAGAGTTTGGTAGCTTCTAGCGGGAGCCACCTTTTGGTGCTACACAGTGACCAGAGGAGGCTGCATTTGTCCTCCCGTTTTTGCTCCGTTTGCATGACAGAGCGCACGGACTAAGATCACACAGGTACGTATTAACTAGTCTAAGGTAAGGTAAGAACATATGTCAGTATGTAAAAACGGTGAACTATTCCTTTAAGCGGTAAACGGCAGTGATCCGATTTTCCTGAAACCCTTACTGCTTGTTGTGTGAATAACCTTTGCCCCCCGCCCCGCCCCCGCCCCCTCTACCACAAGTTGGGAGTCAATGAACTAGTTCCATGGGTTTTATATTACACTGTTATTCTTTAGATAGTTAATTGAATGAGTGGCCTTTCTTAAATACCATAAAACCGACAAAAGTAGACAAACCTTCCATGGGCATGGAAGTCTAAATGGAGGAACTTGTCTTCGTGGGACAGCGCCCTCTTGGCTCTCTGGTGATGGTGGTGCACCAGGTCTGTGTCGTAGGAAAGGCCTTCATAGTGCAGGATGAACGTGTTCAGAGGGTTTCTATAATGTCCTGAGGAGAAAAATACACCAGAAGTGATCTTAGTTAACTGGACTTAGGATTCTGTTGAAATAGTTTGTGGCTTTAAAGAAAAATATCCCATGATTCAGAAGGAGATTTGTTGTTACATTCTTCAGATTCATGAGACATCAGGATGGATAATGGTTTTATAAAAGGACTCCCATAAAATTCTTCTTAATGTACATCATCTTCTATTTAATTCCCAATTAGTATATTTAGACTGATTACAGGCAAAGAACGTAATAGATTTGGGAAATGGGCGAACATGTTCAAGTCTCAAGTGTTGAAATTGAGAAAAGAAAAGGGCAGACCATGTAATTTAAGAACAATATTCTAGGTGAAGAGAGTGCCTTACATCACAGGTTACAGAGCAGTAGGAATGAGGAGCACACAAACAAAAGTCAATATTAATACATTCATGTAAAGATGCTTAACAACAGCTATGAAAAATAATGTTAACAAAGAGCGGATATTTCATTTCAAATATCTAAAAAAAACACATTTACTGAAAATGTGGGTGCAGTTTGAATGAAGTTTATGTGAAACGTATGGAGGACAAACCCAGCACATATCATTTAGACCAGAAAGTATATGAACATCATAATTAGTGTAATTATAGTAATCGTGCACATGCAAACTATAGATGGCTGGTTTCTGTGTAGATGATACGTATAAAAAAGCAGTATGTATAAAATACTTGTTCAAATGTGTTATGAAATATTTAATCCAAACGTTTGCATTTTTTATTGAGGTGACTATGAGAGGCGAAGGCCATGGGTTGTTCAAAATTCCCAAATGTCCCAGACTGGAAACACAAACAAATATACAAAAGGCTTTTCATCATGTCCAAAAATGTCCAAATTATTTCATATTATTTCTCCACTGTGAGACTAATAAAGGTTTATCTTATCTTATGTAGTTATGACAGAAATATTATGAAGAATCTGCAATCATTGATGTTAGGCCTATCTATTTGGAATTGGATTCTGCAACAAAGCCTGGAAACATAGTGTACTTATCCAGGAAGACAAATAAACTGGGATTGATCTGTTCTTTAGACTTTAGATTAGTAACACAACCAGCAAAACCAACATCTCATTGAGCCAGATGTTATCTCCCGACAGAAAACACAGAGGAAAACGCCAAAAGCAGGTCCTCTCCCCGGCGCGCAGAGACACAGACACGGACACATGCAGCAGACCTGTTTGTGTCCAGACTATCACAGATTAGTGCTCTGATGTTAGCTCGGAGCTAGCCTTGCCTTTAGTGGCAGTCGGCTTCTCCATCTTCTCATAACAATGGCTGTCGGCGCTGTTCGCACGATCACAACAAAACCCACACAAACCCACAATCTCACGGTGACAGCGCACGCCGTTCATTCACAGGATCTGGCTCGTCTCAAACACACACAATATTAAAGGAGAGCCCCAGTGTACAGTAACAACAATTAGACACAGGCAGCAGAGCAAAAGGGTGCAGTCTTCTTCATAACAAGCAGGCCTGATCCTCTGCTGAGCTAACGGGCTAAAGCTTTTCTGCTCCACAGTCGCTTCATGGATACAACACAACACACTGCGCCTTCTCACGGCCTTTCACTCACCTTCGGTATATTTAACTAGGTAAACGAAGAGGAAAAGTTTAAGAAGGACCATATCTGATAAATCCATTTTTAGAGCATTGATACCGTTTTCACTTTATTGTCCTACTTAGATAGGCGCAGACGCCCTGTGTGTTTATGCAGCTTCCTCTCATCGCCTCCTCTGCTGCGCGCTGACGTCAGACGCATGGATACAGGGATCCCTTCCCCCATGAGCAGGCCCTGACCACACTCTGACCACACTGCTCCACAGATCCATGTGTGCAGACACGAACACAGAAGCATCCTCTGATGTAGCAGCAGGCTCTGGCCAGCCCCAGACGGCCTGTATGACCCGACCACTCTCAGGTCCATAGATCTATGTTGTGCAGACACAGCAACACCCCTATCTGATGTAGCAGCATGGGTATTTATAGCACATAACAACACACATTCATTTATTTTATTACAATACTGTTTATTTACATCAATTTACATCATGTCGTTTGTTGAACAATGCAATTATAGATTTTACTTTTCATGTTATATTTTAGGCTCATAATACAGCAAATGGGGTGATGTACAAGCGAAATGGACCAATCTCTAAACGTCAGAGAGGTGTGTTTGGTACATCCGTAAAATATATCACATTCCCACTGTATAAATGTATCCGGTTGCCTAGCAACCAGTCATAAAAATAGTCCATCAGTGTTTATGGCTGTTTGATCTATTTCTTGTCATGAAAAAGGCCTGCTATTGTGGGATATTTGAAAGACTGGCATCTCTCTGGTGATTTAAAAGCAAGAGGAATTCATGAAGACACACATATTAACCACACATGTGAGTACAATTATTTGCAATCATTTCAAAGCCTCAAATGTTATATTGTTACTTTATTCCAAACGTGATCCTTTAGCTCCAGTGGCAGTCACATGACACACCTCCACATCAGCACCCAGTTTCTGCAGTTCATCCAGCCAGATCTGCTGCTTCTGAGACAGTCGATCGCTTGGGCCTTTCACCTCTACCAACTAAAGAAAACATGGATCAACATTGTGCCTGTGTTACCACAGGGGATATTACCTTCAAACATGAGGTGTACCTTGTAAGTGTTATTCGACGTGTTCCAAACCACTAGATCTGGTAAACCTCCTCGACAGTGTCTGTAGTCTTTTGCCATCCTCAGTATAACGCCAGCTAAGAAAGGCCCACAGAGACAGGACACAAGAGACTGGAGAAACGGCATTAGTCAGAGTTGGAATTTTGAATAGAGTTGAAATGGCATATATCAAATCGAGTACCTGAGTCTGCTGAAGGGAAGAGAACCTCTCCCAGCTGACCAGGGAACAGACTTTCCCCTCTTGTGTGGTCCAGACTTCCTCCAACATGCTGTGGAGAAGCTCAACAGAGGCGCTGGAAACCAAATCCACTCGAGAATCTATGGCCTCTTTTCGGTTTTCATAGAAACAATCAGTATAAAGATCCAAGGGACAAGTCTGTAAGTGAAATTAATGATTTAAAAGATATAAAATGATTTGAAATAAGTATTTGAATCTCCTCACACAGTTTCATAGTAATAATAGATTTACGAAAACCTGTTTTACCTGATATGGATTTCTAAAAACATCTGGAATCCCCGGCATAAAAATAATATCCCACAGCAGAAGCGCAAAGAGAGTCGAAAATGTGGAGCCTTCGCCGTGGATTCCTGCTCATATTCAAGCACATGTTTACTGATGAGACTAGCTACATGTAAGTAATAATTTATGACACTGTACCTTCGTTGAATCCCTGCTTTTGATAATGTGCCAAAGACAGATCCTCCACGGAGCATATCACTGTCGCATCAGAGCTTTCGTCAGAGTTTCCTTTCATTGGGATGAGAAACCTGGATTTCCCCGTGCCCCCTTCGTGAGGGAACAGCTGCCCCTGTATGGTCACCTTTAAAAAACAAATGTACGTTTATTTTAAGGTTTCTCACTTATTCCGATACAGGAGGGTCAAAGGACAGTGGTGATGATCCAGGACACTCCACATTCAACATTTATGGACATTGGTCATCTGCCCCTTATGGACCAAAGACCAATGTGTTTTTTATCATTTAGCATTTCTTATGTTTGAACCGTTTCATTCTCTGATCCAGGGGTCGCCAACCTGTGGCTCCAAGTAGCTCCACAAAGGATTTAGATTTTACATAAATATTCAGCATATTGAAAAATATATGACTCACATGCCCACAACTTTAGTAAATGAAAAAGAAAAATGTAATTGGTTATAAATATTGATAGTGAAAGTGATAGTAACAGTTCCCCATCCAAGGCTCGCTATCAACATTCAATAGACTCGCTTTTCCCCGGACGCTTAAAAGAGAAGTTCGGTCTCATTCTAGTCCTGAGAAAGAAGCTCTCCGGGTGAAAAAGGTTGGAGACCCCTGCTCTGATCTGTGTTGCCAAATTCAACTGTTTTGTAAAAGTCCTCCCACAAAAAGTTGTGATTTTGGGCAATACAAGAACACATTGAATTGAATTGAATTTAGACGGAGACACAATAATGGCGCATTTCCGTTCTTTTTTATCATACTTACATGTTTCACGTCCTGGACCAGGATTGTGGGAAGGTCTCGCAGTTTTGAGCTGTATTTTTTGCAGCTTGCCGAGTCCCTCATTCGGACTGCTCTCTGGTGAAGGGATAGTTTATGCCCCGTCCGCACCAAAGGGTCGGCCAATCCATCTCTCATGGCACATATGGCCTGCACCGCAACACGTCAAATCAATCATCGTGTGGAAATTAGGAATGTGGTGTTTGTAAGCAATATTATAAACCCAATCACATGTATCCAGATATTTTTCATGTAGTTAGTATTATTGTTGGGGCTGCACTGAATTAAATGAAATGCAATCAATTTTGTTGGTCACAATTAGAAAATGGCAAAGACTGAAAATGATTTAAGTTTTTGCAAATAAAAAAAGAAGCAAAATATAAGCAAAAAAACAAACATTTTTCTAGATTGCAGTTTATTTTAAAGATTTGTCTAGATGTCAAATTTATTTTCTATTTCTATTGTCAAATTACCAACTTTTTCTAATAAATGCCAAAACTGTCGAAATGTGTTGCCACGACTAACATATGACATTAAAAATGTTGTGAAAAAAGATCTAAAAAAGTTTTTTTCAGAACTAAGTGAAAAAGATGCAAACATACAGGATATCAAAACTGAAAATGTGATCGTAATGTTGGTCAAAAATGTCGTTAATAGACATTTTTGCCATATTCCCTACATACAGCCCTTCTTCTCACATAACAATATTTCAAACTGCTGTTGAAGTCAAAATTGATGGATTCAGTTCACCAACCAGGGGAACGACTCTTATAAATATTAAATGATGTATCTCTGACCTGTTGAGGCTTTTTAAGGTGTTGGTGCAGGTTCAGTGCGAGTCGGTCCCACCATCGCCCCCTGCTGTCCTGACAATAAACATCCTGGGACAATAAGGACTGGAGTTCTACAACAGCATCCTGGGAATTAGACATTTAAAACAATCAAACAAATTAAAAAAAATAATTCCAAATAATTTGCTCTTGAAATGATGAGCAGACCTCATAACGTCGCAGCCTTTGTAAGATCTCCACGCCTCTGGACAGGAGACGGGTGTAGGCCCATCCGGTGCTGAAGCTGCGCAGAAACACCGGCAGCTCCTCCTGGTAACTTGTCAATCGAATAATGACAAAATGAGTACACACACACACACCCCCACACCCACACACACACACATACACACAACATAAAAGATGAGACGTCAAAGTGTTTACCAGAAGTCATGGTTCTCCCTCAGCTCTTGCCAAACAGCTTTAGCACTTGTATACAGCTCAAAGGCCTCCTCCCATTGGCCGTTCTGCATCGCCGTGGTGACCTCTTGCAGGGCTCGCATAGAGGCTTCATATCTATGTATTAGTAAAAAAAAAAGAAACTACATTATGTGGTTTGTGTGTTTTATTGTCTTTCCTTAAGTTATGTATTAATTTCTTCTTATGTCTAAACTCAACTGTCTTCATCTCTCCCAAAATGTTGTCTGATTTGTTTTTTTTTGTTTTTTTTTAAGTTAAACCCAAATTACAAGCTACAGGTAAAACTGATTTGTTCAACTTTTTCAAACGTTTATTTATTTATTTCTGTAATTCAAATTAAGCTACAGTATCTATCAATTTTGTCAAAGATTTGCGCATGAAACAACACCTTTAATATGGGAATTTTTTTTTTTTTAGTTAGACATGCAAGTTCTCTCACCTTATTAAGTCATCTCGGTCCAGAAAGACTTTAGCTTTGCGCTCCACTGTGTAATCGGGGAAGGCCAGACGTCCAGATTTGACCAGAAGGATAGTGTAGAGTTGGCTCTGTCCACTCGCCGCCATCTCCTCTTCATCCAAAGAGTCGGTCAATGAGAAGAGGAGGAGAACTCGGGAGAAGACCGCTCTTGGACCACGATTTAAGCGAATACAGGAACCAGCTAGATGTTTTGCCCTATAACAAAAAGTTGAAAGTTAAGACTTGTTTGTCTTGTAAAATAGTCGTAAATGTGTAATAAATCACTAAACCTTTTGAGCATGACTGCACCAATATTGTTTTGACCAGGAGCCATAGTGAAGAGGGACTTTTGCTTGCTCAGGCGGAGAAGGCCTTCCAAGAGTTGCTGTTTCTGAGTTCCAGAATTACCAAGGTGGAAAGTTTTAGCCAGAGATTTCAATTCAGGAGCAGGCAGCAAATCAAGAGCCTCCCCAAGGTCGTCCAGATCATTCTCTTGAAATAAACAACAAATAATTAAGCAAAGAAAAAACTTGGACATATTGTGGGTTGGCAAATTTGTGGAAAGTAATATACCTGACTGAAGAAATCTCTGTTGAACCAATTCTCGGGCCACTGGTGCCAAATCACAGCTTATCTCTTCATAGTCTAGTTTAGCGACTTGGAGCCATTTTAACTTCCTTTGAAAGAGTCTGACGTACAGTTTTTGTCCCATGTCTTTGTATTAAAAAAAGAGACAACAGATCTTTTAAAACGTGTTCACACAATGCTTTCGACTGATAATAGAAATATAGCAGCATACCTGAAAGTTTCTCAAACGCATGTATGAGTGACATATCTTCATCGTTGAACAATATTCTATCGTCTTCATTCTCAAGAACTGCCTGTAGTACCGTTAGGAAGTTGCGCAGGTAATAAGGCAGATGGGTGGATTTGGAGCTTTCATCTGTTGCATTTTTCTCAAATTCGGACTCCTGGGACTCATTCTTGATTGGCTCAACATTAATTACCATATTTTCTTCAGCGGTATCATTAGAATCACCATTTGCTTCCAGAACCATATTTTTGTCCCCTTTCATGTCCTCTTTACCACTAACACGGCCCTTTTCTACATTATTTTTGTCATATTTTGCTCTCTTTTGTGTCCTTGTCGCGCTTGAAGATGTTTTCCTTTTTGATAGTTTCAGCGACGTTGGCCCAGACTTTGCAGTAAACAGTTTATGAAACTCCTCTGTTTTCTGAGTTAATGGTGTTTTTGTAATATCCTTCGTATGTGGATCAGCATCATCAATGTCTGTTAAGTCAATGACATCATGGTCGTGCCCGTCCATCACATTAGCAGTGTTTTCTTTCTGTGAGCTGCCAAATGTCTCAGAGGATGCTGCTTTCTCATCTGATGCCATGTCTCTAGGTTCATCATTGCATTTGCTTGGCTTGTTAGCAATTTCACAGAACTTATTTGACAACTTGGATGAAAGGGTTCCCAGATCTATCTTTCGGACAACAGTTTTACTAACCATTTCTCGCACTGTGTCCTCTGAACGTGTCTTTTTAAAATAAGGACTTGTTTGGCATTCCTCTTTCTTTTCAGGACTAATATTTGGTGGTGATTTTGCTCTGGGTGACAGGTGGCTGCTGGGCACAACAGGATTACTTGCTGATGTGGCATTGCTGTCCTCTCTCTGGAAGTTCTGACATTGCAGATCGATGTGCTGATTGATCCTGGATCTTGGTACTGGCTGGCCACACAGAGGACAGGCCACTTTGGGGGACTGGCAGCTGAAGAAGGAGGTGATAGGAGTTGTACTCACTGCTCCAGCATTGGCTTTGGTCCCAGCTTTTGCATTGCTCTTCTTCTTGCTCCTCCTGGACAATGACAGTCGGTTCTGGCGTGAGTCCTGGTCGCTCATCTTGTAAGAGGTAAGACATTCGGCTCAATCAAAGCAGCTTCTTCTCACCTTCTCAATTCTCAGTCAACCCAGCATGAGTTGAGTTAGCTCCATGTAGCTCGCTGACGGGAAGGTTTATCAAACAGTGTAAAAGACAGTGAACTTTTCCACATATATCATAGATTATAAACACATAACTACACTTGTTGTCATCCACGTTGGAGTTACCGCGCTGTGGCGGAAAAGCGAGTCATTTTGCAACGAGTTGGGAGTGGATGAACTACAAAGAGCGGCGAGGGAGCCCCGCATCCGAATTCGTAAACATGCCTCCTTCCTTATGCTTCTTTGCCCTTTCTTGTCCTTAGTTCTCATATATAGTAACATTTGTGGAATATAACTTGATCTAATTGGCATTTAAAACATATTTGAAAGGTTACATTTATATTGACCAAATGCGAAGCTACTCCGTTTCACATCAGGTATATTTTAGAACATTATTTGGATGTCGCCTCAGACTCAACCAGGCGAGCGCACAAATAAACAAATGAAGGAAGACCAATCGATCCCAGAGCGTAAAAAGAAAATAAGAAAAATAATGTACATATAATTGTTTATGATATTCGGTTATTTATGACATGTATTTTAAATGTATAACATTCTTTAGATACTTAAATAAATGTGTGGAATGTAAGAAATTCGATAATACACTTCATAATTATTATATTATAATTTTTTGAAAAACATTGGTATAGTAATTGTGATTACAATAAAAGAGCAGCACATGTTTTGGACTTTAAATAAGGCTGTATTTTTTTCTTCCCTTGATCCTGGGCTGCTGTGCCTCTTTCATTCCAGACCACCACCATTCCCATCCGGACTCAGCCATCTGATGTGACCACCGCACACGCTTTATCTGCGGAAAGCTGCGACACCGGGACCCATGTTGGTAAGACACGCATGCTTGACTGTTATTGTGGGTCAGACGTGACAAAGGCACGAATGCTTTGGGCAGAACGGCGACGTGATGATGGGAGATGTGCCCGTGCGTAGCCCACCCAACATCAGCCCAGCGGAGTCGGCATGGTGCAGTCTGGATGCTAAAGAACCAAGGTCGACAGGAAATGCTGCAGCAGTAGATGCACTAAATCCCCGTATTTCACATTGTTAAGCAAACAGAGAGTGGGATCAATGCACGCTGTATCACGTTTCACATGCGTTTATCCAATTGTGGGATTGATTTTTGCCAGATGGGAGAAACTGGAGCATCCGTACCAGCCAGTCCTCCCTGCAGCTGCGGTAAAAGTTTGGCCTAATGAGCTTTTAGGGAGCATCCTTAGTAAATATTTGGACGGGCTGACGATTTTGGAATAGCCTTCTGTAAAAGCACATAGCATCCTATTCATAATGTGGTCAGACTTGTGTGTATGTGGCCTTTTCACTGTCCAAGGAAGAACAACAACGAGACTGAAAGACACTGGTGCTATGTTATCATAGTGTTGTTGATGTCTAGATTGAAGCCATGAGAATTTACTCCAGCCAGGGGTAATGTTGTTTCCTCTGGCGATCATTTTATCCCTAATGATATTTTTGTTCTAATGTGTACATGTCCAGAGTCAGACCCGCCCTTTGATAAGGCTCCTTTAAAAACATGTTACGTCTGCTCAGCTTGAAGGCAATTAGAGCAGTTGCAACAAAGCAGGATAACAGATGACAAAGCCGCATCAAAATCATATTTGTATCTGGCAAAGGATTATTCCACTGTGACTTTGTTAATTGACAGACAATTGTGACATTTTAGAGTGATTAAACTGAGATACACTTTAAAAATGTACCAGGCAGTGCCCATGACCAATGCAATGTCAATATGTATGCATACAATATCCATCCATGTCAGAGATCCTCAGCAGACAACATGACTGATATTTTAGCTTTGCCACATCATCACGACAAGGTGCGGTGACAAAAGAGCTGGTAGTGCTTTAACAGTGTTTGGTATCACAAACATTTCCAACAACAGGAGGAGGCCATCCTTCAAAAAAAAGTATGAGTCAGGTTAAGAATGAAACATTGAACTGCTCTTACACCAACCGTGTTATTACTAAAGTAAGGGTGCGCTGCATTCTGGATGTTCTTCATCTACATTTATTTATTGCCTCAAGTTTTTCAGTAAAGTGTATTCATTGATGTATTTATCAAAGTTATACTTAATGATCCCATAGAGAAACTTGTCTTCTGCATTTGACCCATCCTGGCTCTATGGCCTCTGTCAGGAGCAGTGGTTGCTCTAGTGTTGAACCTGGGGACCAGTCTCCAGTGTGGGTCAGGGCTTCTGGAGCTGGAGGACTTTATCATTGATACATGTTTTGGGTACAAACCTTCAAGGGCCCAGTTCATGACCTTTTACCCTCCACATAGTTTTGAAGCATTTTTGCTTTCATTGGGTCTATTGTCCTGAAGAAAAACATCTATTTGTGATTGTGCATCTTCACCGACCTGAAGGAGGGCCTCCTCTTGCTTGATTCCATTAATTATATTAATTTGTCCATAAAATACAGAATACATTCTACATCTACATTGAGATTGTATGTTCTTAACTATTTCAGCAACATGTTTGTATGTTTATTCAATACCCAGCATAATAACAATTCAAATATGATTTCTCTTTATAGGACTGAGAGCCTATGAGGGCCAGTATGGCTCATGTGAAAAGGCCCAGACCCAGTTCAAAAGCTCCCAGCCTCTCCTTGGACCCTGGATTCACACCAACCAGCCTGGAGATCAATGAGCGTCTGGAGAGAGAGGAGTCGGAATCTCTTCAGTGCACTTCAAAAGATGTGGAAAATGATCAGCTGACTGTTCCACAACGCCATTACACCCCTCATGTCCTCGGTGCTGCAGACATGGAGGACACGGGCTCTGAGTACGACAATGTGGGTTCAGACGTGGAGCAAGACTATGACGAGGTCCTGCATTTACCAAGAGAGGGCGCTGTGGACATGAGGTACTACAGGCAGTACTGTTCAGAGGAGGCTGGCTATTTAAAGCATCATGCAGTGACTGAGAATATTAATGAGAACGGTGCAGCAAGAGTGGTCCGAGACACACAGGTATGTCAGCCTTCACAACCAGAAAGCAAGCCTGGCAAACAAGGACAAAGATTACTGCAAACCACGCCAAATGTACAGACTGCTGTGAAAAGCACCATTCTAAAACGCCAGGGAAAAAGCTATTTTTTCACAGATGGAGATGACATAGAAGAAGTGCTAGTCGGTGTAAAATTGATAGAAGATTTGGAAGAGCAAGAACAAAAACCTCCTCAAAGGGGGGAGGTGAGCCTTTACGAACGCTCTCAAAACGAAAAGGTTTTTGAAATAGATAGAGTAGCGAGACACCAGAAAAACCCAGAAGTAATGAACAAGTCTGAACATGTGAGAGAGAGACCATGTAGAGGGCGAGGGAGAAGAGGTTCAGGACAATGTGTGGAAAACGTTGCAGCGAAAGCCGGTAGCACAAATGGTACGGATCCACGGCCAAGGAGCGACCACAGGAGGACGAAAGCCAAGCCAAGCCCCGGTAACAAGCAGCATCCTCCTCCACCTCCTCGACATCCCCACCCCCACCCTCAGCCCCAGCCCCATTCCCCGCCACCACCTCCACCTCCACCTGCCTCTGCGTCCAGGCGGTTGGCTCCGTCCTGCAGAGAGGCCGCTCCTGTTCCTGCTCCTGCTCCTGCTCCTGCTCCTGCTCCTGCTCCTGCTCCTGCTCCTGCTCCTGCTCCTGTTCCTGCTCCTGCTCCTGCTCCTGCTCCTGCTCCTGCTCCTGCTCCTGCTCCTGCTCCTGCTCCTGCTCCTGCTCCTGCTCCTGCTCCTGTTCCTGCTCCTGCTCCTGCTCCTGCTCCTGCTCATGCTCCTGCTCCCAGTCTGGACAGTCCTCCCCAAGGTGCCAAGGCCCTCTCTCCCCATCCCATTGTACAGCCCAGTGAACATCTGGAGGGGAGGCCCAGCGGAGCAGAGCCAACCCAGCAGGTACTGTTGGAAAAATATATACAAGCAGTTGGAGCAGATTCTTTGAACAAGTCATTAGTTTCACATTTATTTGATTTTTATTTGATTGGGACAAGTGTACTCTATATTTGGTTTCTTTAACAAATACAACGGCAAATACGACCTACTTAATCTGATTATCATTCTGGGCAAATTCCACATTCTGATTTGTGAATGTGGAATTTGCCCAGAATGATTAACAGATCATTCTGGTCAAATTTAGTGTTGTATTTGTTAAAGAAACCAAAGATAGTAAGATAGAAATTGCTAAATAGAAAACCCCTCTTCAACTTATTTCAAAACAAAATGAATCTATATAAGCAATACACTAATTCTTCCAACCACCCAAAAGCAATAAGAACAATCACAGTCTTCGAAACCTTCTCCATTTAAATCCACCTTGTTTTAGGGCGGATCATTGTTGTAATGTTTGTAGAAATGTTTTTTTTTTCCATAACAACCTCCACATCCTCCCACCCTCTCAACGGTGTTATGTCCTTTCGTTATCCTTCTGTGGTACATTATTGTTGTTGTAGTTAAGTTTGGTTTGTAAAATGAAAGATCTATACCATTCTACTATACTTTAATTAAAAAAAAGTTATTGATGCTCACACAACTGGTTTGTTTAAAAAAAAAAAAACGTCTTAGTTTGTGTTTGAAACAGCCCAGACCAGACCACATTACTAAGTTTCAAAAAATATTTCATGATGAGGTCAACCAACACATGGCGATCCATCTTGTCGAAACTCCTCACAACAGTTAAACTTAATGAAAAAAACTCCAATATTTAGCCTTTAATTGGAACTATTACTAGGTTAGTTAATTAATTAATTAATTAGTAAATAGATTATTTATGTCAAACCTGCACAAACACAATGTCTTAGCACAAAATGTATTTGCCATTTTGCTCTTCATCTTTTGTGCAGTGTTCACATAGAAATCCGTGTAATTCAATAACATACAGTAACTAGTTTATTAAGAACAAATCTGGTTGACTGACAAACCATTGATTGGATTACCCAAAAACTAAATATAATAATATAGGTCCTTGTTTTACTAAAGATGTTTAAAGAGCGGAGATGAAATTCACATTAGAGACAACAGTAGATACTATCACTGCTCCTGCTGCTGCTGTTTTGATCACAGTCTGTGGTTTGTGACTGTTGCACATCCACACAGTATCAACATCGTGTCAGATTGATTGATTGCAACCCCTACGTTACAATACATATTTTACTTGTTTTGAAAGTATCTAGTAGACATTTTGTTCGTAACTGTAATGTAGTTATAGATATATCTAAGTCGTGTGTTAGTGTTGTAGTAACAGATGCTACTGTACATCAGGATGAAGAGACAAGCACAGTTGTGAATCTTGCACACTCACCAGAGCCATCGAGAAGTCCGCAGCCTGCGCCTCCGGAGGAGAATGGCAGTCCAAAAGTACTCCACCATTTATTGCGGTGCAAATATACCGATGACACGACAGTAAAACTAAATCCTATTCTATCTTCACAGACTTCACAAGAAGCACCTTTATTTCCTTGCTTTGAAGATGGTAATTGTCTGTAAATATTTTTGCCTCTTGGTACTTTTTTCTAATTCACCCATTTGCACAGTGTATTTTGTTTTGTTCACACGTGTAGTCCCGGGTCCCTGTGAACCAGAGGACCTCATCGATGGGATTATCTTTGCTGCTAATTACCTGGGCTGCACCCAAGTGCTGTCAGACAAAAACCCAACCAAGTCAGTGCGGATGGCCCAAGCCCAGGAGGCTGTCAGTCACATTAAGGTAACATCCTTTTCTTTATCACAAATGTTACACTCATTGTTAGGATTAACATTAGGAGATCCTTTATTTGTCCCACAGCGGGGAAATTTCAGTGCTGTATCACCAGTTACATAACAGTTGGAATCAGGAGCACACAGCACAAGATAAATGAACAATAACTCTATACTGAATAAAATAAAAAAGAAACAAGTATAAAATCTCTACAGTTAGCATAATAAGAAGCAAGTATAAAGTATTGTATTTTCTAGTGCAAGTAAAGTATATACTGCAGTTGTATGTTTACATCTGTACATGTTAGCAGCACGAGGGTCTGGGACAAGGTGACTCAGTTGAGCAAGAGTGACAAATGTGGTTCTATAATGCACATTCTGACATTAGTTATTGTTATTATTAATTATTATTGTACTAGATCTATGTTATTTTTGCCAGAAGGGGGTGCCAGTGTTTTTAACTTTGGTATAGGACCGTAACCAGTGCAAGGTGTGTTCATTAGAAGGTCTGTCTGTTCCCAGAGCCAGGATGAGGACTCCCAGATGATAACTGAAGTGGATTTATTCATTTCCACTAAAGCGGTCAAAGTGTTGAATGCTGACACGCAGGTTTGTAACGGCCACACCAAAAAACTATCATTAAAATATCATTATTGGATCATTTATTTAGCCTGCGCCTGTACTCAATGACTCTCTTTTAACGTAGGAGACGATGATGGACAGTGCCTTGCGTACCATTTCATATATCGCTGACATCGGTAACATCGTGGTCATAATGGCCCGAACGCCAATGTCCCCGTCTCTATCAGAGGAGCTGCCGGAACACCCTGTTTCTGCAAAAGGAGGAAAAAACCAGCAGTACAGGATGATCTGCTATGTGTTTGAATCTGAGGATGTAAGTGCTTTTTAGACACTTTTAGGCCAGGTTCTCAGTGCACTGCAAAAAGTGGTGAAAAATACATCAACAATAGCTCAAGTTTGGCTAAATGTATCTATCTAACACATTTTGACTGCCTGAAATCAAGATTTGCCAACGGGACGAAGCTAAATGATCTTGTTTTAAAAAGATACAAGAAAGGTCTCTATTGGAATGAGAAAATAAAGCAACAGTTCTTGAAATAATTCTAAATGGCTTCATCCCACTGGAAAATCTTGTTTAACGTAGTCAGAATCTGCTCAAAATAAGATAAAAATCACTCCATTCAAGCAATTATTACCTCATATTTGATCATTTTTTGCAGTGTGGTGTACAGTTTACAATATAAATGTCCTGTAACTATGTACACACTCTGATGCTGTGGAATGTTCTAATGATTTGCAAGAAAAGAAGTAACTTAAGACGTAGCCAAACCAGGAGTGATGTGTTGTCATATTCATCATACATAATTTATTCTTAAAATGTTCAGCTAACACCCTATAAAGCTGAGATAGACCAGCCAGAGCTCTTAATGTACAGTCAAAATCCATCGATGCTATCATCAGCAACTCCTGCCACAAAACAAACATGTAGCTCCGCCCCTTCTGTCCATAAGCTCCTGTCTTAGTTCTGTAATAGTGTGATGTCATAGTACCACTATGACATCACACTAAGGGGCAGTTTTCTACAAAACTAGTTCCCCTGAATGAGTTTGGGGAATTTCTCAGGTGAAATTTTAGTCACTTTCAAATGAAAAACAAAAACAAGTTCAACCTGCCTCTTTTGTTTCACCATATTTTCTACTTGAAGGAGCGATGTGTAAAAATCTGGCCAAAAGTGGTACTGCAACCTCTCCTGTGGGAACCTGGTAATCAGGTTGCCAGATATGCAGACGAATCAAACTGGGAACATAATATCTGAATAGAAGAGTTTTGTCAGCAACAAATCTAAAACCAAGACATTTTTCACAAAGATAGAAATCCTGGTTTTATTCCTTATTTTGTCGTTAATGATTTGAGAATCATAACGAGACCTTTTTTAGCCCTGCAGCCACATGGTACATTATCAGGGAGATTAGCGGGATACTGTGAGTTCAGGCAACTTAGATCACGGACTTTTGGTAAAACGGTGGAGGGCGGGACATCGAAATGAAAACAATAATAATAAGTAATTCAAAACTAATTTTGAAATTCAAATATCTCGGCTGAACGAGTTAAAGAAGTATTTGAAAAGAACATGTTTCATTAATACCTTTTGACAGAATAGGGCCATTTAATGATGACTTGACATGAAAATCTTTCAAATTGCTACTTTAATTTATTTCACATTCTAAAACATGACATCAAAACATTTCGATTCCACCTCCAGGCCTTTCTGTGTGGAGTTTGCATGTACTCCCCCTGTCTGCGTAGGTTTCCTCCAGGCGCTCCGGTTTCCCCTGCCACTAAAAATATATACAACAGGTCTGGAATGCGCCTCCTGTACTGGCGACCCCGCTCCCATCTCCGTGTGGAGTGAAAGGACAAAAAAAAAACATTAAAGCGCTTTGTGACTCTGGTCGGTGAAAGGCACTACATAAATTAATTAAACGTACTTAAATTATTTCTTCTTTAACTTATTTTCTCCCATTGGTACACGCAGGTTATTTCAACACAAGTCTGCCTTTCTTTCCCTCTGCTATAGGCACAACTTATTGCACAGTCCATTGGCCAGGCTTTCAGTGTGGCCTACAGAGAGTTCCTCCGAGCCAATGGCATCAATCCCACCGACCTGAGCCAGAAGGAATACAGTGACATCATCAACTCCCAGGAAATGTACCACGATGATCTCGTCCATTTCTCAAACTCGGACAACTGCAAAGAGGTGAAGCCATTATAATCCTACTGTAACTGAACAACATTGATGCATGTGAGCGGTTTTCCAGGACTTGCATTGGCACCGATAAACTCTGATGCTAGTTTTTTTAATGTTTTTTGTGTGTTGCAGTTGTACGTTGAGAAGCATAAAGGGGAGATCCTTGGCGTGGTGATCGTAGAGTCTGGGTGGGGCTCTATTTTGCCCACGGTGATCCTGGCTGGGATGTTGAATAGTGGCCCCGCGGCACGTTCTGGGAAACTCAGTGTCGGGGACCAGATCATGTCCATAAATGACACCAGTCTCGTAGGGCTGCCACTCGCCACCTGCCAGGGCATCATCAAGGTACAAAGAGCTCATGGTGTACCCTTTTATTTCAAGTTTATCTATGTTTTTATGTCAGCGGACAATAAAAATGATAATATTGTTTAGCGGTAAATCATTTGTCATGTAGTAGGGCTGGGCGATAAAACGATAACGATATATATTGCGATAGACATGTGTTCGATATCAATAGAAAACGGGGTCGATAGAACGTTCGATAGTTTCACTTCACTCAGTTAGAAAAGACAGGAAGAAAACATAGGAAGTAAAGCAGAGTCATGGATTATGGATCTATTATAATAGCCATGGATCTAAAGATCGTGTCTCAGTGCCGTGTCAATGGTTATGCACGTCCGTGTGAGGAACAGCATGTGCGGCGCGGGAGAGGCAGAGACTTGATGCATTCGGCAAAAGCAAGAGATTAACTTTTTCCGGAGCTGTTACGGGGACATAAAACATTCGAAAACAGCCAAGACAGGAGCTAAACCAGGATTAAACCAGGATTAAACCAGGATTAAACCAGGACTAACTATGGGGAGACTGCTTGTGAACATTTGCCTCTAGCCTCATTCCCCCGTGACTGTAAACAAGGCACATGTGTTAGCAGACACGACAAACGTATTTATTTAGGTTTTAAAAAATAAATAAAAAACAATCAATATATATCGTTATCGACCGATATGAATTACTTATATTGTGATATTGTTTTCAGCCATATCGCCCAGCCCTAGTGTAGTGTGTGCAGTGAAAACAATTCATCTCAAAAAGGTCATAGCAGGTTTGGGCTTTGTCAAAAAGTGAAATATTGAAATATTATCCATCTCTACTTTTCTCAAACTTGCAATAAAATCAAGGAACAAGAATCATGCAATGTGTCTCTTGAAAACAAAAAAAGACAGACCCAGGAATTGGCTTCTACAACATTTTACCTTTAGTATACTTTATTGCAGTTTTATACATCAAAAATACTGAATGTAAGTTTGGGATTGATCAATAGAAATACCACCCAGATTTATTTAAATGTATTTATTTTAGTTTGAATTTTTTCTGTATTTCTGAATGTATTATGTTTATGTTGATGACGATAATAAGCGTGTAAATCTTTATTGCAGGCCCTAAAAAACCACGTAAAGGTAAAACTCAGTATCGTGAGCTGCCCTCCCGTCACCACTGTCCTCATCAAGCGACCGGACCTGAAGTTCCAACTCGGCTTCAGCGTTCAAAATGGCATCGTGAGTTTTTAAGTGGCTCTTGCACAATAAAACAGCTTCCACCACGATAACTGCTACTTCTAACGCTTTCGCACTGGACCCACGTTTTTTTCCTGTCCTCAGATCTGCAGCCTGATGAGGGGTGGCATCGCGGAGAGAGGCGGCGTTCGGGTCGGCCACAGAATCATAGAAATAAACGGCCAGAGTGTGGTTGCCATGGCGCACGAGAAGGTTGTTCAAACGCTGTCGGTCTCAGTGGGCGAGGTAAGAGCGACTCAAGACGGCAATTTTCACTGATTACCGAAAAAACTCACTCCGTTTTCACGACACTCAAGCAGCAAATTCTGGTAAATGGGTTTTGTGCTGAAGTTTATTTCCTGTTTTGTTTTGTAATTTGTCATCCCCTGCATCTTCCTGAGTTCTACTTCCTGTTATCTGATTACCTGCCCTGCCCACCTGTGTCTCGTCAGTCTTGTGTAGTCCTTCACTTCCTGTTCCGTCACTGTCTTTTTTCCCCTGGTTTGGTTACAATTGTATTCATTTGCTGGATTTTGATTTGATTTAATAGTTATTTTTTCAGTCTTCCGTTTTGGGTTAATTTTATTTTGCAATTGTGGAGGAATTTTTGCACAGGCCGAGAGCATAAAGAAGGAAAACAACCAAAAGCTGTTGTATGATCAAAGTGTGAATTTCTAAATTAGGAAATGTGCACAAATACAATGAAAAAGAACCACGTCACTCATTCCACCTGACTGCGCTCTGAAGCCGTCTGCCCTGAATGAGGAAACAAGACATTAAACAAACCGTAGTAAACAAACACATACCGGTATCCACTCAAATCTAGATAATAAACAATTGAAGTCAGCATTTATATGTGTGGCTCAAGGCTTCTCTTTACTTTTCCCCACGCTAATACGACTCTAAAACATGTAATAATCTGCTCTGACCTGGAGCATACCGTCCTTTGACACAGATATTGCCGATTCCGAAACATGTTGAAACGGTAGTAAGCCATGTATCGTCTAACTGCACAGAACACAGATAGTATGTCTTGTATTTGAATCAAGAGTTGAGAAGTTACAACTTACTCTTATAACTATTAAATGTTAATTCAGAGTTTTAAACAGTGTTGTTTTTAGATCCTCCCACGCTAATATCTGTAACTTCTGCCAAAAACATGTAACTCTGCCTGTTCTTTGTCTAAAAGCTCCTGTCTCAGTCCTCTAATATTTAGATTTGGCAATTCTAAGTGAAACAGCGTTGTTTACAATTACAATGCTGTGTTTGCAGCCAGTAATTTTCAAATGTAGCAACAACAACAAAAATATCAAGTCCTCCCTCTGGTGGTAGCATAGGGAGTTGCAAGCAAAAATCAGTTTCAAACCTTTCATCCTTTTTTTCTTTTTTTTAACTCTAGAACTCCCAGAGCAGTCATTTGACAGTTTGTAGTTGCCAAATGCTAACTGCTGGCAAGTAAACAGTGTGTTGCTATGATAACTATGGTAACCGGCAAATGATAATGTCACAAAAATAATGGCGTTCTAGTGTTAATGTAAAAAAAATAAAAATCAATAGAATTTCTCATAATTCTATAGATTTTAGTGGGAGCAGTCAAAATAACGTCTCCGGGAGTTCGAGTAGTTTCATGCTTCTGGTAGTCCTAGTGTTAAAACAAGACAATGACACGTTCAATGAGAATAAAAAGCAAAAACGTAATGTGTTTTTCCTCAGATCAACATGAAGACAATGCCAGCTGTGATGTTCCGCCTGCTGACGGGACAAGAGACGCCGCTCTACATTTAGCAACATGTCTTTCTCACTACTGCAGATAAATGACCAACAGGCGACGCTGGGACACAAGGAATCTATTATTATCTTATTATTATTATTATTATTATAGTATTCCTTTATTTTCTGCCTCTTTGCGCCAATGCTGTAAGAACGCCCAGTTCTCATTTCAGGTTTCAGCTTGAACCACATCTTCATGAAGGCCTTATATAATGTGAATAACGAATACTTTGTGTGCGGTGTAGTTCATGGCATTCAGCGCTCAAGAGACGTAGCTTTAAGGTCATGATTATTTTCCTATAAAGAGATGAATAATACGTACAATTATTTTTATTTAGTCATTTTTATAACGTGTACGCAGTCAAAATGTAAATGTAATGTAGATAATTTCAGTTACTCAAGGACTGGGGCGGCCATGTACCAACAGTATATGCATGTTATCGCCGACCGGGATTCGCCGACATCCGTGTGACATCATTATAATCCATTTATGATAAAAAACAAAACAAGGGGGCGTCGTTTTGGTGAAACCGAAGGCCAAAGAACCATCTACTCTCACAGACTTGCAGTATTAGGCCGATAACCTTTACCAGAGCAAACACGAATGTACATTACTGGATGAATGTAATGTCCAAATAAATCAAGTAAGTAAAGTCAGCCATGTTTATTTATGTAGCACGTCTCACAGACCGAGGTCACACTTTCTCATCGCACTTCGACATTTTTCCATTCGCTCCTCACACGGTGATGACAGACGCGAGACATTACCATCCGTTCTCTCACTCTTTACACTCATATCTACATGTTATAGGTGGTTGGTGCACCTGGAGGAAACCCTGTGTTTTGTATTTGAACAGTTTATTTACAACAATATTCCTTCATAAATACAGCTATATACACAACAGTACAGTTAACTCAGAGGCTCAGGCACAACACAATAAAACAATACATATTTACAAAGGTTTTTTTCAAGTATTTGGTGGAACTGGAAGGAGGTGGTGTCATACAGGGCCCTGAAAAACAAACACAATCATGATTAAATAGAGATCAATAAATATAGAAACATCTTCATCATGTTTTATCGCATACTTTGGACGAGGACGATGGTGTGACTGTGATTCCATCCAGAAAAGCAGTGTTGAAATATCCCTCTATGAACGAGCTCTCGTCGTCATCGTCCGTGTCCACTCCAGCGCTAAAGGCCTCCTTCAGTTTCTCTGGGGTCAGGAAGTAGAACACTACGACCAACGTCCCGATGACGGCGCACAGAAGAGCTGCAAGAGAGTGATGTAGTGGTGTTCAAAGTAATAACTAATAACGTGTATGCGTTGGTGTTATATGGCTTTTTACATGAGCGTTTTTGTACACTCAAAGATGCTTCACATGTCATTTTTTCACTCCATCTTTGCTAAGGTTTGGCACCTGGAGTTCCCCGAGGTCCCCCATCACAGTACTAACCAGGTCCTGACCTGCTTAGCTCCAAAGGTTTGGCAAGATCTGACTTTCACATGCAGCTATGGTATGGACACAATAATTACCCAATTTTGGCCCAAAGAATAAATACATTGAGTATTTTTTTCACGATGCGTCATTTCTGCACTGAACACTAAATTCTATTTGGGAAAATAAGTTACAGCTGAAAATTACTTATTTTTACCCTTTACTCTAATCACAATAAAACTTGAAAAAGCAACTTTTATTTCATTGTTTTATTTGAAAATTATTGTATTATGCAAATGAGCTCAGAACTAATCAAATATGACTAAAAAAACACCATAAACGGCTCATATTAACTCAAAGCAGACGATGCAACTTAACACTCGACATGAAAAGTAACTTTTTTAGGAGTTTCCTTGAACATTATGTTTTCTGTGAGCAATTCACATTTTGGGGGTGTGTTTAAATAAATAAAAACTTTTCTTGTAAACTTTGAACACTTTATAGAAATGATGCATGCTTAAAAAATACCAATTTGTTGATCTCATGATACTATTTTTTGGACTATACGCCTTTTTGTGTTTCTCATGGAATGCCGCAGATGGAAATAGACCCATGTCTCAGTGTGATGGAGTATTTATCACAAACTCAACCCTCAACACGATCTCTACTCGGACAATTGTATTTACTCTCTCTTGTTTCAGCTCCACACGTTTCCTATTTCTGGTGCAATGTAAGCGACAGCGAAGGTAAAGTCGACTGCAACATGCTAACCCTGAGAAGCCACTTCACTTAAAGCTGGGGTACCTAATTTTCAAAGCACAAAACATACAACTTTGTAATAAAATCCATTAAGCAGCTTCTTTGTTCTCGATAATAGTGTAATAGTTTTATCAAAAATTTTCACACGGACGCATTTTTTTTCAGGCTCTTCTTTTTACAAGACCTTTTCTGTCGTGACAAACAAAATTACGAGGAAAAAAAGGTACTGCAGCATTAAATTTACGTATATATTTGGTTGTAGATATCTTTTTTTTGCCTAAAGACTGGTCTGTAAATACGATTCTGTAGATTCATCCACTATTTTCCACTGTGAGAGCTCTAATTAAACCCAACAAAATGACTGTTCCAACCGAGCTTGTGAAAAATACCCATCGCAGACCGCCACAAGTTGTAGGTCAGTGTCAAAGCCAATAGTTTGGACACTGCAGCAGGAGAAGCAGCAGAAACAGCCCATAAATACCTGTGGCCAAGGCCAGCCAGAAGGAATGGCTGTACTCTGTCACCAGGGAGTTAGTGCCGATGGAGAAGACGCACTGCGAGGCCTTCCGGATGGTGGAGAAGGACGCCATCGAGGTGAAGAGGCACGCCGACGTGGCCAGCATCATGTAGCCGGCGTACAGCACCACGGGCATGCTGAAGAGGATGTTGGCCAGGACCCAGCAGCAGAAGGCAGTCCTGGAAGTACAGCATGTGGATTATATGGCATTATTTCAAGAAAACTATTTGATACTAAAGAATATTGTGCATTAGCTTTGGCCGTTCAATGTTTAATGAGACTATTTACCTCCATGTTGTACAGTATGATAATGTTTTCTTAAGTAGAAAATGCATCAATTCATTACTGGTATCAGAAATCTTTACCGTTATTGATGATATTGTTGGATCAAATATCGGTTTAATGATATCGTGAAGCCGATACACCGATTAGGCCTTTCAGTTGATATTGATGTTGTAACTGACTGTAGTATTTGCTTGCAGGATTTTAGTGAATATAGTTAGAATAATATAGACACATTTTGTAACAATTTAACAGCGATTTGAGTTTTTTTGTCCCTCCAGGTATTGGTTCATGTCATACATGGGCAGATATTGAAAGCCACAGTGATAGTAACAGAGTAAACAATGCTTCCCTGTGCTAAGATAAGACATGATAAACTTTTCTGTCTCCAAGGGGAATTTGCAGTGGGATACAGAGCTACACAGATCTGCATGAATGAATACAAATAAAAAGGTACATTACACAAAAATTCATGAACAGAAAAGTGCAGTAGTGTTTTAATACGTTTTAACAAGAAAGTTCATCTCACCACAGGATGGCAGAGGCGTAGCGTCCAGAGTACTTGTACTGGAAGAAGAGACCGCACGGACTGTTGAGGGTGAACTTCTCGGCGATGTAGAGAATGGGATCAGGAAGACCCCTCAACAGTGCCTCCTCATACTCCTCGTCCATGGTGTCGTGCCAGCTGAACATCTCATTGTAGTTTATCGTTTCATTCAGTTGGACGACAGGATTTCCTAATAAGGGCAATGAAAAGAAAATACATTTCAGTGATGAACAAAGTGGATCAAAGCTAATGTTTGTTTTGATCTGAAATTTGAGGCTGTCTAGTCATGCATGTGTAAAAACTATATAAATATTGTTTTTTTTATAAGCAGATTGACATTTACTTCAAGCGTCTTAAAGCTGGAGTGGCTAATATTCCAAACTGAACCATGACAAATTAACTACACTGCAGAAAGTGATGAAAAACAAGACAAAAATGGGTCAAATTTGGCAAAATGTATGTTAATTTCAGTACATTTTGACTGCCTTTAAACAAGATTTTCCAATGGGACAAAGCAAAATGATCTTGTTTTAAAAAGATACAAGAAATGTCTCCCTTAGAATGGGAAAAAAGCAACAATTCTCAAAATATGATTAAATGGCTTTGTCCAATCTTGTTATAAGACAGTCAGAATGTACTTTAATTCAGATTCAAGCAAGTACTAACCTCACATTGTATCATTTTTGCAGTGTATGTAATAAAAACCCTCTAGTTCCTTGCTCAAAAACAGATTTCACATACATGTACTTTACCTCAGCCAAGCGTCAACTAGGGACTGACAGGGCTCTATGCAAATATTTTGGTTTAAAATACAGTATGTAACTTTGACTTTCACTGCGGGAAAACAACATGGATCACCGATAACAAAAAATGTAGGTACCCCACATTTCAATGCTACAGTTGTGCACATTACAGCAGAAGAGAAGGAGCAATATGAGCACTATGTACACATTAAACATGACATATTATCCAAAATAATTGATAATAAAATAATTAGGTAATAAACTCTGGAGATATAAGATGAAGACTGCATATTGTGGTCTGATCTGCTTTCATTCCGGCGACTCGGAATCGAGTCCGGCCAAAGTCTGTCTGTTTTTGCTTATATAATATCACATTCAATGACAGATTGCTCAAAAACAAGTAAAAGACTAAAATCAAGACGTTTTCTGCAGATTATAGCTTATTTGTAAAAAGAATCATTCAAAACATTCATTCAACATTAGCACGGCTATCATGGCAATGTGAATGGAGACAGACAAACAACTGATAAAATAATTCCTTGTGTTTGCTGCTGGATTTGGTGTGTATCTGGCAACCTGAGTCAGGGAGAGTGGGAGAGGACTACAAAATATTGACTGTGACTGCAGTACCACTTTTGGCCAGATTTTTAGGCCCGAGCCCCGAACGGGGTAAGGGCCTATTGCTTTCACAATGGTGAAAACAAATGGTGGCGGTGCGTGACGGACGCGTCAGCGCCCGTCACTCACCAAAATGTGACGGTTGCGTGCGTAAACTCAAAAGCTTTAAAATGATGTATCAGGTGCCATTGAAACCTATATTGTTTTTGCTCGAGACGTTAAAAAAAAAATTCCTTTTTTATTAGGCCCGAGCCCCGAACGGGGAAAGGGCCTATTGTTTTTGCTCGAGAGATGTCAAATTCTGCACTTTGAGCCTTAATTTCACCCCCTGAACATGCATGAAAAGTTGTAAAATTTTGCCCAAACATCACACCTGGTGAAAAATTTGATATTTGGGTGTTTATTTTTATGGGACTCAAAAAATGCCAGAACAGCGCCACCTACAACAGCCAATGGGAGTTTCAGAGGTCAAGTTTGTCGTAGAGCCATGAAATTCGGTACACATGTTCCTCAAGTCAAGATACGACCGAAATGTTACCATGGCTCCGCCCTCTGACAAACAGGAGGCCCATAAATTTCACTGAAAAATGGAAAAATGATCCGCAATCATTTTCATACATGTCGGTTGGAAAGCGACTCCTCCTCGGCCGTTCCACCGATTGGCCTCCATATCACTCCACATTGTCTAAACACATGTACCATCAAAATGACCTCAGGGATTTTTGATCAGTGAAACGCTGTTTGAGCAGCGGAGCGGCAAAATGTGAGTGTTTATTGGCCGTTTTTCACAACATTCTATTTGCTCCCGTTTACACATACAAATTCCGATTTGCACAAAACTTGAATCCATGGTTCAACTCTAGGGTCTAGGTCATGTAAAAGTGAAATAATTGAACTCGGCTCATTAACGCCCCCTACAGACTATTTCAGAGTTTTTAGTATGAAAAACTCTGAAAACTTTGACTCCATCTGGAGGGGCACTAATGAGCCAAGTTCTTTTATTTCACTTTCAATTGACCTAGACCCTAGAGTTAAACAATGTATTAAAGTTTTGTGCAAATCAGACTTTGTATGTGCAAACGGGAGCAAATTTAATATTGTCCAAAACGGCCAAAAAAAGGTCACATTTTGCAGCTCCCCTGTTCAAACAACGTTTCACTGATGAAAAATCGCCAAAGTCATTTTCAAGGTACATGTGTTGAGATGATCTGGAGCGATTTTGAGGCGAATTGGTTGTTAATTTTGGCCCAAAAATCAGACCTGGCGAAAAATTTGATATTTTGGTGTTTATTTTTATGGGACTCAAAAAATGACAGAACAGCGCCACCTACAACAGCCAAAATAATACCCCTATGGGACTTTTCGGAGGTCAAGTTTGTCGTAGAAACATGAAATTTGGTACACATGTTCCTCAAGTCAAGACAAGAAAAAAATATTATTATGGCTCCGCCCTCTGACAAACAGGAAGCCCAAAAATGTCACTGCAAAATGGAAAAATGAACAGCAAAAGTTTTCATACATGTCGGTTGGAAAGCGACTCCTCCTCGGCCGTTTCACCGATTCGCCTCAAAATCGCTCCACATCATCTCAACACATGTACCTTCAAAATGACCTCAGGGATTTTTGATCAGTGAAACATTGTTTGAGCAGCGGAGCGGCAAAATGTGACCTTTTTTTGGACGTTTTTGACAACATTAAATTTGCTCCCGTTTGCACATACAAAGTCTGATTTGCACAAAACTTTAATACATTGTTCAACTCTAGGGTCTAAGTCATTTGAAAGTGAATTGATTCAAATTGACACATTAGCGCCCCCTACAGACCATTTCAAAATTTTAGATGGGCATTTTCAAATTTAGTTTTTTCAAAATGTTTGAAATTTTGTACATAAATCTGTTTTGCCCTCTTGATTCAAAAAGTCAATAGGGTCCAAGGCTAATCTTTTACCCTGTTGCCATGGCGACGACAAACGCTCCCCTTTCATTGCAAATGTACACCTCACACAAACATCAAACCAGCCTCGGCCGTTTCACCGATTCGCCTCAAAATCGCTCCACATCATCTCAACACATGTACCTTCAAAATTACTTCAGGGAATTTTGATCCGTGAAATGTTGTTTGAGCAGCGGAGCAGCAAAATGTGAGGTTTTTTTCGGCTCTTTTTGACAACATTAATTTTGCTCCTGTTTGCACAAACAAAGTCTGATTTGCACAAAACTTTAATCCATTGTTCAATTCCAGGGTTTAGGTCAGGTGAAAGTGAAATATTTGAAATTGGCCCATTAGCGCCCCCTACAGACTGAAGCAAAGTTTACATGGGGAGCCAAACCAGCTCTACTTATCATATTCATTACAATTTGACTAACATTCTTCTATGGCTACGGAAACAAATCATCACACGGCGGTGCCACCTCCTTTTAGCGGTGCTGCGTGGTACGGTGTGGTGCGGTGTAGTGCGGGGCGTTGTGGAGCGGCGCGTTGCGGCTTGGTGCGGGGCGGCGTGGTGCGGGACGGCATGGTGCAGGGCGGCTTGGTGCAGGGCGGCTTGGTGCAGGGCGGCGTGGTGCGGAGAGTGCGCGCGGTGCAGGGAGTCGCGCGGTGCGGCGAGGGCCGTTCGACGCCGCTTGCGGCTTTAATTACATATTGCTCCTTTAATTAAGTAAAGGCAAAAAAGACATGTTAGTTTTGACTCCACAAGTTCACTATTTTTGGTGCAATGTAAGCGACAGTGAAGGGTTAGGGAAGGTAAAGTCGCCTGCAAGGTACTAACCCTGAGAAGCCACTTCACTTAAAGCTGGGGTACCTAAATTTCAAAGCACAAAACATACAACTTTGTGATAAAATCCATATTGCAAGTTATAATTAGTTTTCACATGGATGCATTTTTTGTTCAGGTTCTTTACATTGACAAGACTTTTTCCGTCGGGACAATCTAAATGTTGGAACAAACAGAGAAAAAAAGGTACTGCAGCTTTAAATTTGCATATGTATTTTGTTTTAAATATCCTTTTTTGCCTTAAGACTGCTCTGCAAATACGATTTTGATACATTTTTTCTGTTTTTCTACTGTGAGAGTTCTAATAAAAACAAGAAAAAATGCAGTTTGTGAAAAATACTCTAAAACATATCATAAGTTTTGACCTGGGCTTCGGATTGCTACACACTTGTGACCAGCAGAACCACTCCTCGCTCTCCTGTGTGTGCTGTGTGTGCTGTGTGGGTTGTGTTGGTTGTGTCGGTTGTGAGAGCGGTGACGCACCCCTGAGTGTGATGTTGATGCCGGAGAGGCCCACGTGTAAGCCGATGTCAGCATTCACCACTGCGTTGCTGAAAGACTTGTAGGTGGCGACAGTGGTCATTCTGGCTTCAGCCCAGTCACAAGTGAAGTTAAGGACTGCAGAGAAAACAATGGAAAAACACAACGAATGCATGAGTTTGTAATGAGAGCAAAGGCAAGAAAAGATTCAAATTACTTTAATAATACATTCAACGACATTTATGATCAAGTATTTATGGACATTGGTCAACCGCCCCTTCAATGGATTGATTTATTGATATTTTTTTATTTTAGCAGAAATTATAACTTTTGTGCAATGTTATGTTGCTTTCTACGCTTACAGTACATGCACATGCACAGACATAAATATACAATCAAGTATAATATTTGCCATAGTTTAACCATGTCTTGGTATACATACAATTTTAACATGTATTATAGCATGTATTTACAAATGTATTTTTATTTACTATTTGTCAGCTCATAATGGAGTGGGAAAGGAATGACTCAGACCCAATGGGCATAATAAATATATGAATGAATTTAGTTATTTATCATTACTGTTGTGATTTAGGGCTATACAGACATAAATGGAATTGAATTGAATTAAAAATGAGGACCTTGATATTAATGTTAAAGCCTGGGAACCTATTTTTCTTCATAATGATACTTTTTTTTCCAACATAAAGAGTCTTGTAAAAGTGAAGTCAAATCAAAACATGGTGTCTTCATCTATTAGAAAACATGTCTTATGTTATATACTTGTGACAAAGAGCCCCGTGAGTCACTTTTTGATACTTTGGGCTGTGAGGGTGATGGATGGTCCTCTCTTTGTCTGAAAAATCTGATCCTATCCATGCAACAAAGCTCCATGCATGTGAACACTAGTGACTGAATCAAACTGTTTTGAGATGTGTTTTTTTAATAAGTACACTCAGTTTATGGTCAAAACCCATTTTCATATCATCTTTATACTCACATTTTTTTGAGTTGAACAAAATGTGTTTGCTTCATAATCAACACAATGCAAAATGGATAACAAATATTCCGAAGGCAATAATCCTCAACTGCTGATCAGTTTGAAGTAGCCTGGCCGATGTATTCTTAAAAGCATTAGTGGTCGGGAAACAATCTATTCTGTTCAGTATATTAGCAGTATTTAGCGCTCACAATTAAATCAATACATTAGAGCAAAGTCCATTCATCCATTTTCTTCCCCTTAATCCATTTCTGGGTCGGGGGGGGTGACAGTCAGAGCTGCACCAGTACACAGAGCACCAGCCCCTCACTGATCCTCCTGCAGGTGGTGAGTCCACAGGAGCTGAGATCTTTCAGCGGGGGCTCGAACCCACGACCTTCAGGCCCAAAGGCCAATGCTCTACCAACTGAGCCACTGTCGCCCCCATTAGACAATACATGTGATTTATTTCACTTTTGTGTTTTCTATGATAATTTACATCTCTATTATGTCTGCTTTGTTTTACTCTAGTCTATTGTTTTTGAATAATGTAAGTCATTTGCTGGGAGCGGCACGGGGGCTGAGTGGATAGCACTCTCGCCTCTCAGCAAGAAGGTCCTGGGTTTGAATCCAGGTTCGACCAGGGCCTTTCTGAGTGGAGTTTGCATGTTCTCCCCTTGTCTGCATAGGTTTCCTCCAGGTGCTCCGGTTTCCCCTACCACTAAAAATATGTACAATAGGTCTGGCATGTGCCTCCTGTACTGGCACCCCCACTCCCAAAAATAACAATTGTAAACTGCTTTGAGACTCCGATGTGCAGTGAAAAGGCGGTATATAAATAAAGATTACTTACTCACTGGGAGCTCACCGTTCATGTGAGAGTTGTCTATTCAGAAAATGATTATTTCTTGTCTTGTGTCCTGAATGTTCAAGAATAACGTTTTTACACTATGCCCTCCTATGTCTTTGCACTTCAGTTACTCTGCAGACCATAATGAATTTGACATTAGAGTTGTAACGCTTTTGAATAAAATGAGGGACATGAATCGCAATATATCGCAGAATCGAATCACAAACTTGCTGTATCGCATAATGTTAAGAACTGTAGTAATATTGAATTGTGGCCCAAATATCACGACACTATCGAATGAACACATTTCTGCCAATTCCCACCCCTAATACTGAAAGCATTAGATAAATGAACTTACCAACTATGACAACGCCTATGAACAAACTGATGAGTATCCGGACCATCCAAAAGAACCTCTAATGGAACAAAAACAAAACTAATAATGACAATAGTTGGAAAAACAAAACCCAGAGCATGCATGAGTCGGAGCTTGCACTTACAGACTTCCCACGTATTCCCGGCAGGATAATAAGAAGAGTCAATGCCAGCACAACAAAAACCAGAATAACGGTGATCAAGCGGCCACTGAAGATGAACGAGGTCCTTTGTCGCTGGAAGAATGGGTAAATGTCATCGTAGAAACTCATCTCGGCGCTTCCCCTTCACGTCGAGCCGCGGACTAGATAGAGAAACAGAGAAAACACTGTTGGCTTTACAGGCGTCTCGGTTACATTTAGATCATCAGATAGAACGTGGCTTTTCTTCTGCAGGAGCTGGGGAACAACATTGCAACGACTCACAAGACACACTTTACAAGATGGGGGTGATGGAGGATTCTGCCCGAACACATGGTATTTATTCAGCCAAAGCACAGGCAAATATGAGCAGAAAATTCCACTGGATTGCCAAGATTATACATATGAAGTTGCTCTGTCCCTTGCATGCATCACCATACCACGTATATAGGATTTTATTTGAATGTCGCATTCAAATAAACAAAATTGGGTTTGTGGTCTTACCTGCTGTTACGAATGCTCTGAGGTGAGACTGAATGCTGCTCTTTTACTGTATATATAGCACCTGCTGGAGGAGGAGGATGCCCTGATGCAAAGGAGGTGTGACCCAACATTGATAACCATTCCCAAACGGGGCAGCGAGGTCAAACTCAGGCTGTGACAAAGACGTTTGGACCTATTTAGACCTTTTTTTAAATCAGCATATGAGTTTCAGACTGTAGGTAAGACTCTTTTTTTGTGTGATATAATTTACAAGGATAATTGACTGACTTTCTTTCTTCCTCTCATGCAACAATATGTGTATTCTTTAACATGATTTAAAGCTGTGTACCGTGATTATAGAGTGTTTTTGTCTTGCAGGGGCCCTTCACAGCGCGTCTTGCCTGCTGGGTACAGAAGCATCTCTCGCATCAATGGCTTTGCGTAAAAGGCTCTGGAGTTTGTTTGCAATGGCTGGGGTTATGCTTCTCGCTGCACAAAGTGGGTAAAACAATATTCGAAATTCAAAAAAACAAAACATAATAATTCATTCATTCACATTTTACTGTTTTGGTTGATACTCGCCAGTGTCTTGCGGTGACGTGGCCTGGGAAGTCCCGCGCTTTGACGGCTGGTACAACAGTTTGGCGAGTCCTAAACGCGGAGCCGTGGGTAAAGCGCCTCTAAGTATTACTGTGACAATAACCGCGTATAGGTCACAGACTCACAGTCTATGGCCCCCGTTGACCTGTTCTCCCTGCAGGCTCTCAGCTTGTGCGCCTGCTGCCTGCGCGCTTCTGGGACGGAGTGTACCAGCCCCTTCAGGAGCCGCAGCTGCCCAACCCGAGGGCCCTCAGCCGCGCGCTCACTCAGGGGCCACCGGGACTGCCCTCCGCCCGGAACCAAACTGTGCTCTCGTTGTTTTTTGGTAAATGCTTTTGACACATTTGCAACATTTGAGGCTAATTTCACTAATGGAAAGAACAATAATAAGGACATTTTACTGCTAATTTAAATCTGTAATGCCAGGGTTTCTCAACACGTGGGCCACCAATAGCACAATAACAAATAGAAGAAACGTGAAAAAGAGAGGAACTCCTCCACTCAGCCAATTGTCTCTCACAGCAAAGCTCAAATAGTGACTATCTCTATCTATCTATGCAAATATTGTGGTTTGAAATACAGAATGTAACTTGACTGTCAGACTTGGATGGATGCAAGATGGAGTTGCGCACATTACAGAAAATGACATTGTATTGCAGAAAAGTGATAGAGAGTCATGGTCTAATTTGTTCACAAAATGTTAATTATGCTCTGTCTATGGGCAAAAATTATTATCAATTGAAGGGAAGAAGTTAGGTAACCCATCTTTAAGAAAAGGGGTCTTGTTTCTATTGTTCATGATGGCAATGTAGCCTTATGTAGCCTTAAGTGAAAAGTTTGACCTCTTTTTAGTGCAAGTCCATACTACTTTAATCTGTGTTCATCAGGGTACCACGTAGCATTTGAAATATTTGACTCTCGGAATCCTGGATGTCCTCCTGAGTTCATGAACATCCCAGTCCCAAAAGGAGACCCAGTATTTGATCCTTCCTCCACCGGTAAAGTCCTGCTCCCGTACCAAAGAGGACAGTACGCTGGAGAAACTGGCCAGAGTCCCAGTAACCCTCGCACTCAGGTAGATAACAAACTCACTAAAAGGTTATATACATAAATGTGAAATGACATGGCTCTGGGGCGGTGCAGGTGAACTCGGTCAGTGCCTGGATCGATGGCAGCTCTATCTATGGCCCCTCCAGCTCCTGGTCTGATTCCCTGAGGAGTTTCTCTGGAGGTCGGCTAGCTTCAGGGTCTGAGCGGAACATGCCCCGAGTGGAGACGGGACGCAGCTTCATGTGGAGCGCCCCGGATCCCTCGTCTGCGGAGCCCGGATCACACGGCCTCTATGGTGAGTGCTATAACACAACATCACACATGGATAGTCCGGCATAGGATCTATGTTTCCATAACAATCGGTGTCAGAAGTATGTATGAGAATCTTGTCATGGTGTATTCAGTTATTAATGATTGTGTATGTAACTATAGATTAAGATGAAGAGATCCTTTATTTGGCCCACAGTGGGGAAATTTCAGTGTTGCATCACACATTACAGACAGTAGGAATGAGGAGCAGACAGCACATGATAAATTAAAAATAACTCTGTACTAAAATTAAATTAAATATAATAAAATATCAAATAGAATCTCTAACTCCATCATAAAAAAAGAAGCAGCATAACATTTCTATCTTTAGCAACAAAAGGAAAGAAGTCCAAAACCTCCAACTTCAGCGTATAAAATTCCTCTATATTCTAAATAAATACATGAATTAAAAAAAAATCTTAAACTCGCAATTCCTTATGAGATGCAGTTTATATATTTCCTTTGCATTTTTTTTTATAAATTACAGATGATGCTAAATACCTGATTACCTGTGGCTTTTTTTTTAACAAACCATTGCACATAATCTTCATAAATGGTGTCTTAATTCAAAATGCTCCGTGCCGAGTCCCCACATCACAACACACTGTTGTTGTGTGTCGGTGTGAGTTGCTCAAAGCCATGTCTTCACTTGATTGCGAATGTTGTTTAGGTCAGTTGTGATAAACGTTGTCCGAGCATGAGTCAAAGGTCAGCTGACAGCCCACGACAGCAGCAGAGTGTAATGATTGTGTAAATGGTTTGTCAGCGCGACCGCAGTAAATCCCTCTCTCTTTGGCAGCGCTGAAGCCACACACTTCAGCTAAAACCCCTGTTTGTTGTCGCTGTTGTGTTGCTGCTCCTGCCGTGGTTTTTTTTTCTCTATTGGTACATTTTTTTAAAACAAGAACATTATTGGACAATTTCTTTCCATGCGATGGTTGCAAAAGTTAAAGGTGCATCTTCTGACTGGCCTCTTGGTTTTTTCAAGGTATTTTGAGCATATTATTTTTTTGATAATAGGTTGGATCATAGTAGCATCATGTGGCCCCAGCGCTTAGTTTTCCCAGGTCTGCTTATGATCACATGATGAATGGATACAGTTAGACACGAGCATGTTAATCAGAATCAGAATCCTTTCTATTGCCGTGTGAGAAACAGGAAGTCACAAACTAGGAAATTGCTTTGGATCTCGGTGCAAACAAGTTAAGGCAGAATAAAAACAAGAAGGCATGCATGAATAAAAATCTACATACATTTCTTTTTACTATTGTTTGTGTCTTTTACAGTTACGTATTTATTGACGTTTGTGTGTATTTAAACGTTTGTATGAATAATGATAATAATGCATCAGTTTTAAATAGCGCTTTTCTGGACACTCAAAGACGCTTTACATGTCATTATTCTTTCACTCCATACACGGTAGTGATAAACTACTACTGTAGCCATAGCTGCCCTGGGCACACTGACAAAAGCGAGGCAACCAGTATATGCCATTGGCCCCTCCGACACCAACCATTCACACACACACCAGACTCATTCTAGGCAATGGGGGTAAAGTGTCTTGCCTAAGGACACAACGACAGCAGACATCAGTGGGAGTCGATGGTGAAAGTCGGGCCCGAACCCACAACCCTCTGGCTCAAAGACCAATGCTCTTCCAACTGTGCTACTGTCGCCCCACTCTCTCTCTCTATATATATATATATTTTCTCGCTCTCTATCGCTCTCTTGTGCTCTATCGATCTATCTCTCTCTCTCTTTCTAGCTATCAACCTCTCTTGGTGACACGGTGGCTGAGTGGATAGTACTCTCGCGTCTTAGCAAGAAGGTCCTGGGTTTGAATCCCAGTCGGAACAGGATCTTTCTGAGTGGAGTTCGCATTGCGTGTCTGAGTAGGTTTCCTCCGGGTGCTCCAGTTTTCCCTACCGCTAAAAACATGTACAAAAGGTAAAAATCCATCAGCTCCTGTCCTGACCAAGCCGAGCATTGACATCTGGGAATGGCTTCTTGGCGCTGTTACTACGGCGACCACTGCTCCTGACGGAAGCCTTAGCGGCATCAGGATGGGTCAAATGCAGAGGATACATTTCCCTATGAAGACAATAAAGTGCACATTTACACACACATCTCTATCTATCTCTCTCTCACTCTATTTGCACTCATTAAATTTCAATGTGTATGTATTTTTTTTACTCTTCTCCGCAGAGTTGGGCAACGCCTGGGCCAATGAGAACATGTTCACGGCAGCAGAGGGGATTATCTGGTTTCGCTTCCACAATTATGTCGCCTCCAGGCTGCAGGAGGAACACCCAGAGTGGTCAGACGAGAGGCTCTTTCAGAATGCCAGGAAGACCATCGTGGCCACATTCCAGGTAGAGGGAAAAGTCCTCCCGTAATCCCCGCACTACGCAGGTGCAGCCTTAATTTGCAGTGTGGACGCTCTGGCAGAGGTTGCATCAACATCAGGTGGTCGCGGAGGAAAATTGCTGGTTTTAGTTGCTGGTTGAGCGCACCGTGTCATGCCTGTTTGACCACCAGCGCTGTGTAATGAGGCCAGAGAGACATGACATAGAGTTGTGTAGCAAAGGAAAAGGAGCAGGGGGGAGAAAAAAAAGCCTGAGAGTTTAATTAAAACGCTTTGAATTATCCAGAGAAATTGTGTTTATATTAAGATTGAGAGATCTTATATTTGTCCCACAGTGGGGAAGTTTCAGTGTTGCATCACCAGTTACTAAGCAGAAGGAGTGAGGAGCACACGGCACATGAAAAATGAATAATAACTCTATTCTAAATGGAATAAAATATAATTAAAATCTCTATCTTTATCATAATGATTGCAAAAACTCTAGCTTTAGCATGATATTGCACATGTCGAAGCCTGTGCTGTATCAAGCGTGCATTTGTCCTCTAGATAGAACTTTCTCTTTTTGTCATTTTAAAGGACTCATTTTACGCTTTTTGACTTTTCTCTGCTTTAAACATGATTACAGTGCTATTTGGCCTCATACACATGCCCAGAGTAGTTTTTTAATTGATTCTGTCAAGCTTTAGTAAGAGAGCGATATGTCTCCTTCACCCTCGAGAGGTAGTGAAACGCCCGGGTCCACATCTGTGACCATTACCACTCTGATATGACGCTCATAAACCCGTTTTTTTAATTATATTTTTAATGGTTCGTCAAAACAAGGAAAACAATACACAATAGATGTTTGTTGCTGTTTGTGGTTAAAAATAATAAAAATAATAATAACACTAGAATCCAGGAGGTGATTTACAAATTGATACAGCGAATCACAGCGTGAGTCCAGCTCCCAGGTCCAGGTCCTGAGTCCAGTGTCTTTGGTTTGGTCCCGCGGACACCACATGGAGCTACTGTTTTTCTGCTTTTGTCAGTGACTTAAAGTGTGAGGATCACGTCAACTTGGAGAAAATGTGTTTTGGGTGTAAATATGTGACGCACTATTTGGTCCGAAGAGGAAGAATGAGGATAGACTTTATTTCACAGGGATCTGCCTCTGTTTGAATGAATCTGTTCATCTGAGATACTTCACTAAGACCGTTCTAGAACTACAGGGAACTGGACTTATCCAAAAACGGATCTGGAAACCAGTTATTCCCACGATAAAAGACGCTAACACAGACCCCCGATCTGTCAAGTACAGTAATGCTAATTCATCGTATACTTCTGCAAACTAAATAATTAGGGTTGGATTCTGGATTGAGGACATAGGGCTCATTGTGACAGATTGTCATTGTTTGAAAAAGTTTCTTCACAGGTCTGAAACGACTTTGTACCTGTGATAAACAACTCGCAGCGTGATGCTACGTCACCGTGCGGGCGGGGGGAGGCGGGTGAGGGCGAGGGGAGGCGGGCAGAAGAGCAGATTTCTCTCTGAATCAGCTCGTTTGAGACGTGGTGACGTCACTCATTTGCAAGCAATGGCTCTAATCTCACAAGTTTTGAATGTTGTGTGGTGTATCACTCAAATCATCACACATGTGCATATACTGTATGGACTGTGAAACATGAAGATAAGCGTAATATGGAACCTTTAAGTACAAGCACAAAACAGAATGGCAACACGTGAAAGAGCAAGATATAGAGCAATCCAACGGTCATGTGACTAGTAGCCACGGCGGCCATACTGGAGGACAACTGGCGAGTAACAGCCATGCTAGCTACTTATAACTGGAGGCTCAAAACTAGAACTCTCTCGAACTACATGAAAACTGAACAAATAATTCTAAAAATCAGCAGTTAGTGACCCAAATATATACTCAACCTAAATCCATGAATCAGATCCTCTGCAAATGAGTCCTAAAATGGATTATTAATGTTAATAGTAAATAGTTGCCCCTGTTAGCTCAGGTTGCTCCCTTGATAAACAATTGGCAGGCATCCAAAGGTGTGAGACTGGCTGGACCAGGGGGGTGCGAGGCCCTACCGTGACACTTTATTTGACAGCTCTGAGTAAAGTTTTCCCTGTTGTAATATTTGACATGAATTCAACACCGCTAATGCTAATGCTTTTATAATGTTTTTGATGTGGACATTCGTACTGAACATTGGCGATAGCAGCGCTCACACACTTGTTTGATTCCCGTTACTTTCTTTGTCTCTAACTCACTCAGATTTAGACACTGCTTAAGTTGTTGAAACAGTTTTTTTGTCATGAAAACCTTAACAGATCATTCTTAAAAGCTCCGTGCACGTGTTAACATTTAAATGCGTTTATTGTTATTTGTGTATTGTTACACCCTGGATCTATGTCTGGCTACACTAGACATAGATCCATTCAAATAAATGGAGCTTTCTGCGTCGACTGTGAGGAGCCGTATATTTTATTAATAAATACTAGTACGGGGCACCCTGCCTCGAGCACGGCTGTGAGCCGGGTGAGGTCCTGTGAGCTGTGTCCTGTGAGCCGGGTGAGGTCCTGTGAGCTGTGTCCTGTGAGCTGGGTGAGGTCCTGTGAGCTGTGTCCTGTGAGCCGGGTGAGGTCCTGTGAGCTCTGTCCTGTGAGCTGGGTGAGGTCCTGTGAGCTGTGTCCTGTGAGCTGGGTGAGGTCCTGTGAGCTGTGTCCTGTGAGCTGGGTGAGGTCCTGTGAGCTGTGTCCTGTGAGCTGGGTGAGGTCCTGTGAGCTGTGTCCTGTGAGCTGGGTGAGGTGCGGTAACCCTGCGTTGCAGTCAGACAGTGATAAGTCTATATTATCCTTAAACTTCTGATTGTTTCTGAATACAGTAAATCCGCTACCATATTAGTTTGACTTAGCAGAAATCAAATGATCCGAGCTTATTCGGACGTTCTGGAGGCTGTTGTTTTTTTGTGTGCCATTTCTCTCTCTTTTTTTTTGGAGATTTCTTCAGTTTTGGAGCCATGTGAAGTAAGGCCAGCTGGCAATTGGTAAAACAACTTATTGTCCCTTTCTCCCCTATTGCTGCAGCCAAAAACGGCACAAAATTGGAACATGTTTATGCGGTGGCGGGTGCACGCCACTACCACACTGCGTTTGCTTGTCCTCCGATATGGCGGAGGCCTCGCGACTCCAAGCCCTTGTGACGTCACGCAAAAAATCTCCATAGCACACTAGCACAGGAAGGACATTTTGGCTTAGCTTACTATCGATAGCTTTGAGACTTGTGTTGTGGGTGAGAGGGCTGGGCTAATATAAGCATAATGCTTCATCCAACCCCTTTTCAAACGTTGAACATATGTCTGCACATTTGTAAAATGTGTTTCCTGTGCAGGTTTTGAAATACAGTAAATAATTCAATTCAATCCGATAGCTAAATGTAGCTAGCTCACTATGTATAACAAACAATCTAACATTTGCACAAGTAAACTCAGTGAGAGCTTTGGCCCAACGGGATACTTAGCTAACCAGTTATTTCCAGGATTACCACAGACTAGTCACAAAAGAAGAGCAATCTCCCTGAAAACCTTGTGAAACCTCCGTGTTGTGTGTTTGAGCTGCCTTTGAATTCTTTCTTTGGCCTAAAGAGAGTAACATGTGGACCTTGTCCACCGACCAGGGCCTTTTGGGGCTTTCTGTGCGATTCCATTTCTCTGGAGTGAGGAGGACGTATTATAGCCGTAGCAGAGCAGCCGGTTTTAAAGATGGCAGGTTGAGCTGTTTTTGCCATAGGGTCAAAGGCCGCTTCCAGTGACAACACTCGTTGACCAATCAGTGTGAGGCAGCAGCTGACGTCACATTATGGTATCGCTTCGGTTCGCTTGGAACCACAGCCGAGGTGGTACAAAAAAAGTACCCTTATCCCAAGCCCAACCCTGGTGGGCCGTACCGTTACTGTGGAAAAGCGGCATAACTGACACTTCATGTGTGTTAGAGTTAGGGTTAGGATACACTAATTAGCACTTAATTCGCTGTTAATTAGTGAGGACTAATCTGAAGTGTTCAAAAAAGTTGAATATACAGACATCAAAATGTTTAATGATATTTTTTATTTTGTTTTGTTGTATGCAGTGGGGTTGGGGGTGGGGGGTAACTATTATAGACCATTTTCAAGACGAATTCCACTTCTGCTTAAAGTCTATTCCAGTTTTCTCTTACATCTCAGGGTCAACAGCAACCGATTAAACTCAAGCCTCTTGAGCCAGATCCTCTCAATGGCAAGAAAACTAAACTAAACTAACTTTGAAGCCATTATTATCCATTCTGTTGCAGTTATAAAGTGCCGGCCATGACACCAAAGTGCTACTGCTGCCTCAAACTGAACTAAATCTTCATATTTCATGCAACACGACACACTAATCATTCATTCCATGTGAGCTAATAGCCACAGCTGCCTGTGGCTATTAGCTCACAGCTTGGTGAGCTACTAGCCACAGGCAGTAGCTCACCAAGCTGAAATGCTTGAATACCACCAGTAGCTTGATGGTATTCAAGCATCAGTAGGGCTAGTTTTACCCTACTGATGATGTGTTGTTGCAAACAACACATCATCAGTAGGTTTCAGCTTGGTGAGCTACTAGCTACAGGCCGTAGCTCACCAAGATGAAATGCTTGAATACCACCAGTCGCTTGGTGGTATTCAAGCATCAGTAGGGTGAGTTTTATCCTACTGATGATTTGTTGTTGCAATAGAAACAACACATCATCAGTAGGTGATGGCGATGGTGCTGTTGTCCGCCCCAGACGGAACCTCGGGCTTCTCCTCGCTTCCGGTCCCGGTCCCGACCCGTTCTCCTCGGTCCCGTTCCCTTGGCTCGTGTTGCTTACTCCAGGGTTGGTCCCGTTCCCTTGGCTCGTGTTGCTTACTCCAGGGTTGGTCCCGTTCCCTTTGTTTGTGTTGCTTGCTTCAGGTTTAGGTTCAGGTTTGGGCACATGTCCCAGGACAGCCACATGTACGGTGGGGTTCACACACTCGAGCCGGATGGCCTCCCTTCCGTAAACCAGATGGTTTAGGAAGTATACAGACCCCTCCGTTTCAACTCGTTTGGTCCCACAGCCGAACATTGCTCATTCTGGTTCATTAACTACTTACTTTAATTTTCTTTTAATCATATTCAAATGGTGTCGGCCCGTAGGTGATGTCTGCAACTTAAATTGTATTACATGTATTTTAATTATGTATAATTGAGGCACTGTGCTATTATGCACAGTATTAGTATTACACTATTCTCCAACAATATTATCTTTTAAAGGTAGCGTCCTCAGCGTGGGAGGGGTTGTCAGACCGCGTCATTTACGTAACTCGTAATATTGGTGGTGTGTATGGATCTATTATAAAATCGGTGATAGCTGCTGTTACCTCAGAGGGGACTCTGCTTACCCTCTGCAGAACTGGCTCCTAAAACCTTTTCAAGACACCGGACGAGTGACAGACTGACAGCAAGTATCTAATGAAAAACTCAGCACAGCGGGAGTGGTTGTTGAAAACCAACAAGTTACAAAATCCAAAGTACGTGTATGTCTCTTGAGTCCAGGTCCAGATTAAGGGAAAGTTTACCCCGGTCACTCCTTTCTTGCTGGTAATCTCCTCACTTGTGGGAAGGGATTCTCAAACAAATAAATATACACACGACAACTTAAAAGATAAGATACGAGAACGTTTATCCGTCCCACCATGGGGAAAGTTTGTTGTTGCAAAAAATAATAAAATATGAGGTAACAAATGCTTATATCAAGTGTTTTTTTATTTTAGTATGAGCACATTATGACTGTCTTAAAACAAGATTTGCCAATGGCACAAAGCCATTTCCTCTTATTTCAAGAACTGTTGATTTATTTTCTTTTATAACTCGATAATTTTGCTTCTCCCTGTCGCAAATCCTGTTTTAAGCCAATCAAAATGTGCGCAAGTTAAGTTTTCATCACAAACCACTTTCTTTACTACTCTTTACTTCATCCATTTTCCCCCGAACAGAACATTGTGGTCTATGAATGGCTCCCTGCATATCTGGGAAACAGACGGCTCAGTGCGTATCCAGGTAAGAACCAACAACAGCTCATGCACCAGCGACCACAGCCTCTGAGAGCACTGTGTCAGCAAAAAATTTGGTGGACTTTTGGTAATGGGCTCAATATGCAACTCTTGGAAAGGAAAAAATGTACATATATTTTTTGCTATAGATATGGGTTTGGCATTTGTGTTTTGCTTTAACTCAAAAATAACCTTGTTCTTGCAATTTTTATACTATTAAAAAGTGTGTTTTAAAATTGCGGGTACATTCTTAGGTTATCAGAAGTTTGTTGACCCCGGTGTGTCTCCTGAATTCCAAGTTGCAGCCATGAGATTTGGTGTTACTATGGCTCCGCCTGGTGTTTACATGAGGTACTGCAATCCCTTTTTCTGTTTCTTTTAAATTCAGCATAATTTTACATGGACATAATTTTTAGATTATTTTTTTTTCAATGTGGACCAGAAATAAAACTTGTCATTTTCGAGAAATTATTAACTCTGAAGGAATCTCGTCTCCTGCATTACGTCTGTGCAACAGCTTCTGGATCCGGCAGGTAACACACACAATTATGTTTTGTGTTACAGGCAAAGAACCTGTTCGTGTTTTAAATGTAAGTTTATTTTTTTATATTTTCAGAGCCCTAACATGAAAACAAGCCTGGATGTGGATGAGCTGCTCTTAGGGATGGCGTCACAGATTTCCGAGAGAGAAGACAACGTTGTCGTAGAGGATCTTAGAGGTATATGTTTTGTGTTACAGTATTTATTTAATTTATCTTCCTGGGTCAACAAAGACCACTGTGTGTATGTGATCCTGCTCACACAAGATTATATGAGTATTATTATTTTGGCTTTGGTAAAACACCTGTAATCCTAATCCTAAAGATAATGCCCCAGCGTAAGACATTCGAGATAAAGCAGCAGTATCGCCATGGAGACGGTACTCAAATATCTGAATATCTGTAAATACGGTTTATTGATTCATGTTTTACTTCATGTACTTCTGTGTTTTCAGTGTCAGTACTTTACATTACAGAGTTGTACTTTTAAACCTGAATGTTTTCTACTTCTTACATTTATACATGAGTTGACATGTATAGATGACAATAGCTAATGTGGTTAGCCATGCTTCTAAATTCAGATTAACATTCTGCAGCAGCTATCTTAAGTTTTGTCATATCATATAATTTTCTCTGGATAAACTTTGAAAATGGTATGATGTTGTATATGTGCGTAAGAAGTACATTCAAATACTTTTACTTTATCAATATCATTACTTCAATACTTTTACCTTTGCCCCATTACTAGTATTTTTTACTTTTACTCAAATACATTCACCTTTCATGTTATTATTCAGCGTCATGATACAGATCTATGTGGTGCCACCTGCAAATGTGAAAGCTAATGCTGTCACAACTCTGAAGCTCAGCAGGGTTGAGCCTGGTCAGTGCTGTGATGGGAGACCTCTTATAAAATCAGGTTGTTGTGTCACTAGGCAAGACACTTCACCCTAGAATGAGGTGTGTGCGTTGACCAGAGGGGGTGATGGTACACACTAGTTGTCTCTCTTCTGTCAGTGTGCCCCAAGGCAGCTATGGCTACTATCGATACATCTATAAATTTTCTTCCAATTAATCCATTTCTGGGCCGGGGGGTGGCAATCACAGCTGCACCCAGTACACAGAGCATCAGCCCCTCACTGATCCTCCTGCAGGTGGTGAGTCCACAGGAGCTGAGATCTTTCAGCGGGGGCTCTAGGCAAAGTGGGTTTAAGTGTCTTGCCCAAGGACACAGCGACAGCAGTCATCAGTGGGAGTCGTGAAGCAGGTCTTGTGGTGGGCTCGAACCCACAACCCACAACTGAGCCACTGTTTAAAAACTCCTGAGCGCTGAAAAGCGAAACACTTCTGTGTACAGAGTGAAAGAATAATAGAATGAAGCGTTTTTGAGTGTCTAAAAAACACTATATCTAACGGATGCATTATTATTATTATTATTACTATTATCATTTCGTTCCTTTGTAGATTTCATGTACGGCCCCCTGAGATTCACGAGGACAGATCTGGTGGCGCTGACCATAAACAGGGGCAGAGACTTTGGCCTTCCCACGTACACACAAGTGAGACACGCTTTTGACCTGCCGCCTCTGAACACCTTTGAAGATATAAATCCACAGCTGCACCGCACCAACCCACAGGTAACGCTTTATAAATGTCCATATGAATTATGTATGTGGCCAGTGGTTCTCAAATTCTGGTGCAACTTTCACTTATGTAGAAGTGTTTATTATTATGAATTTTTATATGATTCAAACCGGCTTCACAGCTGGGGTTCCTATTTTTCAAACAACACTGTAATAAAAGAAATCATGGTAGTTCCTTCTTCTCTAAACATTTTGCTTCTATCACAAGTTTTCACATGCAACTACTTCTGGTCCGTCACATCTTTGGATCAACTTTTTCAGACAGAAATGTGAAAAAGAGAGGACCACAGTCTATCTTTCTGTTGGGGAAACAAAAGGAGAGAGAATGTTGTGCTACTGGCATTTATGAAACTAAATTTAGATACCCCAGCTTTAAATTTCACATGATTTTATCCAGTTTTGCTCCTAATGTATAGTCTATATTAGGCTATTAAATCTCAAAACCATATGAATGTCTTAGAAATCGTCAGTATCCTAAGAGAATTACTTCACATCTAAAAACATACAATCTCCAACCTTTGTGAGTTTGTGAATGCTTTTGTTCCACAGCTGCTGAAAGACATCGCAGATCTGTATGATGCAGACATTTCTAAACTGGAGCTGTTTGTCGGGGGGCTGCTGGAGTCTGTGGACGGTCCGGGCCCAGTCTTCTCCGCCATAATCCTGGACCAGTTTGAACGGATCCGAAACGGCGACCGCTTCTGGTTTGAGAATACAAAAAATGGGTAAAGCTCTTTGTCTTGGATTTGAGTTTTAAGACTTTTATCCTTCATTTTTTGGGTTTTTTTTGGCACATTTATGCTTATTTAGTCCAAATTAATTAATGCTTTTAATATGTTAGTCCTGGATAAGTTATGTTTTAGACCTTGTGTTTTTCTCTACCTTTGGTTCCTGGTTGATTTTTTTTACACTGGGGGTAGTCTTGCACTGTTTTTCCAATGTGGTTTTACTGCAAATGGCAAATAAATGAATCTGAATCTGAATCTGAAAAACTGGCAATCATTAGCAGTTAATATAAGCTACCATGGTACGTTATACATAATTTTAAAGGCAATTTTTAGCATAATAATTGGTCTATCAGTCACTAATAACAAGCCATCTTTATTTTGTTCCAATTTAGGTTCATGTAGGCTTCGTTCAGACAGAAGGGGTAATATAGAAATGTATAGGTCAAGTTAAATTAATAAAACTACGCATCAAAGTACCTTTATGATGTAAAACAATAAAATAAGAACAATCTGATTCAGAGAGACACATATATTTTATACTTTTGTAAATATTTAGACATAGTAGTTGTGCATTTTTGTCTGTATTGATGTCTGTTTTTGTGTGTTAATGGACTCATGATGTGTCTGAATTAAAGATTAAATAAATGAAATCAAATACAAATTACAGAAAAGCCTAAAAACTTCCTGAATGAGATTAACCATCTTGACACAAAAGGGGAACTCATTGCAAAAACAAAAAAAGGTTGAGGACCACTGCACCACAATACTAGAATAAATGTATTTTTGTACAGTTTGTTTACAGATGAAGAGATTCAGATAATCCGCAACACAACATTTCATGACGTCATCGTTGCCGTCACAAGCGCTGGCTCGCTGGATATACAAAAAAACGTCTTTTACTGGAAAAATGGTAAGAAATGATTGACGATGGAATATTCTGAATTGAGAAATCTGAAACATTTTACAAATATATGTGTTGTCCTCAGGCGACCCTTGTCCTCAGCCCAGACAGCTCTCTGCATCAGCTCTCCACCCCTGCACTAATGCTACCAAACTTAATTACTTTGATGGAGGCAAAGCAGGGTTTATCATATTCATCACAGTCCTTATCCTCTTTCCTTTCGGTAGGTATTATTCTAAAATCTACCAAATTGTTTGTGGTTTTGGTTTGGCTTGAAATAACACGGTTCCTTTGCAGTGAGTTTGCTTGTGGCCTGGATGGTGGCGATACTCAAGAAACACAGATACAATAAGTTTCAAAGAGGAAGGAAGTCTGTGAGTAGGACAGATGAGCCCACTGTTGGAATCCCAGGTAATTCAGTTTGCATGGTCTCCCTGTGTCGGTGTAAGTTTCCTCTGGGTGCTACGGTTTCCCCTACCACTAAAAACATTGCAATGGTCTCTGGGGCAAGGACTCCCCTGAAAAAGACATTCTGGAATCTCTTTTTCAGGGAGAGAACAACCAATGCTTTCTGTCATGTCCTTTGACAAGACACTTTACCCACCATACTTTTATTTTATATATGTAATGTGGGTGAAGGTGGGTGGAGGAGTTCAAGTATCTCGGGGTCTTGTTCACGAGTGAGGGAAGGATGGAGCGTGAGACTGACAGGCGTATTGGTGCAGACATACCAATCAATCTTCGCTCCCTCCCTCACCTCTGGTCATGAGCTTTGGGTAATTACCGAACCAACAAGATCGCGGATACAAGCGGTAAAAATGAGCCAGTGCTTTCCCACGTCGAGAGGAACCAGTTTAGGTGGCTCAGGCTTCTGTTCCGGATGTATGTTGCTGTTGTTATCTTTAGTATACTGAAACCTTTAGTCAAAAAGTGACTCCATAAGATTCACTCTTTCTTTCTCGCTTTGGGCTGAGAGCTGATTGGCTGAATGACAGTGGTCCTGATATAACTGTGACAGAGCCCGACAATACGTGCATGTGAAAACTAATGATTGAACCAAACTGTTAGAATGAGAAACTATAGCTACATGGATTGTATTGCACAGTTCCAATATTATTTTGGTTTGAAAGTCAGGTACCCTAGCTTTAATCGTGGTGTCTTGTTGTCTTCAAAGCTCTCGAGTGGCAAGGCAATAAAAAACACCTCCATCCGGTCAGCGTGGAGTTTGACAAAAAGAATCGAGTCCAGGTTTTGGACAGGGCCGGTCCCGCTCTCCGGACGCTGTATGTGGGGAACCAGGCCTGTCTGGACCTCATTTTATCCAACGACTGTCAAAGAAAAGCTCTCCTCCTCAAAGTGCCCAAGGAGTACGATCTGGTGAGCAAGTAAAAAAAACAATACAGTAACACTTTAGATTAGCGCTCAATAGATCCAGCAATCAGTTGTTTGTTTATAATAATAAAGGCAAGGCAATTAAAAGTGCTACACAAGAGCGATTTAAAAACACAAATCAAAATGCATTTAAAAGTAAATTACAGTTAAATACTATAATAATAATTTGATATTAAAACAGAGCAGCATAAAGCTATTGGGTTCAAAACTCTTATTTAAATGTGGGGTATTAAAAAGGGAAATTTATTTATTTATTTATTTATTTGTTTATTTGACAGGGACAGTAAACGTTCATGAACATTACTGTAAATGCACCAGAATTAGCCTCGAGGCAATTTTTCATCTGTTGTCCTTGGTCAGATTTAAAATATCAACCTAAAAGCAGAAATGATTAAACAAGAAGAATAGTACAATAGTGAAGACAAACAAAATACAAAAAAACTTTAATTCAAAATAATATTTAAATAACAGTGTAAATAAAAGCGACAGTAGCTCAGTTGGTAGAGCATTGGCCTTAGAGCCTGAAGGTCGTGGGTTCGATCCCACCGTAAGACCTACTTCACGACTCCCACTGATGACTACTGTTGTTGTGTCCTTGGGCAAGACACTTAACCCCACTTTGCCTGAAGCTCCCACTGAAAGATCTCAGCTCCTGTGGACTCACCATCTGCAGGAGGATCAGTGAGGGGCTGGTGCTCTGTGTACTGGGTGCAGCTCTGACTGCCACCCCCCCGACCCAGAAATGGATTAAGGGGAAGAAAATGGATGGATGGATGTAAATAAAAGCAATGAATAGCTATCACTAATTAACAGCTAACTAAGTGCTAATTGGTGTATCCTGACTCTAACGCTAATGCTAACGCTAACCCATAACTCAAACCCTTACATGTAACTCTAAACCTAACTCACATGAGAAAGTGTCAGTTAGTACTGTAGTTAAATAAATGTTGAACAAGGCCATGTAGAATAACACAATAATTAGCACTTAATAATCTGTTAATTTGGGGCTAAACTAAAGCTATTCCAAAAGCAGCTGTGTCTAGCTTAACAGCACATGTTTGCGCACTTCCTCGTGTCCCACGTATTATCCGCTCCTCGCCGTTCTTCTCTTGGCACAGGTGCTGTTTTTTGATGACGAGAATATGCGCTCGTCATTCGTCCGCCATCTCTGCCCCGAGTCTCCTGCGGCGGCGAGTCTGGGGCAGAAGGTGACGGTGAGAGAAATGAGGGAGAAGGATCTGCTGAACCAGGCTCTGACCAAAGAGCAGCGCGGGCAGATCGTGGAGACTTTCATCAGACAAGCTTTCTCCAAGGTGAGATGGACTTCCTTTCAATACAAGGTCTTGTCATTTTGAAAAAACAAGGAGGAAGCAAAACTGCAAATTAATGGATTTAATAAAAAAGTAATACAAATACAAATCCTGCAACACCACAAGAAGTAAACAAATAGAGAACAAGAACAAAAACAGACGTACTGTATGACACAGAACAGGGAGTGAAGGAACACACAGGGTTTCAAACACAAGACTAACGAGACACAGGTGATACTAACGAGGGCGGGCAGGTGATCAGGAAACAGGAAGTACAAATAAGAAAACAAATTACAAAATAAAACAGGAAATAAACCTAAACCATGACAGTTATAGAAGTGACTAAGACGCTAGTGGTGACAATTTATCTGGTGTGGTGGCAATGCGCTTCACTAGTTTTCAATCGCCGTTAAACAACCAAAGAAAAAGAAGAAGAACCATGGTTGAACCACAAAATATTGTTAAACTTGAGTAAATCCTTGTGGTGGCAAGTATCTACCAAGTTTCTGTACTGTACCTTTTATTCCTCACTTTTAATCTCAAATATATGTATTTTCTACTCCTTACATTTCAGAAAAGGGTCCGTAACTTTGCAGAGGACGACACAAAATCAAAAGGAGAAAGTGTGCCCAATATAAATTAATAAGTGGTGGTCATCAATGCTTCTAAGATCATTCATTCATTGTGGTTAGCCATGCTTCTAAGTTCAGATAACACCTTTGTCAGTATGGAACAATGGTAAACATTATGTTCATTGATTATTCAACAAAATTATGTTTACTTTTTGCTTAAATACATTCAAAAGCTTGTCCTTGTACACTATCACCTAAGTAATTGTATAGCTTTAATACTTTATCTTTCCCTGTGGAGGAACTTTGTCTTCTGCATTTGACCCATCCTGATGCCACAAGGGCGTCTGTCAGGAGCAGTGGTCGCCGTAGTACAGCGTCAGGGACCCATCTCCAGATGTTGATGCTCTTGGTCAGGACCAGAGATGGAGGATTTGACCTATTGTCCATGTTTTTACGGGGGGACAGGCGCACCCAGAGGAGACACGGGGAGAACATGCAAACAGATCTTTCTCTGTAACAGAAAGATCCTGTTACAACCGGGATTCAAACCCTTCTTGCTGAGATATGAGTGCTCAATCTGTATTTGTAAAGCACATTTAAAACAGCCATGGCTTATCAAAGTGCGTAAAAAAGTGAAAAAAACTAAGCTAACCAACGTGCCGCCAAACGCCTCGTTCCATAAAACTAATGGCTGTCTTACATTTCCTCACTGTGCGACACATAAAGAATCTCTTGGTCTTAGTCTCTGGTGCTGACCTCATGTGCGGCAGGCTTTAGTCACGTTGACATCAGTAAGAGCTTCACAGCAGTCACTCCATAAGCCTGTCGTCAAACCCTGGACCATCATCACCTTAAAAGCAAATTGTTTTCTCCCACAGTGACCTCACGCGTGTGATCCACTGACCGCTCTGACATCATCGAGTGTCCGTAAAGCCGCTTTGCCACCGTGGCCTGTGTGTGTGCAGCCGGTGTTGGAGATTGACCGAGTGACCACTGTGTGTACTGCATGTGCGCAGTGTTTTTTGTACTGAGGCTCTTAATATCAAAGCTACCACCAAGAAGCAATGTCGTCCTGCTTTGGATCTACAGTATAAAGCACACATTAGATCCTGAGAACTGTGCAGTGCTGATCCGTGGCAAAGGAAACACTCTCATAAACTGTTTGAGAGCCTCCAACGAAGATGTGCTTTATTCTAAATCTGCCGAATCGTGCCCAGTTGACGACAGAGCATTATAGAGCGCTTAGACCAGACATGGGCAAACTTTTCCTCCTGAGGGCCACATTGGCACACAGCACAGAGGGGGATTGTATGATGTTTAAACTGAAATTAACCCACTGTGGGATGAATAAATGTTATTAATCCTAATCTCTCTTGATCTTAATCTCAGTCTATATAAATTGTGGAGGGCTCAGGGGCCTGATAGAAGCATCCAAAGGGCCGCATTTGGCCCACGGGCCGGGGTTTGCCCACAACTGGCTTAGACTAACAACACTAAGCAAACAACTAGCGTGCTGGATTCAAAAAGGTGCATAATTTGTAAAATAAAGAAACATCTGCACAGCTATGTAGTTCCCAAGTGTTGTTTATTTACAGGCAATAGGCGTTGGTTTTTAACTTTTCCATGGACTCTCACCTGTAGCATTGGAACCATACCGACCCACACGCTGCAAAAATGATCAAATATGAGGTCGTAATTGCTTGAATCAAGTGTTTTTTATCTTAATGGGACAAAACCATGTAGACTTATTTCAAGAACTTTTGCTTTATTTTCTCATTCCATGAGAGACATTTCTTGTATCCTTTTAAAACAAGATCCTTTTTCTTGTAGTAGTAAGTAAGTAAGTAAGCTTTATTTATATACCGCCTTTCACAGACCAGAGTCACAAAGCGGTTTACAATTGTTATTTTTAGGGCATTTGTCTCTCACTCCACACAGAGATGGGAGCGGGGTCGCCGAACAGGAGGCGCATGCCAGACCTATTGTACATATTTTTAGTGGTAGGGGAAACCGGAGTACCCGGAGGAAACCTACGCAGACACGGGGAGAACATGCAAACTCCACTCAGAAAGGCCCTGGTCCGGCCGGGATTCGAACCCAGGACCTTCTTGCTGAGAGGCGAGAGTGCTATCCACTCAGCCACCGTGCCGCAAAAATTGTCGCAATGGCAAATCTTGTTTTAAAGCAGTCAAAATGTGCTCAAATTAAGATACATTTAGCCAAATATGACTTGATTGTCACAATTTGAAATGCACAAAGAGTCCTACCGCATCATGAGCGCTGGGTCAGCTGGCGGGACTGCCCTGTGCCCACATCATGCACAGGTCGTGTCCCACTCTGGCCACCAGGATGTGGAATATGGACTGTCTCTGGAGGCACCTGAGAGTGAGGATCAGGGATGGACTATGTGAAAATGTCTCTAGAGTTGGAGTTTTTATTCATTTATTAAAGATAAAAAAGGTGTTGGAGATCGACCGGAGTGACCACTGTCTGTGTGTGCAGGTGTTGGAGATCGACCGGAGTGACGCTGGTGTGTCGCATCAGAAAGCCAAAGAGGTTCTGCAGTGTGAGCTCACCGCTGCAGAGTTCGCAGAAGCTCTGGGCCTCAAACCAGACTCTCTCTTCGTGGACTCCATGTTCACGTTGGCCGACAAAGACGGCAACGGTTACCTCTCGTTTCAGGAGTTTCTCGATGTCATTGTTATTTTTATGAAAGGTAACTATGAACAGCCAACATAAAATTATGTTATAAACTATGTATTTAAACTGTGAAAATTCGAAACATAAAAATTATAAAGTACATATCCAACACCGTGGGTGTCACTTGGAAACAACCAGTTGCTCAAAGTAGCTCCCCAAAGGATAAGTGTATGTGTATATATAAAAAATATTCTTATTGATTCTTTTATGAGTTTAACATTATCAAAGCCCAATAAAAAGTTAAAAGTTATAAAAATTAATTAAAAAAATATCTTAATTGGAGCACACTCTGACTGCCTTAGAACAAGATCTGCCAATGGGGCAAGCAAAATTATCTTGTTTTAAAAAGATGCAGGAAATGTCTCCTTTGGAATTTGGAAATTAGGCTTTTTTTCCTGAAGTAAGACTAAACGACTTTCTCCCAAATCTTTTATAATATGAAATTACCTCATATTTTATGATTCTTTGCAGTGTTTATGTGATAATGTATTTTTTTTACAGGTTCCTCTGAAGAAAAATCCAAGCTAATGTTTGCAATGAATGACATTGACAGAAACGGCTACTTATCCAAGAACGAGTTTGTTCGGATGCTCAGGTCGGTGAAGTCAGTTCCTTTCTTCAATTTCAACTTTTCTATTTCTAATCAACATGTTTTGTCCAGGTCCTTTTTTGAACTCTCCAATGGGGCTCTGTCTAAGAGTCAGGCTGACGATGGCATCAGGGCCCTGATGCAGGCGGGAGGCTTTGAAAACAAGGAGAGGATCACGTGGCAGGATTTCCACTTCCTCCTCCAGGACCATGAGAAGGAGCTGCAGTTCGCTCAGATTAATGTCAAAGGTAGGAAATCAAGAATAATAATAATAATAAGGATTACAACAACAACAATATTAGTAATACATTTTATTTCTAGGCTTCTTTCTAGACACTCAAGGTAAACAGAAATAAACCGGTTGAAAAATTATTTAGACAAGGCAAACACTGATTTGGCTCCAACCCCTCTCACTCATTCACACATATAACACACACACACACACGACACAAGCACAACACATACTCACACACACAACAAGACACAGACCCAAACACTCTCTGACCACACACCTCTCTCACACTACTCGCTCTGGGCTGAGAATTGTAGGACTTTTCAGGACAAACATTCTTTTGACAACCACAAACCAGAGCCCCCTTGTGGCCAACTTCAGTTTATGTCATTTCTTCATGTTTGCAATCAGTATTTGAGATTTTGCTATCGTCTTAATTCCTACACCTACACCCGTCCTTGTCTCTTAATGTCCCGCCATCTTCTTTTGTCCATATTTTTGGAGCAGGGATGGAGAAGCAAGGCAAGAAACGCTTCAGCCGAGACCAGAGAGTGTCCTTCATCTGCCCAGCCAACAGGTGCAGGCTAACAGTAGCATCAGTCACTAACTTTGGCTCTAAAGTTAAAATAAAACTGTTTTTTTCTTTTTCTTGTAGCAGTCCAAAGTCAGAAGGATCAGAACTGCGCAGGAGGAAATTGTAAGTTTTTCACGCACTGGAATCAATCAACAGCCACTTTATAGATAGTCTAAACCAGAGGGTGGGCAATTATTTTTATTTTCTCCAGGGGTTAGGGTTAGCCACACTGGGATATTGGGATATTGTGGAGGGTCAGACTTGTTTCTATGCCATTACCATTTAATATAATATGGGACAGTATATGAGTTTAAGCTACTTCTGTTAGAAATGTAACAAATGTATGTATTTATTTACATTTACAGTAGAGGAGTGGGAAACATGGAGATCAATGTTAACTTTGTGCTTGTGTAAAGTGTGACGGCTTCATCTTTTGCATCTGCTCGAGGAAAGCTAAAGAAAGTTTTGCCGGCAGATGTTGTTGATGAATTATAATGAGGTGTAACATGTTATTGCAGCAGTCATGAAGTTGGTAAACCTTCATTGAGTAGGGATTCCGTGAAACAGGGCGGAGACAGTATGAACTTTCTGCATTGGGCAAAGGTCTGAGGGCCACATAGAAACGAGAATTGGACCGTATGTTGCTCCCGGTCCGCACTTTGCCCAGGTCTGGTCTAAATCATCAGAATGTTAATAATTTTAATTTTAGAGTAATTATATGGGACACAGCTTGTACTTGTACATATTAATGCGTGCGTGTGTGTATTTTAGTAGGGTTTTGGTTATTCGTATTTTTTCTTAATCTTAGGTACTCGGTTTGCACATTGTATGGGGGTGTGCTAAAAAAATACCATTTGTTTGTATTTGACTCCAGACTCCATGTTAAAACTCCAAACGTCTACGTGAAACCCAAGCGAGAGCAGTACATAAAGAACCCGGTCCAGCAGAAGGTGCAGCAGTTCAAGCGCTTTATAGAGAACTACAGACGCCATATTGTCTGCTTCCTCATCGTGTACGCCATCACAGCTGGGGTCACCATAGAACGGTGTTATTGTGAGTATTTCTTTATTTCAGTTCAATTACAAACATTTTGGGAACACTTTAGTTTATCCCTCTATAATTAACAATGAATTAAGTGCTAAAAACTTAAGTATTGACAGTATATGTATATTTCGAAAGCCGATAAATTCTCTCGCTCCCATTGGCAAATCTTGTTTTAAATTTAGACATAAACCACTCGATTCAAGGAATTATGAGCTCATATTGTATCATTTTTTCCAGTGTAGTGAGCTGAACAATAATCTAAGTTTCCAATGGTAATACCCGTCTGTGTTATTTATTCATACGCTCACTTACGCTCACATCTATACTAATGATAATAACAATAATCATATGAAGCCATCCTCCACAGACTACGGGGTGCGGGCCCAGGCCACGGGGATGCCTGAAGTGTCTGCCACGGGGGTGATCGTGGCGCGGGGGTCTGCCGCCGCCATCTCCTTCCTGTTCCCGTACATGCTGCTCACCGTGTGCAGGAACCTCATCACTCTGGGACGGGAAACCTTCCTCAACCGCTACATCCCCTTCGACGCCGCCATCGACTTCCACAGATTTATGGCCATGACCGCAATCCTCCTGTCAGGTCAGAGAAATACACACCAGTTTTTTTTGGATATTGTAGGTTAAGAATCAACAGGAATATGAAAAATAAACAGTCAAATGTGCACAAATGAATAGGCAACTCAAGGCAAGTTTAATTGTATAGCACAGATCATAAACAAATCATTGGCCACTCAAATTGCTGAACAAAACAAGATAGAAACCATCACACAAGGCATTCAAATCATAAATAATCACAGTACACCAAAAAGAGTAAAGATTAAAAAAATAGAATAAGAAAAAGGCAAGAGGTTCTTATGAAAAGGGACAATATTATCTACAGTTGTTTCACCAAGAAGCATGTGCTATTTAATATCGTCCATGAATGCAACATGGAATTCCACTGCTACATTCTTTTGCCAAGAGTTGTTCAAACATCTGATTACACTTAATCTATAATCTCAAGGCTGGAGTTTTAAACAAAAAAAATGAAATTAAAGCCGCAAGCGGCGTCAAATCGCCGCACTGCGCTAAGGAGGGGGCGCCGCCGCGCCATGATTTGTTCCCGTAGCTGTAGAACGATGTTTGTGACATTGTAATGAATATGATCAGTTGGTTTGACTCCCCATATAACACTTTGGCTCAGTCTGTAGGGGGCACTAAAGAGCCATTGTAATATTTCACACCTTCAGGTGACCGAGGCCCAAGAGTTGAAAAACCGAGTCAAGTTTAGTACAAATCAGACTTTGTGTGTGTAAACAGGAGCACATGTATAATCTGTGAGTGTGTCCATATATCCAGTGCCTTGCGAAAGTATTCGGCCCCCTTGAACCTTTCAACATTTCGCCACATTTCAGTCTTCAAACATAAAGATATAACATTTTATTTTTTTGTCATGAATCAACAACAAGTGGGACACAATCGTGAAGTGGAACGAAATTTATTGAATAATTTAAACTTTTTTTACAAATAAAAAACTGAAAAGTGGGGCGTGCAATATTATTCGGCCCCTTTACTTTCAGTGCAGCAAACTCAGTCCAGAAGTGCAGTGAGGATCTTTGAATGATCCAATGTTGTCCTAAATGACTGATGATGATAATTAGAATGCACCTGTGTGTAATCAAGTCTCCGTATAAATGCACCTGCTCTCTGATAGTCTCAGGGTTCTGTTTAAAGCGCAGAGAGAACCATGAAGACAAAGGAACACACCAGGCAGGTCCGAGATACTGTTGTGGAGAAGTTTAAAGCCGGATTTGGTTACAAAAAGATTTCCCAAGCTTTAAACATCTCAAGGAGCACTGTGCAAGCAATTATATTGAAATGGAAGGAGTATCAGACCACTGCAAATCTACCAAGACCCGGCCGTCCCTCCAAACTTTCATCTCAAACAAGGAGAAGACTGATCAGAGATGCAGCCAAGAGGCCCATGATCACTCTGGATGAACTGCAGATAACTACAGCTGAGGTGGGAGAGTCTGTCCATAGGACAACAATCAGTCATGCACTGCACAAATCTGGCCTTTATGGAAGAGTGGCAAGAAGAAAGCCATTTCTCAAAGATATCCATAAAAAGTCTCGTTTAAAGTTTGCCACAAGCCACCTGGGAGACACACCAAACATGTGGAAGAAGGTGCTCTGGTCAGATTAAACCAAAATGGAACTTTTTGGCCACAATGCAAAACGATATGTTTGGCGTAAAAGCAACACAGCTCATCACCCTGAACACACCATCCCCACTGTCAAACATGGTGGTGGCAGCATCATGCTTTGGGCCTGCTTTTCTTCAGCAGGGACAGGGAAGATGGCTAAAATTGATGGGAAGATGGATGGAGCCAAATACAGGACCATTCTGGAAGAAAACCTGTTGGAGTCTACAAAAGACCTGAGACTGGGACGGAGATTTATCTTCCAACAGGACAATGATCCAAAACATAAAGCCAAATCTACAATGGAATGGTTCACAAATAGACGTATCCAGGTGTTAGAATGGCCAAGTCAAAGTCCAGACCTGAATCCAATCGAGAATCTGTGGAAAGAGCTGAAGACTGCTGTTCACAAATGCTCTCCATCCAACATCACTGAGCTCGAGCTGTTTTGCAAGGAAGAATGGGCAAGAATTCCAGTCTCTCGATGTGCAAAACTGATAGAGACATACCCCAAGCGACTTGCAGCTGTAATTGCAGCAAAAGGTGGCGCTACAAAGTATTAGCGCAAGGGGGCCAAATAATATTGCACGCCCCACTTTTCAGTTTTTTATTTGTTAAAAATGTTTAAATTATCCAATAAATTTCGTTCCACTTCACGATTGTGTCCCACTTGTTGTTGATTCTTGACAAAACATATCATTTTTATATCTTCATGTTTGAAGCCTGAAATGTGGCGAAATGTTGAAAGGTTCAAGGGGGCCATTGGATTTCCATGTGACTAATGAAAATTCTATAAACAACTATTGTGTTTAGATGATGTGGAGCCATTTTGAGGCAACACTCTGAAATGGCCAAAGAGGAGACGATTTCATGATTGATTTTTCCATTTTGCAATAAAATGTATGGGCTTCCTGTTTGTCACGGGGCGTGGCCATAATATTTTTTTCATGTCTTGACTTGAATGTGTACCGAATTTCATGGCTCTACGACAAACTTGACCTCGGACCTCCTCCCATAGGCGCAATGTAAACTGACTTTTGTAGGGTGTACTGTTCTAGCATTTTTTTAGTCCCACAAAAATAAACACCAAAGAAGTAAATTTTTGCGCCAGTTCTGAATTTAGGCAAAACTTGGCAATTTTTCATCAGTGGGGGCGGGTCCCGGCTCAAAAGTGGCCAAAATGACGTGCGCTGACCATAGACTGTATATATTAACGGACAGAGATAATAGGCGGAGATAGGCGTATATATTAACGCCTATCTCCGCCGTTCTAACTAATGGGCCAAAAAATGTGCTCTACTGGAGCTATCCAAAATGGCAGCGAGTGGTCCCACCCACAAGAAAATTGTTAAAAAACGCATCTGCGCATGCGTCAGCTGGCGAGAGCTCCATTCATTTGAATGAATGGAGCATATAGCATTGGCAGACCTCTCTATAACGTCTTTACAAGATGGTCTAAAAGTTGGCTCTCGGCCAAAAGCTCCGTTCCACATGTGTGTCAATGCTGAGGGGGGTGAATTTTTTGGACCAGTCTAGTTTAGTCGCTGTGAATTTTTGAAGGCACTCGTTTAAATGAATGGAGCTTGCGCCGGCTGACGCATGCGCAGATGCGTTTTGTCACAATTTTCTTGTGGGCGGGACCACTCGTGGCCATTTTGGATGACTCCAGTAGAGTTTTCTTGGCCCATTTGTTAGAACGGCGGAGATAGGCGTGACTACGTCCGTTAATATATACAGTCTATGGTTTTCAAGCATGTTCAGGGTCAAAGTGCAGAATATTTTTTCTAAAGTCTCTGAGCAAAAACAATACTGGTTTCATAACACATCATTTTGAAGCGTTTGATTTTACGCACGCAACCGTCACGTTTTGGTGAGTGACGGATGCGGGACTCACCGCCACCATTTGCATTCACCTTTGTAGCTATGTTACACGATCTGTCAACTAGTTTCTCGCTCTCAAAACAGGTAAGTTCTACACTGCAAAAAAATATAAAATAGGAGGTTATAAATGCTTGAATCGAGTGTTTTTTAACTAATTTGAGTACATTATGTCCTAAAACAAGATTTGCCAATGGGACAAGACCATTTAGTCTTAATGCAAGAACTGTTGCTTTATTTTCTCATTCCAAGAGAGACAGTCCTTGTAACTTGTTTAACAAGATTATTGGCAAATCTTGTTTAAAATTGACATTTTGACTTGGCAGTCAAAATGTGCTCAAATTAAGATACATTTTGCCAAATTTGAGCTTTTTTTTGTTTGTTTTTTCATCACATTTTGCATATATAGTAACATTTATTTTGATTAATTGTCACACGTTTAGATCAGCCTTCACAGATAGAAAACTGACAAAGAGAGCCCACCAATCAGCTCTCGGCTAAAAGCTTCTAACAGTGACACCAGGGCTCTTTCTTATAACTCTTTCTGTTGGGGACAGAATATATTTTGAGTTCTTCCTTTGCCGACGCAGGAGGGTCTAAGCACAGTGGTGATGATCCAGGACACTCGACATTCTCTATGTGTTTTATGATCATTGCATTTCTTGTGTTTTATCTCTGATTCTCTGATCTGTGTTGGCGAACAGTTTTGTAAAGTCCTCCGAGATAACTACTGTTGTGATTTTTGAGTTGGGACAGTGGGGGGCAGTAATGCTGTGTCTGTGTTGCTTTGTCTTACAGTGGTCCACACTCTGGGGCATATTATCAATATCTACGTGTTCTCTGTCAGTAACCTCAGCATCCTGTCCTGCCTCTTCCCAAAGGTCTTCAACAACAACGGGTGAGTCATGTCCAGACAAACATCCACAGTGTTCGAGCATTTAGACTATGATATGAGGTAGTCGTTGCTTGAATTGAGTGTTTTTATCCTCCGTGCTTTCCATGGTGCTGAAGCAGTTATCAGCAAATGCACTCAAATAAACAGTAACATAAACGGTTAATAAAATCTATTTATTGGTTTACAATACATTTTAAGTATTACAACATTAAAGCTGGGGTACCTGTGTAATCTTTTCAACTGGAAGAGTAAAAGTGCTTCCAATTTCAGTTTTTCCAATGTGGTTTTACTGCAAATGGCAAAGAAATCCTTGTATCTTGTAAATGTTGCCACGACATGTATTCACCTTATAAGCAAACATACAGTATTTTCTGTGGCTAATATCTTGCACGTTTAGAAACATACGTCTTTTGCACATGCTTTTCTCTCTGAACATCCTGATTTAAAGATTTGACAGAGCCCAAAAATGTATGCATGTGAACCAGTGATAGAACCTGTTTTTATCTGCAAAAGTGAAAGAAACTAGTTTAGGAAGGTTCATCTTAGTAGTTCTTAGTAGAAATAAAAGTATTTGGTTATTTTACTGTTGTCTGGTACAGAAAACCCAAATACTTTTATTAGTGAACTGTTTTAAAGTCTTGTAATTACATGGACATAAAGTTCTATTGTTGTGGTTTGAAAGTTACGTACCCCAGCTTTAAGTGTTATTGTACTGAAATGCCACTTGAAATGTCATTCCTGCTTCTGCGTTTAATCTTTTTTTTCTGTAGGTCAGAGCTTCCTCCCAAGTGGTTTTGGTGGTTTTTTCAAACAGTTCCAGGTAAAATGCTCTGGTCCCTTGCTCTCCCTTGATGTGAACGTCATAATGTCTAATGTACCCGTTTCAATGGATTCCAATGACTTCAGTCTCTTTTCTCTTCCAGGAGTAACTGGGATCTTACTTCTTATTGTGTTTTCGATCATGTACGTCTTTGCCTCACACTACTTTCGACGCATAAGTTTCCGTGGTTTTTGGATTACACATTACCTCTATGTCGCCGTGTACATCCTGGTACGTTAAAGGACCAAAGTAAAAGTCTTCAAACATATTTACTGATTGTGGTGTTGTTTTCTGGTGTTACAGACTGTGATTCACGGCAGTTTCGCTCTGCTGCAAGAACCTCGTTTCCACATATTTTTAATCCCTCCTGCGCTGCTTTTTTTACTGGACAAACTCATCAGTCTGAACAGGAAGAAAGTGGAGATCCCAGTCATTCGAGCTGAGCTTCTGCCTTCAGGTAAAACGCAACTTAATAACTGTAGATTTTAATGTTAGCACCTTTACGGCACTTTAATCTAACCATAACTAACTTAAGATCTACCCATAGTTTTGTTGGTCGATATAGATCAAGCCAATATTTTAAGTTTTTGAAATAAGTAATCAATTAATTAATTAAGTAATTTTTTAGGACACTCAAAAACCCGGCATTGCATTGTTCCTTCACTTCATTTTGTACACAGTGGTGGCAATTGAAGTGAATAGCCACAGCTGCCCTGGGGCAGACCGACAGAAGCGTGGCAACCAGTGTGTGCCATCAGCCCCCCCCCACCACCACCAACCATTCATGCGCACACCAGACTACAGACAATATCATAAAATGTCCTGAAATATCATAAATCGGCCTTAGCTTCTTCCCATCCGACATGCTTCCATGGCATAGTATACCTCATTTTAGAAGTTACGACCCCAGAATTTACTTCACTTTAAGCAATTTACCCCAAAACAATTAGTAATGAAAATCTGTTAATCAGTCTATAGCACCTTGATGTTTTATCTGGTCCACATAACTGTTCTAATTTTTTTCAGAAGAATACTATAAAAACGAACAGCAAAACCCATATTCAGTAAATGTAATGGTAAATTAACTTTCATAATGTAAAAAGTAAACGCACAACAATAACCACAGATGATACAAACAAACCGTCCACAAACAATATTTTCATCTCCTATTCCTTAAAATAAAACCCTTTCTATCAATATCCATCAAGGCTTTAAGCAATAACCTCTGAAAACCAGCGCATTAGAACGAAAATCCTGTTTGTTTGCGGCTTACACTGCAAAAAGTGATGAAAAATATGTTCAAAAAATGAAATGTGAAATAATGAATTCATACACTTTGCCTTAAAAACAATTAAAATAAACAAATAATAAAAATAATGAAATACAAAAATTTAAACAAAATACATTGTTTTAGCAAATAGAATATTTATTTTGAATTATATCAGTAATATGTATTTTATTTTATACGTATGTGATGTCAGGATGGGCTTACATCAGCAAGTTACTTCAGCTCAATCCTTTTTTTGGTTGTAATACAGTCAGTGAATGTAATATCTGTTATTAATCAAACAAGTTACCAAAATGAATTTACAATAATAAATAAATGCTAAAATTTGACAAGATTCAAGCATTTATTACCTCATAATTTATCTTTTTTGCAGTGTAAACATATGAATCAGTCAAAAGTAATCAACGTCTGTCTATAACATCAATACTAAATCTCATAAATAGTAACAGATCTTCTAAATTTAATAAAGACAAAAAGACAGATAAAGATCTATTCTATTTTATTCTGTGAAAGTCTTGAAGTCTGTTTTTGGCTTGTTCCTCTTTTAGGCGTGACGCATCTGGAGTTCAAAAAACCTCAAGGCTTTGTGTACCGCTCGGGCCAGTGGGTGCGTGTGGCCTGCCTGATGCTGGGCACAGATGAGTACCACCCCTTCACCCTGACGTCAGCCCCCCACGAGGAGACCCTGAGCCTCCACATCCGCGCCGTGGGGCCCTGGACCAGCCGCCTCCGCCAGATCTACACTGAGGAGAACCTGCTGGAGTTTGGAGCCTACCCAAAGGTCTGCGATTAACCCAGTGGGGGCAGGTCCCGACTCAAAAGGGTCCGTGCCTGTAATCTGACTCCTTGCCAGTGGGGGTGTACCCGGAAACAGAATTATCCACTGAATTCTTCTATCAATGTTCTATTTTCCTCTCAAAAATGGCTGGATGGTCCAAAAGTTCTCGGCTCATCGCTACGTTAAGATGCGTGTCAATGCTGAGGGGTTTTGATTTTTTTTGGACCAGTCTAGTTTAGCCGCTGTGGGCTTTTGAATGGACTTGTTAAATGAATGCGCACATGTATTTTGTCCATTTTCCTGCGGGAGGGGCCACTCACGGCCATTTACAGTCTACAGTGTTTTTAAACCAGTGTGGAATTTGGTGTGTCTTGAGATGTGGGTTGGTGTTTCCTTGGACATTTACCAAATATCACTTTATTGGTAAAAACATGGGAAAGGGAAATAATGAGAGACGATTAGAAAGACCTTTTTGCTCTTGTTGGATTTTTTATGAGAATGGTTTTCTATAGCTAACGAAGGCTGCAGAGTTTCAAGTTTGTATCAGTTTCAGCTGTGATGGTTCTCAATGAAAAAGTTGTACCACGGTTTAAAAATGTCGAGGAACACTGGATTTACCCACGTAGTAGCATCCTCGGCAACAAATATGACACTTATGTATACACTTAATCGTCCCCAAGGGTAAATTGTTTGCTTGTGGTGTAGCAATAATATTAAAGACAATACAACACAATAGTTACAATCGTGCGGCCACATATCAGGAGGCACAGCTGAGTCAAAAGGAAGCGTGTGGGAACCTTTAAAAGAGTCTGTTCAGCAGATTCACCGCACAGACCACAAAGGAACATTTAAAACGATTATTCGACCAATGCCTCTGACACCATTTCTCCATTACAACTTCTGTTTTGGACAGACAGGTTTATGTAAAAGGAAACTAAAGAAAAGCACAGGACAGACTTTATTAACGACCTATAAAACCATGATCAGAGTCCACATCAAAAAGTTTGAGACTGTGCAGGAAGTAAGTTGTTGTGCACCGTAATGTATCCATCCAGAGAAGCTAATATGCTACATCGCCAAATTTGGTAATTGAATGCTGCATTTTTTTTCAACAGATATTTGCATGGGTTTCACTGGGTTTTATCCACGGAAACACGATGGATTTGTGTTGCTTTGTATTGTTCGGATTAGTTTTAGTGCTTTTATATGGTCCAAAGCATATTTTATACATATATCTCCATATCTGCTGAGGCTGTCATCTCATCCGTAGATAGTAAATACAGCAATCATGTTTAATGTCTACTGAATGTTCCAATGTTCAGAATGTCCACTGAAAGCCACTTCATCTATCCTGCCATATAAGTATATGATTTACACATATATAGTAATATTGATATTTGCTCTTATGAAGCATTTACAGCTAGTTTTCTCTGTATATGTTGCGTGATCCTTGTGCGCCCTCACTACTTACTATTTTTTAGTTCTACTTTAGACACCTTTATTGGCGAGGCAGATTTATTTTTCAAAGCACCATTCATGAAAAAGCAACCCAGAGTTCTTAACAAGCACAGAAATAACATTGGCAAACAACACATTTTAGAAATAAAAAGTTTAAACATATATATATTTACATACATAGGCACATATTGCACATAAGATACCCTTTATCCTTTTTACTTTTTAACATTTCCTGTTGTTGGCACGGAAATGTGGCTGTTGGTACCGAATAAACTTCCCTTCTCTTCTGTCCTCCGCAGCTGTACCTGGACGGCCCGTTCGGGGAAGGCCATCAGGAGTGGGTGGACTTTGAGGTGTCTGTTCTTGTTGGAGGAGGAATCGGCGTCACACCCTTCGCTTCGATCCTCAAAGACCTGGTTTTCAAGTCCTCCATCAAGTCCAAGTTTCTGTGTAAAAAGGTACTGATGTGAGGCCTATAAAAACACAGAAGTGGCTGGAGGATCAACTGAAAAACCAGGCATACAAAGAAAACAATATAAAAAAAATATTAAACTAGAGATACAGTAATAATAACGTTGCTATTTACACTTGCAAAATAAAACAGTAAAAATACATTGTAAAGGTTGCAAACTGTAAGATTTACTTGTAAAGTCTTCATTAAATGGCCATAATCTGTCAAAATGCAGATAAACCATGCTCTTTTCAAATACTTCTTTAACTGATAAAAGTAGTTCAGCGAGATATTTGGATTTCAAAATAAATGTTCACTGTTTTACCAATCAGAAAGTACATGATCCGGGCGCCAGAACTCACCGCTTCGAGCTATGTGACTAAACAAGGAATAAAAGGAGGATTTATATCTTTGTAAAAAAGGTGTTGGTTATTATTTTATTTATTTTATTTATTTATTTATTTCAAAACCTGCACAAAAACAAGTACAAATATCAGTTATCAAATAAAAAGAGTCACAAGTTTTGAAAAGGGGGTTGGGTGAAGCAGACGCTTATACATTTCCAACCCCCTCACACTTCCAGCAAAACAGCAAATACAAATTACACTAACACTGTACAGTTATATCATTGCATCAAATACAAAATACAAAATAATAATAAAAAAACAAGACACACAGAGACAAGACGCACACTCATTCTCTCACTCACACAGACACTGGCCCAAACACTCCCTGACCACACACCTCTCTCCCACCGCTCTGTCCAGGCCCAGGGCATCACTCTCTGTCCTCCATGTATTTCTTCAATATGTCTCTTTTAAATTTCTTTTTAAAAGCAGTCATAGTTGAGCATGTTTTTAATTCTTCTTTTAATCCATTCCAAATGTGGACGCCTCGGACCGAGATACACATAGATTTTAATGTCGTCCTAAATCTAGGTACATATAAAAGTTTGTTTCCTCTTAATCTGTAATTATGATGAGCATCTCTATCGTTGAAAAGATGACTTATATTGGACGGTAGAGAGTTTTCAGACGCCCTGAACATTATCTGAGCAGTTTTTAGGACAATCAAGTCCTGCAGTTTCAGTTGCTGGTTTTGAATGAACAGAGGATTGGAAGGATGTCTGTAGTGGACGTTGGACACAATCCTTATAGCCTTCTTTTGCAAGATAATCAGAGGCTGTAAGTGAGATTTGTAGCAATTACCCCACACTTCCACACAGTAATTTAAATATGACATTATAAATGAATGATACAGTAACATAAGAGCATTGGTATTGATCAGGTGACATGCTCTCCTCATTATTCCCACACACTTAGCAACTTTTGTCCTCAAGTAACTTATGTGAGGTTTCCAGCTCAGATCTTCATCTATTATCACTCCCAAGAATACGTTTTGTGGAACTTTGTGAATCGGTGTGTCATCAATTGTAATTCTAACTGGAATTTTACTTTTGCGATTACTAAAAAGCATGATTTTGGTCTTTTTTAGGTTAAGGGACAGTTTGTTATTATCAAACCATAATTTTAGTCTGTTCATCTCCATTGTTACAAGGGATAGAAGTTGCTCCAAGTCGTCTCCTGAACATGTGATGGTGGTGTCATCGGCAAAGAGTATAAACTTCATGACTGTTGATATTTTGCATATTTCATTGATGTACATAAGGAAAAGCGTGGGTCCCAGTATCGATCCTTGTGGAACTCCACAAGTTATGTCCCTAAAACCTGACCTGTGCATATCAAACTGAACAAGTTGTTTCCTCCCCTTGAGATAACTTTCCAACCATTTTTTTGATGTCCCCCTTATGCCATAGTTTTCCATTTTATTTATGAGAATGTGGTGGTCGATTGTATCGAAGGCTTTTTGGAGATCGATAAAGATTCCTATTACAAATTTATTATTATCTATACCATTCGTTATATCTTCAATTAAGTCAATTAAGGCAAGGATGTTGATCGTCTATTTCTAAAGCCGTATTGGTCATCGGATAGTAAATTAAAATGACAGATAAAGTTGCGAAGTCTATTATCATATAGTTTTTCTAATATTTTGGAAAACTGTGGCAGGAGGGAGATGGGCCTATAGTTGTTAAAGCAGTGTTTGTTTCCAGTTTTGTATATTGGGATGACTTTTGCTTTTTTCATTTGTGATGGAAAGTGACCGAGCTGAAAAGATAAGTTACAGATGAAAGTGAGTGGTTTAATGATTTCATTTGCTATATTCCTTACAGTTCTCATGTCTATATCGTCAATATCTAATGATGTCTTACTTTTACACTTTCTGATGATGCTGAGGACTTCCTCCTCATCCGTGGGAGAAAGGAACATCGAACTTTGGTTTACTTCAGTTAGATGATTCGCCCGATCACTGTCAGATGGGATTTTTTTTGCAAGTTCAGGGCCCATGCTGACAAAGAAATCATTAAAACACTCTGCAATCATCCTTTTATCACTGATGATGGTGTCCTTCTCCACAAAATACTCTGGGTAGTGCAGGCTAGAGCTTCGACCAATCACGGTGTTTAATATTTTCCAAATCTCTTTGATATCATTTTTTTTATTAATTAGTAAATTTGTGTAATAGTCTTTTTTGCTTGTCCTTAGTATACTGGTTAACTTATTTTTGTATTTTTTGTACCTCAGTTCATTTTCTATAGTTCTAACTCTAAAAAATTTCCTATATAGATAATTTTTCTTTTTGCAAGCATTTGCAAGCCCTTTTGTCACCCAGGGGGTATTGGTGTAGTCTTTTTTCTTTGAATATTTGATGGGACAATTTTTATCATAGAGGGAAGTGAATATGTGGAGAAAGGAGTTGTAAGCTGTGTCTACATCTGTTGTTTGGTAAATGGATTCCCAATTTTGAGTTGCTAGATCATGTTGTAGAGCCAATATTGAGTGTTCAGAGATGTTTCTACAGTAATGTACATTTTGAGCAGATGAGGTTACTTTACAGTTTAAGTCATATATCATGAAAACGGGTAAATGGTCAGTGATGTCATTAATGAAGATGCCACCGGTTGTGTTATTGTCCAAAATATTGCAAAAGATATTGTCGATCAAAGTAGCGCTGTGTGATGTTATTCTGGTGGGTCTGGTGATGAGTGGATATAAACCAGTAGAAAACATAGTGTCCAAAAATTCCTCTGTTAATTTATGTTTATTGGGATTTAGTAAATCAATATTATAATCTCCACATATGATAATGTGTTTGGTTTTATTAATAAATAGTTTTTCCATCCATTCAGTGAAACACTTTAAATCGGCACCAGGAGCCCTGTAGACACAGCTTACAATAATTGATCTTTTTTTTGGGATTGCCAGTTCCACCGTCACACATTCAAAGAGTTCCTCAATGGCTAAAGACATATTTTCAATAATTGAACAATTTATATTTTCATCTACATACAAGGCTACACCCCCTCCACGCTTGTGTTGTCTGTTTGTGCAAAACATCTCATATCCATTTATTTCAAAATCATTGCCAATATCATCATTAATCCATGTCTCAGAGAAAGCTATTATGTCAAAAGGGGATTTTAAATGCTTTAAAAAGTCCTGGATGCACTCAGCATTTGAAAGTAAACTCCTGATGTTAAAATGAACTAAAGACAATTTGTTGTCTAGTGTGATTTCTCTGTTGAATTTAGCTTCAGTGTAATATAAGCAATCAGTGAGATGAAGCATATGGCTATCCGGATCAATTACATTCATATCACTCTGAGACTTGCAATTAATAACATGATCAGAGAAATCATTCATTTGTTCCAAGCTAGGAATATTTATACTCAAATCGTCATAATTCTCAAAATCCGAGGAGACTTCCTCATCAGAACTGTGCATCTAAGACTTTTTCGAGAAAAACGTGAACATGAGAAGAGGGCAGCTGGTCAAGGACTGTGAGCCACAGACACACAACATAAACACGCACAAAGCAACTCGACCATACAAGCAAACACATAAACAATCTCTCATCCACACACACAGAAACATACACACACACTCAAAAACTGCAGGCAATGAAAAAAACATTGAGAAAACAAGACAAAACAAAAAACAAAACAAGAAACTCCCCCCAAGAGCTTCTTAATATCCGATAGCAGAAAAGACAAAGAAAAGGTGATAATAACAAAACATATCTCGATATATATTGGATATATATCAATAAAGAAAAACGTGGTAAGTATAAAAATGTATTATGCAAAAAGTAAAAAAAATAAAAAATAAAATAAGTATCCAAATAATTCACATTCATCACACCATTTATGTAGCTCAATTCGGATAACAGCAAAAAACAAAAACTCTTATATCATCTATAACGAAAACAAAATATTGAAGTTTAGGAAAACGAAAACAATCACGTGGCACCATGACGCGTCAGTAACTCAGGAAGTAAACAGATCCATTCATGTCTCCAGCACAGAGACGCAAAAACAGAGAGAGTCTTACTGAAGGAAAAACAACAAACAAAAATAGTCTTACCGAACATGTCGTAATGTCGGAATGTACATGTCACATTCTGTGAGGCTGTCTGAAGAGCAGCAGAGTTTACGAGGCTGCGGAGATGAACTTTTCAGCCTCTGCTGGATTATCAAAGAAGTGATGTTGGGATCCTTTGGAAAGTTTGATTTTAGCTGGATATATGAGGAACGCTTCAAAGCCAGCTTTCCGAGCGGTGTACATGATGGGATAACAGGGTCGTCTCAGCTTGGCCGTCGCATCACTGTAGTCCGGGGCAAAGCGGACGGTGTTCCCGGAGAGTTGAAGAGGAGCTTTCCGAGCCTCATTCAGAATGCGGTCCCTGTCCGTGAACCGCAGGCATTTCACGATCATCGCCCTGGGACGGGGAGATTGGCGCGAGGGGCCGATCCGATGGGCCCGCAGGTCAGGAGGATTTGCAGCCAGGGACGGGAACCACTTTGGGATGTTTGCGGATAGGTAAGAGAGCGCGTTGTTTCCTTCTTCGCCTTCATTGATGTTGATGATTCGTATATTATCTCTCCTGCTTCTGTCCTCGAGATCTGTCACTTTTTTCTCCATCTGTGTGAGCGTGTTGGTGAGACTGAGGATAGTGTCCTCATTGCTCAGGACGCGTGTCTTTATAGAAGCCACTTCAGTGCGCTGAGATTCAATATCCGCAGCAGCTTTGGATAAAGTTTCTTGAATTGCGCCAAGTTGATCCTCCAATCGCTCAAATCGCTTTTGAGATCGATTCTCCGCCTCATTGAAAAACTTCCTGAGTAAGTCCTCAAGATAGGCCTCAGTGACAGGTGTTTGATACGAGGCCGATTCCGATTGCATTGTTGACTTTCTCATTGAACTTTTGGGACGAGTGTTCACAAATGAGAAAGGTATTGTTCAAAAGGTAAAAAAAATGTTGCAGAAATTCAAGTCGCTAAGAGTTTTAAAGCAAGCACAGGGGAGCTTCAGTTTTGGACGCGCTCTACTCCGCCATGTTTGGAGAGTGATAGATGTGTTGTTGACAAAACTCTTGTCTATCCAGCTATTATGGTCCCAGCTGGATTCGTCTGCACATCTTGCAACCTGAGTCAGGGAAAGTGGGAGAGGTTGCTGTACCACTTTTGGCCAGATGTTTACAGATTGCTCCTTTAAGTTTTGAGAAAGATCAATAAAACTATTATTATTGTCATTATTGCTACACACTGACGTCAAACTGATGTGTGGTCCAGGTGTACTTTATCTGGGTGACCCGCACGCAGCGACAGTTCGAGTGGGTGTCGGACATCATCAGGGAGGTGGAGGAGCTGGACTCTCTGGAGCTGGTCTCGGTGCACACATACATCACTCAAGTGGCCGAGAAGTTCGACCTCCGCACGACCATGCTGGTAATAAGATAAAATAAAATAATAAATAAAAATATTGTAGTGTTTAATTTGTGCTGCATTGATTGTCTTTGTGATTATATGTGTTTGTGCGTGTGTGTGTGTGTGTGTGTGATGTGGGACAGTACGTGTGCGAGCGCCACTTCCAGAAGGTGTGGAACCGCAGTATGTTCACGGGCCTGCGCTCCGTCACCCACTTCGGTCGGCCTCCTTTCGTGTCCTTCTTCAGCTCCCTGCAGGAAGTTCACCCTGAGGTCAGCTCTTCATCCATCTTCATCAGCCTCAGCCTCCGCACTCTTCCTCACGCACTCCAGCACTTTCACTCCAGGACCAGGCTGCAGCTGTGACACCATCGCACTGCTGCTGTTTTCAAGTAGTCACAGATGAACTGATTACATTAGGGCTTGGAATTGGCAAAAAAGTGATAACTCAATAGTATTGTGATATTTGGGCCTCAATTCAATGTTATTGTCATGAGATGACGTCAACGAGGACCCAAAAATATGGGAATGCAAAAATAATGATTGAATGAAGATAAGAAAAATCCAGGGAAAAAACAACCTGAAATTCCAAACGAAACTCAGAAATCAAGAAACAGACGGACACAGACAGTGAACAGGTGTTTTGTCGAGTTGGTCTGCCTGTCGAAATGATCTCTCTCAGCTGTTGATGATGAAATGCAAACCTACGCATGCGCGTCTCACGGCAGCCGAAGCAAACCAAGATGGCGGACATGAAGTCCGCGAATTGCTTTAAAAGTTAAAATACGAACAAATTAAGACACTAATGTCACTTTTAATACAATTGGAGGCGAGATGTTGATGGTTCCGTGTTGTGAGATGTGGGTTTTAAGAGTAAATGTTTTGTGTAAAGTTTGTTTTAAGCAGTCATTTTATATTCTTAAACGAAATATTGAATTACATTGAGTTTTTTCCCCATTCTATTGGGTTTCTGCGCATGCGCAAATCAGATTTGGGTTACAGCGGTGTGGTTTCACAGGAGCAGTTGACTGCTTACAACAAACTTTACACAAAACTCTTACTCTTAAAACACACATACTGTATCATAACATGGAACCATCAACATCTCGCCTCAAATTGCATTAAAAGTGACATTTGTGTCTTAATTACGTTCGCATTTTAACTTTTAAAGCAATTCTTGGACTTCATGTCCGCCATCTTGGTTTGCTTCGGCTACCGTGAGACCAGTGGGGGCGGGTCCCGCCTCAAAAGTGGCCTAAATGACATGCGCTGACATGCTTGCAATACCAACCCGGGCCGATGGGGGTGGACCCGGAATAAGAATTAGCCAATGCTAACATATAGCATTAGCTGACCTCTCGAAAACACCTTTACAGGATGGTTCAAAAGTAGTCTCTTGGCCCAAAGCTCCGTTCCACATGTGTGTCAATGCTGAGGGGGGTGAATTTTTTTGGACCAATCTAGTTTACTCGATGTGAATTTTTGAAGTCACTCGTTCAAATGAATGGGGCTCGTGCCGGGTGGCGCATGCGCAGATGCGTTTTTCACATTTTCCAGCCCCCACGGCCTTTTTGAATCACTCTATGAAAGCCCAATTTTTGGCCCATTAGTTAGAACGGCGGAGATAGGCGCGACTACCTCCATTAATATATAAAGTCTGTGCGTGAGACGCGCAGCGCATGTTAGCATTACATCATTAACAGCTGAGGGAGCTCATCTCGACAGGCAGACCAACTCGACAGAACACCGGCAACGCATGAGAAAGAGCACAGGTACATATAGACACAGGGGAACAGGAAGTAAAACTAAAAATGAAACCACAGAACTAATTTCAGAATAAAACCAATCACAAAAGCAAAATCCACACCATGACAATCATTGCAATTCTTAACACAAAGCGATACAGCGAGGTTTGTGATTCGATTCTGCGATACATAAACGATTCATGTCCCTCACATTATTCAAAAAAAATTACAAAAATGGAGGAAAATAAGATTGCTCAACTCCAATGTCACATAAACTGAAGTGGCCGTTGTGTAGAAAGTTCTCCCTTACCATTCAGGACACAGGACCTTATTCCAGAACAAGACATGGCTATCCTCTCGCATCAACGTGAGCTCCCAGCACAAGACTTAACGATAGACTAGGGCAGGGGTCACCGACCTTTTTAAATCCTGGGTCTACTTCAACACGACCAAACGGCTCGAGGGCGACTATGGCTGAAATGAAGTAAATTGTGCAGTAGGTTGGTCAAAAATGGGGCTCAGTCCAGGCTCAGTCCAGGCTCAGTCTAGGCTCAGTCCAGGCTCAGTCCTCTCTCTTCAATGACATCTATTCAACTGTAGACTATTGTTGAAGTTACTGAATCTGTTTCTGCATTTGTCTTGCTTAATGAATGCCCTGTTGTTTTGCTCCAGGTGGCAAAGATGGGTGTATTCAGCTGCGGACCTCCAGGACTCACCAAAAACGTAGAAAAAGCGTGTCAGCAGATGAACAAGAGAGACCAAGCTCACTTCGTACATCACTATGAGAACTTTTAACTCATCATCACAAAACTCTACTTTGATGTCATGTTGAAGTGATTTGATGTAGACCTGGATGTGTTTGGTATTTTTTTTGTGTATGACAAGTTATTACCCACCTGGCTGGGACCTATTTTGTGTGCGTATGAATATGACGGTGATGAGGTCACTTACGCTGTGGAAACTTTCTTCAGGTGTTCACTGGTTTATGATGGGGAGCTGGGAGTTTAATAATGGTACCATCCTGACAAGCTAGCCCTCTCTGTGTGATTTACCGTCATATCCATACGCACACAAAATAGGTCCTAGCCAGATGGGTAATAACATGTCATACACACATAAAAATCCCTTACAATATTTTAACGTAATCCTAACAGTTCATTGTCTACATTATGGACATTTTGATTGATTAATTGCCAGTTTTTAAGTTTTCGACCTATATACGGTAGATTCACAAAGTCTACCATGCATATGGCAGTGTTATGTTATTTTTTGTTGATTGTGATGACTCTTGATTTCTTACTTTTCTGATTGTATGCAGTTTTTCATTACGTCCATTAAAGTCCACCTCCCCGATTAAAGCGTGCCCTCTGTTTGTGCTCCGTGGCCCGCTTAATCTGGGCGGACACACTTCTTGATCCTATAAAGGCAGAGTTTTGTGTACAGTGCCCTGAAGCAGAAATCCTGCTGAGGCTGTTTGAGCACGACTCCATACATCACTAATGATGTCAGAGGCAGCTTTTCTTTCAACAAAAAACACCCTGAAATTAACTTTAACCGCCTGCACTGTGTGATAACTACAGGAACCATTGTCAGCATTTTGTTTATAAATTAGGCATTAGATAGTCCAGATGTAGAGCATTTTAGGGTTTGGATCTGCATAGCCCTGCTCTTCTTTCATATATGGCTGTGGTGGTGATGAGCCAGAACCAAGCAGTGTAGCAATGAACCAATTAATAGATGTTTTTCAATAGTCAAACATTCAATCCAATCCAATCCACTTTATTTATATAGCACATTTCATAAACACGAAGTTTCCAAAGTGCTGTACAACATGCAAAATGGCAACAAATAAATGCATACATTTATATAAAAAAATAAAATAAAACATAAAAAAACATTTTAGTCATCAATTAATTGTTAACTTCTCTATTTACAGCCTCCAAAACTTGTAAGTGCTGATATATGTAAATTTAAGATCTTAACACAGCAAAAAAAAATATATTTGGTAATAATTGCTTGATTCAAGTCTAATCCAGTCAAGTTCAGTTCATTCTGACAAGATCTTAAAACTTAAAACAAGATTTTCCAATGGGACAAGCCATTAAAGTCGTAACTTTGACCAGATATTTATTTCCTCATTCCAAGGGAAACATCTATTGTATATTTTAAAAGACCATTTTGTTTGTCCCATTGGCAAATCTTTATGGAAGTCAAAATGTGCTAAAATAAAGACATATTTTAAATTTGTTTACTTATTTTTTGTAGTGAAACAGAACCTTTCAGTAAGCGAAGATTCATATAATATACACACTAGAAAAGACTTGTGTTCATGGTACTACGGTCCCGAGGGTGCGTGTTTTCTTTCAACCTGATGGCCGCCAAGGGACTCTTTAAAATCTGGGTATTTCGTTCTGCAGAAATTTAGTATTGACCAATTTAACTGTTCCTTAACCCAATATTAATTAAGCCTCACCTTAACCTCATTGTGACTGCAAATTTGAATACAAAATACCAACTATATGCGTGTTTGTGTTTACAGATTGACATTCATTTTAGTTGCCTTTTGCAGTAAAACCACATTGGAATACATTTGCAAAAGTCCCCAGTGTGCACCAAACAAGTACTTAAATAAACAAGTTCTGGTAGTTTTAACAATACGCTGAAGACATGCCGTGTCCAGTATCACCAAACAGCTGTGGCCCATGATTAGAGTGTAGTAATTAATTGCCTCATTGAAACAGCGCCCTCTCCTGGTTCAGGCTCATCATAATAATCACCATGACCTGTGGCAGAGGTCGCACCTGCACACATCTCTTACTGCTTTATAGACTCCTACAGCACATTTACTCCCCCTTTAAATGTCCTTGTTGCTTTCTATTATATGTTAATGATTCTACTGACACACACACACACATACCTGTTTTTCTACATCGTTGGGTCCCATGACAGCGCCCTGCAGTTTGAGGCCTACTCTTTCTGAAGGAGTTAGAGACATGGTTTTAACTCCAACAATCATGATACTTTTTTGCCAACACAGAGGTCACTAAAAATGTGCGATACACTCCAGTTTACCCTGGGTTTTGTGGGGTCTACCCTTTCTGACTGTGCTACATGTGTTTTAACACTCAGTTTTGGTATATTAAGGTAGACTTGACAAGACACAGGCAGTGGCAGCTGTAAAGTGTGATAATAAATAAATATGATGTATTATTTGTTTTTGCATTTTATTTAATATATTTATCCATTAGACACATTTTCTTTGCTGTTGCTGTTGTTATTATCATTATTATTATCATGCTTTTATCATTATGTATTGGGCTATTTTTTCTTTTATTCTCACATTTTAATGTTAATTTCAAATACTTTTTATTCTTTTGTTTTAGTAGTGTTTCCTCTATACTTAATGAATGTAGTTTCGGGTGGGTCTGTTGGGGGTGGGGTGCAGGTCAGGGTCATGTGGGATTGTTTTTAACCAAACTGTAAACAACTTTGTGTGGCATTTTCTGTTTTAGAAGCGCTATATAGATTTAATGAGATGGATTTGATTGATTGATACTAAAGCATAATGGAAACGCCACCATTATGCTAGAGTAGGACCGGGGTAGGGCCGGTGGAAACAGGGCTAATGGTTTTTTTTGTTTTTTTTTTTTTTATATTTTGAAAAACAAATTGAGGTTAAGTCTCATGTGTGAAATATGTCTGCGCGCCGAGGAGACGATTGCATTGGTGTTCTTAAGAGGCTAATCTGCTTAGTCTGGTTAAGTACCCTGCTCCAAACCCGCCACTGTCCAGATTGCCTCTTCCTGCCCCAGTTAAGCGTCTCAGCAGACAAACAACAACAACGCCAGACTCCAGGAAATAAAATGTGGCATAGTGCCTGTCGCAGCCCGCTAAAGCATGCACCTGTCTACATTGGGGACCAGCGTTGACCGAGCCTTGGAGGAAGCTCTCGCCGGCGTCTTCGGTGGCAAAATGTTCGGAAGTGGAACTAAGAGATGGTTTGTGAAGAAACAAAGAAGACAGCCGCATTTGTACGGAAAACGGCCCTATTCTAGAAAGAAGAAAAGATGGGCCACAAAGATCTTGAAGCAAAACCGGCAGAAGATCTTGAATGAGTTGGATGTCAACAGCGTCCTGCCGTATCTGGTCTACGAGAAGGTCTTTTCTTTGGGGGAGTATAAGGAGATTCTGTCCCAGGATACGAGCAAAAAGAGGACAGAGAAGTTCCTGGATCATCTGTCGTGCAAAAGTCCCGCTGCTTTCTGCTCTTTCTGCTCTGTCCTGGAGGAAGTGCATCCTCACCTGCTCACCTGCTTCCTGCTGGACGGACAAGGTACCGCCAACCAACGCCTTCTCATTACATAAACAAAATACACGGGTCAAAAGGCCTCCAGGCTGCGCCAATGCCTCCTTTAAAAAAAAAAAAAAAAAACACTGCACATTGATTTGCTGAAACCACACTCCTGTATTCAGTATGACACATCACTTCATGGATTCTGTGCATATTTTTAAAACATAGCGAAAATGTGAATATAAAATCATAAACAGGGTAACTTTGTTGCGGTAATCTGGCGACACAGACTAAAGCCTGCAGAAATAGCTTCTTAAATCAGGATGGCTGAGGGGATTAGAGCGACGCCAGCCAGCGCGCCTAACTAGCCTCTGACAACATATGGTCCAGACAATGCTGCTGCAGACCACACACACACCATGATCAACGAATCAGTTTTGACAATTGTTGTGTTGTCTCTTGTGTAAAGCAAAATGATGTGTGGTTCTGGGTTACATCTGTGTGAGTCTATAGTTCTAATAGTATTTTAGGTCTTGTTTATACTGGGTTAAATATTCGGTGTGTGTGTGTGTGTGTTAATCAGATATTAATCCAACCTAAAACTAGTAGATATTAAGATACTCATTTGAGAAAGTATCAAAACTGAAAGAAATTAGATTATTAGGACATAATGTGACATTTTGTTGATCCATTTCAGACCTAGTATGAAACATAGCGGTGCCAGAAAAGCCACTATACTGTAATGCTATATTGATGCAAAATATTAAAACTTTTTGACCAATGATATCCCAGTAGTATCAAAATTTGTATCGAGTCTTTTCAATAGTTTGAAAATTGAGGTTGTGACTTTTGTATCATGCAACACGTGATGAAAATAAGTCAAAAAGTGCAAACATTTTGATACATTTGTCTTAATTTGAGCATATTTTGACTGCCTTAAAACAAGATTTGCCAATGGGATATAAAAAATTATCTTGTTTTAAAAAGATACAAGCAATATCTCCTTTGGAATGAGAAAATAAAGCTACATTTATTGACATTTTATTTTCAGAAAACAAAAACATACTTAATAATCCAAAATAAGGCAGTGCACAAAAGTTAGAACCGATGTGTGTCTTACGTAAGAAATGCATCACACTTCAAAGATTCTTCTGCTTTTTTTTCCTTGTCAGCAGAAAACATGTAAATGAACAGACTGCATAAATACTGTTCCTTGCAGATGGTGTCCTGGGACGGGCCAAGAAAGGGGGGCTTCCCGTTCCCCTCAACAACCAGGTGGAACAGCCCGTGTGCTCCCCCCCCCTCTACACCGACCCCGTGTTCGACTCAAGGTAAAAACCACTTCACTGAAGCGTAACTAAAGCGTAACTGCGGCCTTGAATATGTTGATGCTGCTCTCAAGGTTTTGGAAGCTGTGACCGTTTGAACCGTGAGAGTGAGTTCTTAATGGAGACATGAGGAGATGGATTTTACTGTCATTTGAAAAGGATATTACGCTGTTATGTGTAATTATAGTCACTTTTAATTTTAAACGTATATAAAAGGCCTGCCCGCACAACTATCTGACAACATATCACCCGTCCATTCGTGTGGAGTGGATTCCTCTCTCAATGTGGAGCTCCCCAAGGTTTCTCACTTTTTTCCTGCACTGGGTTTTAGAGTTTTTCCTTGCCGAGGCAGGAGGGTCTGTTGGACAATTAGTATCTACCAAAAAGGACTGTGGTGATGATCCAGGACACTTTAACATTCTACAACATGTATGGACATTTTTCAACATGTGTTCTATATTATTTATGTGTTTTAACTGTTGATTCTCTGATCTGTGTTGGTGGTTTCAATGGTTTTGTTAAATCCTTTGAGATGACTTCTGTTGTGATTTAGGGCGATACAAGAATAAGTTGTATTGTATTAACGGCTTATTAACCTTGCTTGCTCGGTCTATATGGAGAAATATCAGACCTTGGCCTTTTTGCACAGACCACGGCGAGGTCTGTGCAAAAAGGCCAAGGTCTGATATTTCTCTGCACAGACCGAGCAAGCGAGGTTAATAAATGTTTTATTATTATATGACTCTCGTCTGTGTCTTTACCAATGCTTTTGAGATATTTGTGAAGTATGTTCATGTCCGACTTGGTTTTGTGTCATTGTGTGATTGTCATGGTAACGGTCCGAGATGGGAAAATATCAGACCGGTAATCAGCCAATCTGAGCGTGCGTGCGGTCCAAGTCATATAATAATGTATTGTAACATATGGCTCAGACAATGCTGCTGCAGACCACACACACCATGATCAATGAATCAGTTTTAAAAATTGTTGTGTTATCTTTGGTGTAAAGCAACATATAGCGGTGGGTGGCATGTGTTGTCCTGGGTTACGTCGGATGTGAGTCTATCGTTCATATCGTATTTTAGGCCTTGCTTATATTGGGTTAAATATTCTATATGTGTGTGTGTGTGTTCATTTGATGTCCTGCCATTTTAGTCCAGTTTCAGGTGATAGGTGGGACCACTTTTGTTTTGGTTCAGGTCTAAACTTAAAGAGTTTGCAGAAGTATTAAAAATCATATATGAATCCAAACTAAAAATTGTAGATACTAAGATACTCATTTGAGAAAGTATCAATCCTGAAAGAAATTAGATTATTAGGACATAATGTTAAACGATAATACCTTGCACAAATGAGGTTGCTTTTTCACTTTTGTACATGTTTTCCCATTTCCTGTCTTTTTGCACACTATGAATGACTCTATTTATGCATAGAGTGTCATGTACATTTCTCCATTGTGAGATCAATCACCCCTGTTTTAGCGTCTCTCCACTGGCTCCCTGTGCGTTTTAGAATTGATTTTAAGATTTTACTGATTACTTTTAAAGCTTGTTTAGGTCTGGCACCAAGCTATATTTCTGAACTTTTAACCCCCTACGAGCCCCCCCGCAGCCTTAGATCCTCGGGCAGGTCCCTGTTGACTGTTCCAAGGTCGAGGCTCCGGACGAAAGGTGACCGAGCCTTCTCTGTCCGGGCTCCTCGGCTTTGGAACGACCTGCTCTCTTCTTAAAACCCACTTTTATCAAACAGCTTTTAACTGTTAGTTTTAAACTTCACATGCTGTATTTTATTGTCTGCTTTGTCCTTGTTGAGTCTCTTTTGTGTTTTGCTCGGTTTGCTTTGTGTTTCTGTATCTAATTATTTTGACCTTGCATTATGACTGTTTTTATTGTTTATCATGCTGACTGTGCAGCGCTTTGTAAACACTGTTTTTAAAAGTGCTATATAAATAAAGATTATTATTATTATTATTATTATAATAAAAATCGTATCTTATCTGAATTTAACTGCAATGAGACAGAGATTCAGGGACTTCAATGGAGCACAGACTTGAGAATTAGGGAATATTGTTGTGTTGAAATGGTATTGAATAATTAACGTTCTGTAGCTGATGTTTAGGGCGTCTTAAAAGCTGATCGTACAAAACATTCAAACTACAAACTACAGCTTTGTAATTTTCAATCCACTCGCTCTCAAAACAGTTTGGTTACTTCAATATATATCACTAGTTTTCACACACATGTATTTTTGGCCTCTGTCACATCTTTGGATCGACTTTTATATATATATATATATATATACAAAAGTGAAATACACAGCCAGAAATAGTAGTTTATGAACAATCTATGTAAGAATCAGAAAAGGTGCGTCTTTGGGTCCTCGGTTTCGAAATCCCGTGCCGGAACAGGGCTTTTTCAAAGTGGAGTTTGCAAGTTCTCCCTGTGTCTGCGTAGGTTTCCTCCAGGTGCTCCAGTTTTTCTCCGGGTGTTCTGGTTTCCCCTACCACTAAAAACATGCACAATAGGTCTGAATGTAATGAGTGAGTGAATGGTGTGTGTTTGGTCCGAGGCTTTGAGGCTCCAGTGTCTTCGGCGTCTCGCTTCCGTCATGATTGTTCCATTTCCAGCCGTGTGGAGAGAATGGAACAATATCTAAACTCTGAACATTGTAAAGCACTTTGGGTGACCTTGGTATGTAAAAATGTGCTATATAAGCTACGCACCCATTCGTATAACTACAGTTACATTAGGTAACTAGTAATTACTACTACTACTGCTATTACATTATTAAATTACTACATATTCCATTTGTCTGTTAACTCTGCTCTGATGATCCACTAGTCACGTTCCCTGCTGCTATTAGTACTATTGTTTATTCTGGTCATATTCTACACAACTGAAGTACAATACCAACCATCAGTAAAAACCTCCTGATGCTGCTGATGACAGTGTGTGCTCCACGTGTGACTTATCCTTGAACCAAACGCAATCATAGCTCCACAGTTTATTATCTTTTCATTTTATTATTTGGTGATCCAGGACACCCGACATTCACCCATATTTATGGACTCTATCAACATTTATGGACATTGGTCATCTGCCCCTTATGGACCAATGGCTTTGTGTGTGTTTTTATCATTCTTCTGTTTGATTCACTGATGCAACGGATTTGTAAAGTCCTTACTGTGATTTAGGGCGATACAAAAACAAAATGTATTTGCATTGAAATTCTCCTTTTATTCTGCGGTGATGTGCGCAGCTATGACTTTGAAATCTTATCGTATGATGCAAGGATGCAATGGTAACATGGCGTTGGCAAAAGCACTGATAGAGCAGTGTGTTGTGTTGTGGTGTGTTGTGTTGTGTTGTGGTGTGTTGTGTTGTGGTGTGTTGTCATGGTGGAGTCACAGGAGGTTCGTGTCCCGTCCTCACGCTCTGACTGTGGATGTGTGGTGAGTGATGAGGCTGTCAGGGGCAGACCTCCCCACGTCCCACTGCAGAAGCTCAGCCAATCTGGAGGAGAGGCACATTTGCATTTATACATGCGATTATAACTGGATCAAATACACTGCAAAAATGATCAAATATTTGCTTGAATTGAGTGTTTTTTTTATCATAATTTGAGTTAATTCTGGGATAAGCAATTTAGACTTAATTCAAGAACTGTTGCTTTATTTTCTTATTCTCATCTAGAAATGTCTTTTATCTTTTTAAAACAAGATCATTTTGCTTGTCCAAATGGCAAATCTTGTTTAAAGAGAGTCAAAGAGTACTCAGTTTGAGGTAGGGCTTTTTTTAAAGTAAAGACAACAAAACAAAACAGGGGGCGACAGTAGCTCAGTTGGTAGAGCATTAGCCTTAAGGCCAGAAGGTCGTGGGTTCAATTCCCACCTCTGCACCTTCTCCACCGACTCCCACTGATGACTGCTGTCGTTGTGTCCTTGGGCAAGACACTTAACCCAACTTTGCCCAAAGCCCCCACTGAAAGATCAAGGCTATGCTCACACTCAGAGAGTTTTTTTTTTGGCTCGTGTATAGCTGTTCAACATGTAATAAATGTGATTATGTAACGTAAGTGGTCGACCCCGAGCGAGTCTGTGTCCAGCAGGGCGGCCTTTGACGTATTTGACACATCAGAGAGAGATGGAAGCAGTGTGTGGGAGAAGATGACAGGGCAGACAGGCTGAAGGCTCTGTGGACTGTTAAGACGGCCTCTGTAACGTACGCCAGCTAAGTCAGCACGTTATCCCTGTCCCTGCTCGTTCTCACACACACACACACAAAACAAACAAAAGAATACACCACAAAATAAATACACAACAAGCAGAATTCACCAGTTATGGAAGCACCGGCGACAATGCAGCACCAGTGCACGGCAATGTACGTAAGTCTGTTGTTCCGTCCAGTTGTGTTGCTTTGACGTGATGCTGTGTTCTGTGTTTGCCAGCAGCCGAGGCATGTTTATAGATTCTCTTAATGTGTCGAGGGTTGGGGGCAAGGTTGTCGGTGTGTTGATTTTTGTGTTAACTGCGAGGATAAGTGGGACAGAGGATGCCTGGAGTCTTGCAAGGCAGTCTCCAAATTAGAGTCAGTGCAAGTCCCGGTTTGACGGAGAGGACTGAGGGTTTGATGTGTCTCAATGGAAGTATATAGATGTTATACAGGTGTTATGCATGTCTTGTATCTAGGCCTGTAACAAGTATATTTACAGTATGAAATGCTTATCAATTACAGAATTAGTGAATCCATTAGCTTTAGTTAGTTATAATTTAGTGCCATCAATGGGGGCCAGAGCATTCAGCCATTCTGCTCCCAAACTCCGGATAACTCTACCACTTTTAAACTGGCTGATTCTTTCTATTTTTTAAATGTATTCCAGTCTGTGCTTTTACTGTTGTGTGTGATGTTTTTTTAATGTATTGTAAGGTGTCCTTTGGTGTCTTGAAAGGTGCCATGCAATAAAATAAATTATTATTATCAATATTTAGTAATTTAGTTATACATTTTT